CGCTGACCTCGGATGGAGCGAAAAAACCGATCATTTTATCTGTCTTCCCTCTTCTGGGTCCCCGGGCGGCCGATGTGTCCGTCAAATCCTTCTGGTCCGTTGAGCTATCCGCGAGCGATGGGTTCGCAGACGCCATACGAATCAGCTTAGTCTCCGCAGGGCTCTGCGGAAGAGCCGAGACTTCTTTTTCCTCGTCCTGCTGTGTGGTCTTCGCCTTGGACTTCTTGGGTTTTTTGGACGCGGTTCCGTTCGTATGCGCTACGTCCGTTAAAGATTGCATATTCATAGACTGACGACGAGCTTCTCCGGTCTCGGAGATGTTGGCAATCACCGGGGTCTGTGGAGACGAAATGGCTTCGCGATTGCCATTCTTTTCTGACCTGCGGGCCTCCTTCGCGTTTGCAGTCGAGGGGGCGGTCTTCGTGCGCTTCACTGGGCGCGCCCCTGCCTGGTCCAGGGGCGATTCTTGCAACTGGTTTGGGGTGTCCGAAGGCATGCCAGTGTTGGTATCGTTGACAGTCTGCTTTCTTTTCCGCTTGGGAGTGGCTGCCCCTTCGACCTGGGTTTCTGATTTCACTTTCTTGGAGGTTTTCGGAGGGCCAGATGAACCGACAGCATCGCGGTTTTCACTCATATCTTGCAAATAGTCAGGCTCAAAGTACAGCGCGGCAATGTTTTGAAAAGCAGGTATACGGTCTTTCGCAAAAAGCACACTGAGTAAAAGCTTACCTTGATTCTCAGGCTCACTGAGCCCGCCATTCATGGGCTGCGAGGACCCTTGACCCATTTGAAAAAAATACTAGGGAGAATTCATGAATCTGAATGAGTTTGGCGAGGTATCTTAGGGGAAAAAGTGTTTACGAGCCAGTAGCTCCGCCAGATAAGATAGTGGAAAAAATTCCTCAAGCTGCGCGAGCGGCGCGACTTTTTGCGGATCTTCTCCGCCCTAACTAACCGTCCACCGAGTGTTATTTAGGAGCCATTACAACAATTTTGCGCAGATCGTGATTTCGACAATAAATGTTTGGCGACTTGGAAGTAGAACTTTTTGTCTTGGTAGTCGTAGTCTATATCACAATAATGGTTACAAGGGAGTAAAATTCAAGAAAACAGGACAACCGGTTGGGTATACAAGGAGCTACTCGGTGTATCACATGCAACGTCAAGACTCGACCTTCATTTCTCGTAGAATCCTCGTCACAAGTTTCCTCTGATCCGTTCGATTCAGATCATGCTCGTCAATCGTGGTGAGACAGCGTCCTATTGCCACTGTCGCTTTAACAGCAGCATCGCCTCCATTTGAGCAGTCAACCCAGACCTTTCCGTTTCTTCCCACGGCGACCTCGAAGCCTCCGACTTTTTCCAACTTCTTCCCAAGTTCCTCCAAGACCACTAATCCATCCACACCGTCCTCTTGCTCGGAGGTCGACGAGCTAGCTCTCATTAATCTCGCAGCCATGCCAGTAGAGACGTCAAACACCATTCCTCCGTTCAATGGACCCAATCCTCCAGGTTCAGCCTTGCCGGTTGCTGGGTTTACGCAGGTAAGCTCAACTTCTGCACCAGCACCGAGACCGATGGATAGGACTCGAGCATAGACCAAATCGCCTTGCCTTAACATTGGCCGCGTCTTCTTTGTGGCACCCTCGAAAGCAAGCTGGCCGAGCAGCGCGTGAGGTGATTGAGGCGTAATCATGCAGTAGAAGTATTCCGCACTGGAATGGTGAACTTGTGCGATCACCAAATCGTTTGGCGTTGGGATGTAGCGGCGATTAGGAAACGACAAGACGGAAACAGCATTTTTCTTGTGATCTGTAGAGAGGAGACCGGCCTGTGCAGAAGCAATAACATGACCAGATGACGGAGAGGGAATTGCTGGAGAAAGCAGTCGAAGGCCAGATCCTAGTCTCAGCGGAGCAGATTTGTTTGAGGGCAGTTGATCTGACGGCACATGATCACCTGGGAGCAAGATAACAGGCGACGACATTTTCTCGAATCGTTGTATTTGACGCCTAAAGCGTCTGTCTGCTACCAATTGAACGTGGATCAATGGCTTGACTGGCAGCGAGATGTGACCTGAACTGGAACATGAAATTCATGCCACAGAATCCCGCTATCAACTATCAGCACGTGACGCTACCGCCCTGCAGAGTGAAAATCAGCCCAGAGACTATATTGACGACACTGAGATAAGTAGTATATTATTGCCGATAGGAAACCTAGAAATCTACATGGAATCCGAGCATGTTTCGGTAATTAAAAGTCGACGGGGCCTCTCAGGTTGACCAACTAGAAGTCGATGGTGCTGTCGGAATACTTCAATTGGTGATTTCTTAGCTGCACCGCCACATTTGTTATCGATAAGCATCAGCCACAGTTGCCTCCCGCTGCCAAACAAATCAAAAGATTTTTTTCTCTTCTGCTCTGAGAAAGAAATCCAAAGCGATCAAAGTAGAGTCAAATTTCCGGGCCTGACTCCGCCTTTCCTCACACATCTCTTTCATCTTCACTTTTTTTTCGTCCTCATTTATTTCTCTCAGCCCTTCTCTACATCAAAAATGGGTGATTCGAACGGTGTCGCCGCTGAAACAGCGGAGAGATTCGCTATCGGTATCTCGTTTGGTAACTCCTCGAGTTCCATTGCTCGCCTCACTCCTGTATGATCCCACTAGTTCAACATCCGATTATGAAGCATGAGGAGTTTTCTAACGATTTGATGTATAGGAAGGCAAGGCTGAAGTCATCGCCAACGAGGAAGGAGGTACGTTGATCGCACGCATCTCTGGGCAATATACATTTATGAAAGTGAAGCTAACCAAGACCTGTAGATCGTCAAATCCCTACTGTTCTGTCCTACATTGATGGTGAAGAATACCATGGCACTCAAGCCAAGGCCCAGCTTGTCCGCAATCCCCAGAACACTGTTGCATACTTCAGAGACTACGTTGGCAAGAAGTAATTAGCCCTGGACTTGGATTTCCTATTCGAAGAACAGACATGCTGATTTTGCTTTACACAGCTTCAAGTCGATAGATCCTACTCCCTGCCACCAGTCAGCGCACCCTCAGCAAGTCGACTCCACTGTTGCCTTCACCATCCGGGATACTGCCAGCGAGACCCCCAACACCGTCACCGTCTCGGAGATCACAACTCGTCATCTCCGCCGTCTGAAGCAATCCGCCTCCGACTACCTCGGTAAGGACGTCAACGCTGCCGTCATCACCGTTCCCACCGACTTCACCGATGCTCAGCGCGAAGCCCTTACCGCTGCCGCTGGCGCCGCTGGCCTCGAGGTTCTCCAGCTCATCCACGAGCCGGTTGCTGCCGTCCTGGCTTACGATGCCAGACCCGAGGCTACCGTTACTGACAAGCTGGTTGTGGTCGCTGACCTTGGTGGTACCCGTTCGGATGCGGCTGTGATTGCTTGCCGCGGTGGTATGTACACTATCCTCGCAACCGCCCACGATTACGAGCTCGGAGGAGCAACCTTGGATCAGATTGTCATCGATCACTTTGCCAAGGAGTTCATCAAGAAGCACAAGACCGACCCTCGCGAGAACGCTCGCGGTCTCGCTAAATTGAAGCTGGAAGGTGAGGCTACAAGACGGGCCTTGAGTCTTGGTACCAATGCAAGCTTGAGCATTGAGAGTCTTGCGGACGGTATTGATTTCAGCTCAACTATCAACCGGACCCGTTACGAGCTGCTCTCTGGCAAGGTCTTTGCTCAGTTCACTCGCCTGATCGAGCAGGTTGTCCAGAAGGCGGAGTTGGATGTCCTGGATATCGACGAGGTCATCTTCTCTGGTGGTACATCCCACACGCCCAAGATTGCTCAGCTGGCCCGCAACCTGTTCCCCGAGAAGACCCAGATCCTCGCCCCCTCGACCTCTGCCAGCGCCATCAACCCCTCCGAGTTGGCTCCTCGTGGTGCTGCCATCCAGGCCTCTTTGATCCAGGAGTTCGACAAGGAAGACATTGAGCAGAGCATCCATCCCATGGTTACTGCCACTCCTCATCTGCGCAATGCCATTGGTGTTGAATTCGTGCACGGAGAGACTGTCGAGTTCAAGCCTCTCTTGAACGCCGAGACCGCCCTGCCTGCTCGCCGCATCGCTCAGTACTCCGTCCCTAAGGATGGTGGTGACGTCCTTGTGCGTGTCTGCGAGGGTATCCGCGAAATCAAGGTAACCAAGCCCGAGCCAAAGCCCAAGGAGGAGAAGCCCACCAAGGCTGAGGATGACGAAGACGAAGACTCCGACTTTGACTCGGACGAGGATGAAGAGGAGGAAGTCCGTGAGATTGTATGGAAGACCGAGAAACCCATTGCCGAACTTGCGGTCAAGGGCGTCAAGGCTGGCAGCAAGGTTGAGCTGATGGTTCACGTCAACGCCGATCTGGGCATGCAGATCACCGCTCGGGAAGTCGGTGGTCAGAGTGCTGTCCGTGGCGCCGTCGAGTCGCCCAAGGCTTAAGCAGTAATCCGGTCCTCCGTATTTCCCTTTCAAAAAACTATCTACTGTCTTGAAACAGGCAACGTTATGGGTAATGTCATCCTTTATATGAGTTCATAGAGTATCTAGATGTGATCAATTTCACTTTTGGCATTTTCTATACTTTCATTTTGCTCTTCCTAGATCTGAAAAGCCTGGCAGTTTCATTTTAGTATGCTAATTGTATACTTGTCATAGTATTGTCTATCGCCAAATAACGAATACATACCCTGTTGAGATAACAGTACCTTTGGCTATTTGAAGTACTTCTACAAAATCGCGTGGTGACGTATTGGGATAGAGGGATTATATTACAGATTATTAAATGGTTAAGAGAATAGTTCAAACATCGTCAAGAGCCGTCAAACAAACAGCAAGGATACAGTAAACATGTGGCAACTGAGGGATTAGAGCGCCGTAAAGATCAAACATGTACCCAATTCATAAACACGTAAAATGAGCGTAGGGTTGGAGGGTGTCTCGAGGTGTCGATAGAGAATTCCTCTGGGGCAAGACAGTGTTCAGGAATTCTTGGTGAGCGCTAACGCAAGAATCCTATATCCGTTATACTGGAGTTTCCGTGCAACAACAGCCTTGAACTCAGGAAAATGGACGTGATCCTAAGAGCTAGGCCACGCCGACACTGGCTCGTCCCTGGCAAAGAGACGAACAAGATTTACGGTGCGGTTTCCTTGTTGCTTCTCAAGCTTCCCGCTCGGCGCGAATTGAAGAAACCACGCCGTCTCTGTTCCCGTCCGCTATATCCGCCGTCCTTTCGGCCGACGGCGCCTCCCATGCAATAGATCACGCAGGAGAGGAAGAGGAGAGCGACGGAAGTCCACATGAAGGCGAAAGCCTTAACACCGAGATGAGACGATTGGCCGTTGTCGTTGAATCTATTGCGGCCCTGGACGTAGACAGCGCTATTCGAGTTGTCAGTTATAACGAAATCTATACTCTAGAAAACATTGAATGATGGAACTCACGTCATTAGGCAAGTGGTGATGGCCTGGAAAGTCAGCGCAAAGTACGCTGAGAATGCCGAGACCCAATTTCCAATGCGGGTGCACATGGCAAGGAACCCCGTGAAGAGCGAGCAGGTAGCGAAGAACAAGGCGATGATGTGGAATGGGAACATGAAGCGGGAGGTCAAGAAATAATGACGGGTCCTATGCATCGTTAGTTGTTGCCATACTATCCTAAACATTCATGTCAAGGACATGCTGCTTACTCACCCAATGAAAGCTGAAGGGATGTTGACATGGGTATCAAAGGTCCGGTGGCTTGGGGGATCAAAGGGGTAGTCAGGATACGACGGTCCGCACTCATTGTGTCCCTTGCTGTTCACCGCGCACAGATTCCAGTATGTCCATCGGGACAAGGCCGGCGCGCCGGGGATGTTGCCCGTGGCAGCTTCAAGCCAGTAAATCCTGTCCAGAGGGTTCGAGTTCCTTGCTCCTCCGAGAAAAGCGAGGAACATCAACAGAAGGGCTCCGGCCGTAAAGAAAAGGCCCAAGAAGCCTAGACCAACTCCTGTCGCAGTGTGTTAAGACGGGACTTTCTCAGACTGTCAGAGCGATACTTACTGCTCAAAACCATCTTACTATCTCTAACTCGGCGTAGGAATCGTGCCGGCGTGAAGGACGTATTATTTCGGCTGGAAGTAGTTGGGGGTAATACTGGGCAAAATTAAGAAACTAGCACCAAAGGCCCAAGGACGTTATGTAGACAGTCAGAATAGAGTGGTGAAGAAGATTTCGAACATATGCCGCAGAAAAATGCAACCTGGGCATCGGCAATTATATCAGTGATCCGGTGATCCCGGGTACCCCTGCGTGGAACGGGCAGAAATTACTGGGGGAGTGATATAATAATGAGGATGCATCATGACTCTCCGTGTTCATTTGAAAGTTAATTGCTCGATGTGTGGCACGACCAGCATGATAGCATCCACTGATTCTTGCTTTTTCCGCAGCACAGAAGAGCCAAGAACACTCAGTGATGATCTCGACGTCATCATTGACCGGACCCCACTAACCTATTCCAGATAGCCGCTACCTTAATGCCTGGCACTAACCTCAACCGGGACTAGTGCACATCACATCCATGACGTTTGTCCAACTCACTCTCAACTGCAACTTGTCTCCAATTTGTCTCCATTTCTCCTCTTCTCGGCCCAGTGGCTCTGACGTTGCACCACCCATGGTGATCGATCGGGTTGCAAACTGGCTCCTGCTATGAGCCTATGAGACGATGAGACTATGACCTTTACTTGACTGGAATTGGATTCTAGTCTTTCGAAATTTTTCTGCCTGGCCAGCCTAACTCCCCACCACTGTGGACCTGGCTGTGCGCTGCCCTACCTTCCCTACTCCGTACCTCAGCCCAATAGGTGGGTTCTACTCCGTACTGTCCACTGCAGCTCGGGTGCTAGTCTACCTAGTAGTAGTTCTGGGGTCTATGTCACTAGAGATCAAGCACACTTTGATAATTGGTTTACTTGTGAATATTCGTGATGGCAACTTGGGCATATCCACCTTTGCCTCCAGATTCGTTGGAACGGGAAGCGGACAGTGCTTTGGTACGCATCCCATGTCCCCTTATGCGTAGATTACTACTCATCTCTAAACATTGGTCCAGGCACGGGAACTAGAATGGCTACTTCGGTCTCTACAGGACTCTCTAGCGGCATTGAGGGAGGGCCTTCGTGATTGTGCTGCATTACTGGCGCCAAAGGAACCGGGTTCGACGCTGGTGCTGTCCTCTCACCGGTCGGAGTGTGTCAAAGGCTTCGTGACCAGAGTTGGAACCAAAGTCGTGAAGGGGGTATGCTTCTGCGCCACCCTTCTTGCATCGTCAAACATGTTACTTGCGATGCGGCAGCTAATGTGATGGCAACGTGATAGGACATACAACTGCGCCTTAGCTCTCTTGCATCTGCCCGTGGCGCGCCCACTACCCGTCTATGCTTGTCCAATGCTCCTAATGCTCCCGAGCTCGTCCTTAAGCAGCTGTCATCCGTGCGAGATCTCGTCAATCAGAGCCTCGATGTCGTAGATGTAAGCACATGGACTGGTGACCCACTGAATGCCAGTTTCATCTTCGGTCAACTACGTCTTTTGCATGAGACTATTACGGAGGCGCGGCACATGCTGAAAGGGGAGAACGATAATGTCCAAGGCAAGTGGTGGGAAACCAGCGTGGAGGATAATGTGAGTCACTCAACATTACAGGCGCCTGGTATTGATTTCGGTGCTGATTGGACTACAAGATTTTCGACCCTCCGCTGCCACCAGATCTCTCGTTCCACCTCTCTATCGCGGACTCGGCTCTTGTGCTCCATCTGAGAACGCTTGAAACCACTGCACCTTCTTCTCATGCGCCGACCGCCTTCGCTACCGATATCTCGCTTACCGGGTTCAACATTCGAGACCGACTATTTGGGCCACGGCATCGCCCTCATGATGAGATGGGCGATGTGTTTGTTTGGAAAGGAGAAGAGGTGAAAGTAAAGGAGAAGATTCGTGTTGAGAGCCAGGATCCTAGTCTGATGACGGTCATGGCCAAACTCACGGCTCTGGAGCATGAAGTGATGAAATGGTTGGCGTCTCTGAAAGTGCTAATGGGCACCGAGGACACAGACAGCGAATCATGATATCCACAGTCACTTTCCAAACTGAATACAATACCAATTTGTGAATGAAGAGTACCGATCACCCTCGCGGCTGTTTGGACAAATCGTTTCTCAGATAAATGTATTATGTAATCCAAGAAATTCTGAGCGACCAATGAGAGCTGTGGGATTCCGCCAGGAACACTGCGTCTCGGCGAAAGTTTTGCCATGTAAAAGCTCCTCGAGTGGCGTTACAATTTCTGCCCTCACTCATTGCTCACTAGAATCTTGGTTCGGTGCGCTTGGGAGAAGGTGTTAGGATGCTGTCAAGGTCGCCAGCATTGAGGGCACGTCGATCATGTTCGCATGATCTTTTGCGCCCAGTCTACAATTCGCCGCGGACAGCATCGCAGCAGCTCCGCTGCGGAGCTGCAAATTGCGTCGCTCAACGCCTGAAAAGCACTTTGTCTCGCAGGGCGCCATCCCCTACCTCGCACGCGCTATTATTCAGAAGTACCTCCGGCAACAGTACCGAGCGATGGCAGATTGGGCGAAGACATATCTCGAGCGAGACGCCCTCAGATATTCATCCTTACGCGGACCGAAAAGACACCATCTACGCTCTGATCGATAAGATCAATGAAACCGAGCTGGAGCTTGCGGAGCTCATGGATGATTTGGGACTGTTGGAGGAGTATCAAGGAGCTTTGAATCTTGAAGGTCCCGAACTCGACCATGTATTCAGCCAGACGATCGGCCACCGAGACGAGCAAGCTTTGGAATCACGAGTGCGAACTGTGAGGCAAGAATTCGGCGAGTACCTTCCAGCAGGCTATTTGAACGAAACAGAACTTCGATTGTATACACGGCTATACGGCGAACCGATCATCAAGGCGGAAGAGCCACAACCGGAGTTGGACGCTGACTTGGCCGAGGAGGATAGAGATCCCAGTCGCTTGTTTCAAGCGGATGGCCAGGGAGGCTGGGAAGAAGTCGAGTTTGAGGGGGTTGAGTCGCAAGACGATGGGCCTCCGCTCGTCTATGACATGGAAGTCGGTCCTCCTGTGGAAGAATCGGCAGCTATGCGTCGCACGAGAGAAGTGGCAGAGCAGCTTGGTGGGGAGCTGATGCTGGAACAATTCGAAGATGAAGCGGTTCCAGACGCGGCCCCTCGCTTGCATCCCTTGACGCGCGAGGGAAAGTTCTCTACGGAACCAAGCACTGTTTTCCTGCCAAAAGATACTGTTACTGGCCCGATTTCCGTCATCCTCTCCGAATTCTCGAACAGGCATATCGCGGACGTCGCTCACCGAACTTTCGGCGGCAGGCTGCTACCTCACTCCACCACAACTCCTCCTCCGCGCGCACAGGTACCCCAGCTTCCGATTCCCCTTGAGGCTTCTCAGCGCCACATGAGCCAGATGGAGGGGAATGTGTACATGGCAGCTTTATACCCCGGCATGTACGCGTCTGCCTTGAGCGTACTCGTCGAGGTTCGAAAGCGATTGGGCACAGACTGGATACGTCGGCTGATGGCACAGGAGGGTGGTCCTAGTGTCCTGGATGCTGGCGCTGGTGGTGCTGGAATTCTGGCTTGGAGAGACGTCCTTCGGGCAGAATGGGAGGCCATGGCTCCAGATCATCCCGAAACAGATCCTATCCCATTGGGTAGGTCGACGGTAGTCACAGCCTCAGAGGCGCTCCGCAATCGCGCGAGTGTAATGCTCGACAACACCACTTTCCTTCCGCGCTTGCCCGATTATGTTCATATTCGCGAGAAGCCAACTCTCGATGACAAGCGGCCTCCGCCCCCGCGCAAACAATACGATGTCATCATAGCGCCACATACTCTACTTGGCCTGGAGGAAGAGTATATGCGGAAAGAACATGTCGAAAATCTTTGGACTCTTCTGAATCCTAACGGTGGAGTTCTGATTCTTCTTGAAAAGGGTCATCAGAAGGGATTCGAAGCGATAGCCGGCGCTCGTGAGATGTTGCTGAAGCGCTACATTTCAAGTCCCGGTTCTACACAATACGAAGAACTTACCGAGTCTTCTAACGAGAACAAGCATATTGACAAAGAGGAAGGCATGATTATTGCACCTTGCACAAATCATGCGAAATGCCCCATGTATTCTGTTGCTGGCCATGCCAAGGGACGCAGAGACTTCTGCCATTTCGAGCAGAGATTTATTAGGCCCGCTTTCCTTCAACGAATCCTAGGCGCCAAGGATCGAAACCATGAGGATGTCAAATTCAGTTACATAGCCGTTCAACGTGGCGTGGATCTACGCAAGGAGATGAACATCGTCCAAGGTCCTGAGGCCGCTGAAGCAGCCTTTGCTGGGTATGAGCACCTCCACGATATGGAGTCGGAAGACGCCAATGTCTCTGATGACGCTGCGACCAGCGAGCCCTCGACTGCCCAAAACAGCCAAGACTTCCATACGTTGTCTCTCCCTCGCGCCGTCTACACCCCAATGAAACGCCGGGGACACGTCATCTTTGATTTTTGTACACCAGCAGGAAAGATTGAACGCTGGACCGTTCCTCGTTCCTACAGTAAGCAAGCTTACAAGGATGCGCGCAAAGCCCGCTGGGGAGATCTGTGGGCTCTTGGTGCGAAGACCCGCGTCCCACGGAGTTTGAGACTGGGTGAGAAGCATGGCGAGGGCAAGAAAGAGCGTTTGGCGAAGCGAGCTGCTTCGAAAGCCGCTCTACGTGAATCGGAAGATGGTGCTCTGGAAACTACCTCGTCCGACAACTGGGATGTATTCACAACCCCTGTGAGAAAGAAGGGTCAGACGATTCCCAGTTGGAAGAAACATCAGGACAAGAAGAAGATCAGACAGGCCTTGAAGAAGCAATCTACTGCGAAGCTGACAAACCATGATCTTGATTGAGCCACATAAATCACCCGACAGTGTACATTTGGGGGGATAAAGGAATAGGTTTGCGGCGTATCATGGTTCATGGGTATACTACAATTTTGAGCAGTCGGGATCGGAATACTTGTGTTGCATTCATGTGTACAATAGACATCACTGCATAGAGTGCAGTCACTATAAAGCTCCTCACTCAAAATTGCTATTCTTAATCACCTGCAATCCTTCCGGGTGCGCATTCGCACACCGTCACCTTGTTATGGATGGTGGCCTTCCCAGGGCAGTTAGAACCAGCAGCTTTGGTCGGCCACCGAAGTAATCAGCCCAAGTCGGCATAGGCGCCTTTTTTTGGCATTTGCAAGTTGCTGTTTCTCGCAAAGTCCGTTCGGTAGTGATCGAAAGGCATGCTGCCTTGATCGTCGGGCCCGCCAGGCGCGCTGTGCTTTGGAACAGAGGGGTGGGGTTCGTTTCCTCATAGGTGTTATCGCATAGTCGCAGATAACCAGCAGCTTCACTGTCTGTTTCCGACCAGGCAATATATTCCGTAGATGTAGTGTCCGCGACAAAGACTGATTCGGATCGAGGGTAGATTCCCAACTCCGCTTGTGGACTTATTGAAAAGCCATACTTTTTCTCAGTTGACGCTCACGTTGCCGACTCTGCAGCTCCAATCGCTCAACTGCGTACTTCAGCCGTTCCTTCTTCTGGACGAGTCGTCTGTATTCCGCTGCTTTTGCGACAGCACTACTACCATCTTGTCTCTGTCGATCGCGCATAGCGCCCAGGCCGCGACTCGACGATTGACGGCTGTCGTTGGAGTGAAGTCTGCCCTCCTGGAGCTCGCATTTAGCTTTGAGGGCCTGTTCGCGACGGGACAGCTTTTCGACATGGTTTGAGGCTAAGGATAATAGATGCGCGATGCTCGGTGTGATTTCATCCAAGAGTGACTGCTGTGCTTCGCGCAGAGTAGGTTCGGGAAGGAGTTCAAAGTGCTAGCATGCAACCCAAAAATCAGCAAATTAATGAAAGTGATAGGCTTTGTCGTACTATCATGTCTCTTACCCGCGTTGTCTGCAAGACCTTGCACAATCGGGGAAAGTCGCTAACAGCGGAGTCGAGAGTAGAGATGGATGAATCGAGGGTTTGTAATGAGGATTGAAGTGAGTCAACTGAGGCTTGAAGTGATGCAGCCATGTTGGAGCATATGTTACTGTTAATTTCGTCTGGGGTGTAGATATGTTGCTGTCTTCTCGCATCCTGGTCTTCATTGTTTATTTGCTGAGGGGTTCGCGGGCCGATAAAAGCGGCACTGGCTTATTGCCCACTCCGTAAAAGCGGCCGGATATCGGCCTTCCGGGCAAACCTCGTTGCTTCCGCTTCTCCTCGTCGCACGGTTCTCAAGCTCTATCAACTCTCCGAACCCTCCGCAACCAGAAGTCAGCTTCAAATTGCATAATCAGTCGCAATGTCTCTCCTCGGAAAGAAATTCCCAGCCCCTGTGGGTATGTTATAAGACCCCTACTACGCTCGTGCGATGGCGATCGATTCAAGTCACTAACCGCTCAATCACAGCCAAGCCTATGGCTCCTTTCTTCGCTGCCGGTATGCCATCTTGATTCTATCGCGGATATGTTGAGCTCGCAGATTGAACCCAGAAAAGCGGTCTCGATCCTAGCCAAAGCCGGAATGCCCCAGTCTAACGGAGATTTTGTTGCAGGTGTCGTCATCCTCTACGGCGTCAACTCTCTCGCCAACGCTCTGATGAACAGTGAGCCTCCCTTTTGCCCTGCGACTAGATGAAAGGATCCCTCTGCGGATGCGCCTCGACCATGCGTTTCGAATTCCATCACTTCAATCAACAATGGCTGACATTTACTGTTTTTCTTTTCTAGCCGAGGAGTTCAAGAACGATCCCCGCAACCCCAACGCTAAGAACGTCAAGCACTGATTTCATTTCAAAATTTTCAATGATACCAGTATGGCGGAGGAAAGAGGACGGTCAATGGTGGCATCACTCCTGCATTGCTGTTGCACTTCGCTCTGAGTTCGCGTGCAGCCAACCTGTACCAGCATATAGAATTTACCGCATTGGGGTACTCTGACGAATAGTAAAGGTGTACAATTACTTCCGTGATCTCATCCTCGGTCTTTGTCTCACGTACTCGTCAGTAATTGACCCTCTTTCATGGACATCTCGCGGCTCTCCAGAACGGCGCTGGCTCGTAGGACCGTGAGAGCGTACACTCTGGCTCTCGGCTGCCCCACAGGAACAACTGAGACGAACTAACTGTCACTGGTGGAATCATCAAAAGCGAGATTGTGTATTGGTGACTAAAGTTCTCTGCTGCGATCGCTCCCTAGGCTAAGAGGCCCTACCAATACTAGAGTACTCGAAAGGATTATCGCATGATAGATTCGTAGAATCTGATTAGACTAAAACATATTAGATTCAATAAGCAGCACAATCATATTCTAAAGAGCAAAATCCTATTTTGAAAAGCATAATATAGGATTAATTATACCAAATCGTTCTGATATCTGGGCCAACCCGGGCTAACCCGATCTGGAAGGCACATTTTGCCAACTCGACGCTCGGTTTGAACCGCTTTCCGTTGCGCCGGTGCTCCAAGACATTCATTTGACAGCGAAGAGAGCTACCCCTTAACGTTCATTCCACTATTCACCATGTCGCAGTTCAGATCGAAGAGGCTGGATCTCAGCGGGTTTATCAATGCCCGCGTGATCCGCGACCACACGAAGCGCAAGGTCTTCGAGCAATATGAGCCTGATCGGTATGGCCACCCTAGCAGCATTTGGCTAGGAAGTTTGCAAAAGTTATTCAGAGCTAATACGGGCTTCTTCATGCTATATAGTCAAGCTCTCCGCTACATCATCCGCAACACTACCCTCCCCCAGCGAGTCCGTGCCCAGGCTCAGCTGCAGCTTTCTCAGATGCACGCCTACACCCGGCCGACGCAGATCAAGAACAGATGTGTAGCAGGAGGAATCGCCAGGAGTGTGATACGCGATTTCAGAATTGCAAGAGTAAGTGGCGTCCTTGCCCGGTGATTTTGCCTGGTGATTGTCGATAGTCTGAGCGGATTGGCTAATACAAATTGTTCGTCACAGTATCAATTCCGTCAGCAGGCGCTTAATGGTGAACTCCCCGGTGTGAAGAAGGCGAGCTGGTAGAGTTCTTCTATTTTGCAGGTTGTATTATGTTGGCGATTTTGGGACGGCCGGTTTGCACGCAGGCGTTTTATCCTCCTTTCCTTCTCTGAGAGATGTACAATAGATGCGATGCTTGATTGAGAAATGTCAGTCAGTGAACATTTGAGTCGTTAGGGCCATGGTGGTAGATGGGTGAAGTTACAACACTTAGCCTATAAGGAATAAGCTATATGTAAAGTTTTATAGCTTATATTAAAGCTATAGAAGTACTAAAGCTAGTAGGATTAATGAATCCTGGTCTGGTGGTATATAAATTCCCTCAAAAGGAAGCAATAACAGAAATCAATGTATTGTGCTCCAGTCAAGACACATTCAGAGCGGCTGAGTGATAGCAAAATCAGGTCATATTCACCCCAAAGCAAACGACTGTTTTCCAATATTACGTCTCGTCGGATAGTTGCAGCTCTCATCACATACGACTGTCTTCAAATCCATCTACACCATCTCTCTCACCATAGTTTTCGTTCCGTTCCTACACTCTCTTAGTTGGAAACTATCAGAGCTTCACTCATCACTCTCCAGGGTACAGTACACCTTATACGACTTCTTATCAAAAGTTGTGCTTCCTTCCTGTATCTCTTAAGTTGCAATCCCGCAGGGCTCGCTCAATTTCTGAGAAAGCAAGCAACGATATCCGTGAGGATGTTTGTCTACCGTCCACAGGATCTGCCTCAGGATCCTGTCTTTCCTGCGGATTTGGAGAAACTTGGGTAAGGGACAGCCAGATGAGTTTGAATCTTTCCAGTCAAGTCCAACGAATGTTGCAGGTACTTCATCAATGAAAAGGATCAGATCAGAAAGATTGCCAATCCCGAACAGGAATTCCAGTTCAAGATCAATAGAAATGACCGATGTAATGATTTACAACGAGGGGCAATGAACGGTAAGACTCTTGGAACTCTTCATCAGCCCGAGGAGTTCGGACAAGCTTGATCCACTGACATGACTAGAATGCATTCGCACTGTCGTCTCTTCACGCCTGCGCAGTCTGGGACTCACTACTATCCGACTTCCTCTCACATCTGGTCCTAAAGATCCTCATGTTCCAATTTGGGTCTCTGCAAACCTGGCTCGCGCATCCCGCGTCATCGTTGTGTTTGGGGAGCCCATTCAGGACCTTGGTATCTGGGCATATCGTACTGTAGGCACAGAAGGCGTCGACGCAGGTTCAGCTGTGGCTTTTGCGAGAGCAATCTTGGAACAGAAATCCGCAGCAGGCTTCAAAGATACAGACAGTGCTTTACTTCTGGCGAATACAGGTCAGCTGATTTGGCACTGCGGTTCCAGTCGAGCAGTCACCCATCAAACGTGGCTCGCCCTTCCGCGGTCTTCAGCTGTCGATGCGCCGTTGACGATGACCCGTCGAAACAAGATCCCTTCGAACCAGGACTGGCAGGAACATGTTGCCTGCGTTTTCGACGAGATCCTCTCGGCCCGCGGTCGCCTCGTCAGGGAGGACGCGAAGATAGACATCATTGGCTTGTCCGAGGGAGGCCTAGGAGCGGTTCGGTATCTCGCAGCTGAGTGTATGCTTTGCCATTTCCCTTCTTTCTCTATGCCAGGGCTGTTGTGGGAAGCTGCTGACACAGGCTCATGATAAGGGGACTCATGGAGAGCATACGTATCCGCCATCGCATTGTCCAACCCTCTCCATTACACCCATTTTGACCTCGTCGAGGAGAGCCCGGCCGTGCCATCATCGTTCGTCTCTTTCGTTTCCTCTCGCTGCCGCGCTTACGTACTCTCCGACAAACCTGTTGGCTTCCCCGTGCCAGGCTTTCAAGAGCACGGCTGCAATTGCTACTCGTCTGGTGAGGCACTGCATACAGAATGCATCATGCCAAATGCCTGGGAAAATATGCTTCAGTGGCTGGCAAGGATGTATGCGAATCCGTCTGACGGCGAAGCACATCTCGAGTTCAAGGAGTTGGACGGCGCCACTTCGGAGACCGTTGCTGGGGATGGAGATTAGTTCGAATGGTTGATGTCCTTTACAGTCCGTATGACTTTGACTTTCAAAGTTTATACCCTAAGGCTGACGAAAGACATCCCTTCAGCCTAGGATATTCAATGGTGCGTTTGATTTGTTGAGGCGCCAGAAGGGTCCAGTCAGATAGTCTCAATTAGTATCCATTGTCAACGAGCATTCCGTACCCGGTGCTCTCAATGATCCAAAATGAGAGAACTCTTTATCCTGGCCGTTTGTGCGTATTCCTAATCTGAAATAGGAGGCTTGTCTCAGAAGCTCCCTCTTACCTCTCGATCTCATACTCAATAATTCAAGTATTGTTGTCATTGATCTATCCAGCTGAAATAGGTCTTAGCCATCAGGCTCATCTCGTTATTCGTTCTCAGCATACAATTTCAGCAAGACAACTCCGTCGGCAATATGCCGGTTTTGAACTTCAAACAGCTGCCATTGCCAATGGGAAAACTCATTTCTAAACATGGAATCTCGTAATTTCTGCGGGAAGCACGCAATGAGCATGCCAGCAGTCCAAAACTGCAATATGCATCATAGCGTAGTAACCTCATGAAAAGATAAGCACCTAATTTGAACACCCCAGTATCTATTTTCTTACCACTACAATGATAGTCTCGACATCTGAGGATTCGCATAGCGCATGTATGCGGGACTCTGACACTCCCAAACAGAGGCTGCGCTACGCTGAATCTGCTTCTTCAGTGAAGAGACTGGATGCGGGTTCTTTCATCCTTCATAAACAGACCAGATAATCCCCAGGTATTTGTCTGCCTTCTCTGCAAGTTTAGGACTCGGTCGATCACTCTAATCCTGTCATACTTCTTGTTTCTAGTCCCCTGTCTGGCCCACTTGCCGGCGGGTCGGTCCGGTGGATCGCTTGTTGAGATCAATTCAGGGGGATTCGTTTTTTGGTATTTATTTAGTGAGACAAGTTTTTGGCTTCTTAATGGCTGTTAAGTGATTAGGCCATTCCTCATTAGATGTGAGTGAGTGGGTTGAGTCTGAAAAGATGGCCAGTAAGCACTCCGCAAGTCCGCAAGAAACATGGAAGTGACAGGTGATGCAACCTGTGAGTTACAAGGTGTTTTGAAGGGATAAATGCCAATATGAGAATATCATTGACGACGAGAGATATCCAAAAATTATCATCGAGCTTTCGCAAACGTCTTCCAGGATGGGGATATATATATCCATGTACAACAAGATACATCCATTTGGCTCTGTTCCCTCCAGACTTCTGGTCATATTTTCGAAAACTGAACCGTTACAATGACGGATCATCGGGAGTGTCTGAGACCAGTTTTCAATCTCAAACAATTCCAGACTTAAAGACACTGCGGCACGAGCACTTGCACATGCAACTGTGAGCTCACGGGCCAACTGTGCCTGCTGGAAGGGCCTTGTCCTGAACAAGGATGAAGAAGCGAAATCTGAAGCTGTACGCTCTGATACAAATCGTCGTCCTCATCAAAGGCTGGTCTCTCGAGATCAACTTCGATCAAGACGACGTGGATTGACGTCTGCTAATATTGACATGTCTATCTTAACTCTCTTGAACTTGCTATTTCGTCTTAAGGCGAACCTTCCCGAAGATGAGGTATGCTAACGTTACACTGTCTGTCGCAGGTCAGCTGCTGCCCTCTGGCGGTCAGCGCGCCGAAGCACGAGCCTCTGGATCTGGTGCTGACGGCAAGGGTTGTCTGCAGCCGCAAAAGTACCAAACAAAAGAAGATACGAGGGCTCAAGAGACGTTTCGAGGTGGCGGCGATTCATCCGTTTAACACCCGTCAACTATCCTTACACTAGCCATCTGAAGGTTATAGTGTGGAAGCACCAATGGATCCGCTTATACGCGGTCATGATTTCCCCGTCGAGTCAGACGACAATTTGGGATTGCGTGGCCACGAGGAAGGAACACGGCAGAAAGCTAGAGCGGCGTGTTGATCCGAAGCAGTCACAGTTGCCTCATGTTGAATCAGACTGACACAATTGTTGAACCAACGTGCTGATATCACCTTGACGATGCCAGACGCAATTGGAGAAATGATCGAGTAAGCATGACAATGTACTAGCGGACATGTTGCACTATGCACGATGGACCTGCGTTGATACACTCACTCTTAATCTATGCGACTTGGGGACGAAGGACGGCCAGGCCTTGAGTCAAAACTTCACGGAGGACGCCGAAAGAGGGGGAGAGCACAGAATTTTGGAGACTGTTGACAGTCTTCCTAAGCGCCCAATTATAGAGAGCAATGGCTATCACATCCATCGTGACTCCATTCGTCAACTCATTTTGATCGAGTAAAAGGAAACGGCCCACGAATTTCGATCGAGTAAGAGGGATGAGAAATCTGCAGGGAGATACCCGACGGAACCAGCGGAGACGCCCGATAGATTGCCTCGCCCGTCAGGCACCCATTGGTGGAAATTCTTGTGATTGGTTCGGAAGTGCGGCCATTGTTACGAAGTATGAAATTTTTACACGGCCGGTATTTTACGGATCGCTTGCCACTTTGCCGGTGGACTTGTGTTCCGATAACCGGATCTGGTAAGCATGAGGGTATCCAGACGATGCACACTGTCCTCCATACAGTGTGTATGACAGGCTTCTGGGTAGTATGGAGGGTTGATTGTACTGGAGAGAAGGACTATATTTTGACTGTCAGGTTTGCCGAAACAGGAGCCTAAGCAATAGGCAGGAGCTGTTTGTTCAAGGGCAATAACCGAAGCCAATATTTGAAGCATAGTCTACCCCGTAATTCCCATCGAGTAATCTGAACTGAATCAGTGGGTATTTCGGAGGATCATGATCTCGATCGCCATTCTGGCTGTGCGGATGGCCCATGCACCCCGTGGACGGCGTTCTAGGTTACTCGACCGTATCCCCGGGGTCTTCTGGTATATAAGTGGTGAGTCCTTTCAGGGTCAGCCATGATAATAATAGGAAATCTCTGAGATAGGCCTTGTGTTCCTTCTCTGTTTACCCGTCTCGACTTCCCCCGATTTTCTGCCGAGTGGCGGGTCCAGAACAATTTTCTTATCCTTATCAACAACTATCAAAACTTCCTTTATCTTTCTTATCCTCCCTTATCAGCACTCGATCAACAAGCAATTTCTCTCGCTCCCCCCACCAATCTTCCCTCGAGGAAACGGCAGAGTTTCTCTCTCTTTCACTGCTCGTACCTCTCCTCTCGTTCCTCAGTCATTTCGTCATTCTTTCTCCCTATATCTCTTTTCTTCATACCCCTTCACCATGGAGGCTCCTCCTCAAATGCCTTCAATCTCCGTGGTGGCGTCCTCGCGCGCCGTTATCTCCGGCCGTTTGACATCAGCCACCATTGTTATCTCTCGTACCACTGGCAAGATCACTGCAGTCTTTGACTCGGTCATTCCTGCGTCTGACTTCCCCGCGGGGACTCCATATACCGACTATTCCCCTCATGTCCTCTTGCCTGGTTTGGTCGATGCACATGTCCACCTCAATGAGCCTGGCCGGACCGAGTGGGAGGGCTTCTACACTGGAACGCAGGCCGCCGCCTTTGGTGGCGTTACCACAGTGATTGATATGCCATTGAATGCCATTCCTCCAACAACAACCGTTGCCGGCCTGAACGAAAAGATTCAGGCCGCCGAGGGCAAGTGCTGGGTGGATGTTGGCTTCTACGGCGGTATCATCCCTGGCAATGCTGGCGAGCTCAAGGCTCTGGTCCAGCAGGGTGTGCGCGGTTTCAAGGGTTTCCTTATCGATAGTGGGGTATGTATATGTTCCCTCGTGCGTTTCTTCGGTGCACCACTGACCGCTTTATCCTTTGACAGGTGGAAGAGTTCCCCGCTGTCTCGTCCGAGGACATCAAGTTGGCTATGAAGGAGTTGGCCCATGAACCCACAACCCTCATGTTCCACGCAGAGATGTTACCCCCCATCGCGGCCTCTGTTGGAGACGCTGTCAGTACCTCTGACCCCCCTGCGGCCCCAGCAGGTCCTGTGGAAGCTTACTCCACTTTCCTTGCCTCCCGTCCCTCAGTCTTCGAGACTTGCGCCGTGCAGGAGATCCTGTCACTGGCTCACTTGGCCCCCAATCTCCCACTGCACATTGTCCACCTATCAGCCATGGAGGTGATTCCTCTCTTGCGCAAAGCCCGCGCCGATGGTGTCAGAATCACAGCCGAAACGTGCTTCCACTATCTGTCACTCGCCGCTGAGGAGATTCGCGATGGTGACACTCGTCATAAGTGCTGCCCTCCCATCCGCTCCAAATTGAACCAGGACGGCCTCTGGGCCGAACTCGAACGTCATGCCGAGGACGGAGTCATCAAGACTGTAGTGTCGGACCACTCTCCCTGCACACCTGACCTGAAACTCTTGCCATCCCATATTCCTGGCCATCATGTTGCCAATGGCGAGGTCGAAAACCCCGGCAGCTTCTTCTCCGCCTGGGGTGGAATCTCATCCGTCGGTCTTGGACTCCCTATCATGTGGACCGAGCTCAGCCGTCGCAAGAACCTGACTTCCGCCCCCGATGACGCCAACACGAAGCGTGCCCTTCAGGATATTGTGCGATTGTGCTGTGCCAACACTGCGGCGCAGGTCGGCCTGCAGAACCAAAAGGGCGACCTGGTCCCGGGCTTTGACGCCGATATCTGTGTCTTTGACGACACCGCCGAATGGGTCGTTAAGCCCAGCACCATGCTTTTCCGCAACAAGTGCTCCCCCTACCAGGGCCGTACCCTTCGAGGCATGGTCCGCGAAACCTGGGTGCGAGGCGAAAAAGTCTTCAGCCGAGACGATGGTTTCGTCGCAAAGATCCCAACGGGTCACCTCCTTCTCGAGAAGCGGGTTTGATTCTTTTCATTTTCCCTGATACCCATTTCCTCGATCGAGACTGTTGACAGTCTGCCAGTCTCAACAAAAGCGATTTCTCCCAACCTGTTGACATGATGAAACGATGCATGATGCACCCCGTTACTGACGACCATTAATTATAATGACTTGAGCAGCAGCATATCCGCTGATTCTGATGCCACAAGCGACACTGTAGATTTGAGGTTAGATTTTGATAGACAAATACCATGCATTAATTTATGACTCTGTTGTCATTTCCGCTCCGGTGTCCAGAGATCTGGAGCATCCGGACGAATAAATCCATTTCTTTGATCATTCGACAGAATGAAATCGTAACTTACAGTCATCCCGCATTATCTTGGTTCCTCTGACTCTCCTTCTCCTCCCATTTCTCCCTCATCCTCCGCCGCACGCCTCCATTCGCACCCCTTCCCCATATCGTCTCCTGATCTCCATCAATACTCTGGATCCCCTCCTTATCCGTCTTGCCGGCTCGACCCCCAACCACATCACTCTCCACTACCTCCTTCCGCTCCTTGATGCGCCTCTCGCGCGCCCGTGCCTGGTCAACCTTTTGAAGATAAATCGCATAGATCAAAACTTCCGCCACGCCCACCATCAGCGCGGCGAACAGGGAGACCAGAACCCGCACCGGCTCCGACGCGCCCCCGCTCACCCTATTCGCACTCGGTTTGCTGGGTGGCTGTCCCCGCCACAAAGAGGATACAGAGCTCACCAAGATATCAGGGGTACGGAAGCTCGTCAGCGCCCAGTACACGCTGAACCCTGTGATGAGCACCGAGAGGAAAATGTTCAGTACCAGTGACGGGGTGAGCGGGTCTGTCGTCTCCGTATCGCCGGCGGGTGCTTTAGAGTCGTGAAGGGCAGAGAGAGTCGGCGTGGAGGAGGAGAAGATCGGCGAGGGCCCGCTGTGCCTTGGTGCGGAGGGTGTGAATGTTGTGGCTGTCATGCGGTTGTAGGCGTCTGCTTCGGCGGCGGCGAGGAGGCGGGCCTTTAGGGCGAGGTACTCGGGGCTCTGGTGATCATATTGGTTAATACCTGCAGTAGGAAGAGGGAGAGGGGGTAGAACGTACAGGTTCAGGTTTCTTAGGCGGAGGAGGGACGTAGACTTTTGTGCCCCGGAGGAGCGAGTTGAGGCTTCTGTCTGGGCTCGGATCGGAGCTGGTGCTGTTCGCTCCATTGCGGAAGTAGCGTGATAGATGGATCACTTGCTCGTGCGAGATTGGCGAGTTGATACTCAGAGAGTCGGGGAGGCCCAGCTCCTTGCGAGAAGAGGAGGGAACGGCTTCGAGTGCGGAGATGATATGAGTGGTTGTGACGAGGAGGACCATGGTGGTGTTTGTGGTGGGCGGTTGGATGTCGATAGGGTATATAAGAGTTTCAGTCCATATTTCATCAATGGTCCGTTATAATATCAATATATTGCGATAGTCGGTATGGATGTTGTCTAGGTACTTTGTAGATACATGGAAGTATGGAAACTTGGCCGGGCGATAATATAATGACGGTAATGGGACCTTGCCAGATTAGGCAAGTGAGCTCCCCCACATCCATCACCTCCAATCAATAATATCACCGGCTTCATCGCCCGCCATCCTCAGATCAGCCCTCTTCGCCATATCCCTCTCTACTCGCATAATATCGTAATTCCGGGGGTGGGACTTTGTCTGCCGTCACTCAACTCCACAATGGCAGACAAGAAAGCCAGGTAAGTTGGAAACGCGAGGGAGAAAGAAAAGTTCATCACCCCTCACGTCCCCCTCCAGTCCACCGCAGCAGCACTTCAGAACTGACAACCACTCTACTCCAGCACCGTAACAACACAAACGAACCCACGCGGAATCCCCGCCGCTCCCTTCATCGACAATGTCAGCGACTACGTCGCCTCGCGCGCAGACGTGGAACCCACCCTGCAGCGCTTCCAGGAGATGATCTCCAAATACCAATTCATGGAACTCAACACCCAGCGCCGAGCGGCGGGCCTCCGAGAAAAGATCCCCGACATCAAGAAGACATTAGACGTCGTGCGGTTCTTGAAGATGCAGAAAGAAGTAGGTCATCGAGTCCAGTCACCGATAATACCACTTTGCAGTAATTGCATGCTGAATGAAATGGGTAATGGCAGACAAACTCCTCAATTCTCGAAACCAGCTTTGAGTTAAACGATACCCTCTACGCGCGCGCGCAAATCTCCCCACCGACACGGAAGAAGTATACCTCTGGCTCGGGGCGAACGTTATGCTCGCGTACCCCATCCCGGAGGCCGAGACGATGCTCTCGGAGAAGCTCTCTGCCGCAGAGCAGAGTCTAGCGAACTGTGATGAGGATCTGGAGTTTCTGAGGGAGCAGATTACCGTGCGTGCAGGAGTCCAGTTTCCTTTGCTGTTGAGTTCTGACTGATGTTTGACATAGACCATCGAAGTCGCTACCGCTCGTGTCTACAACTGGGACGTTGTACAGCGGCGGAAAGAAAAGGCTGAAGGCAAGGGGGATGACGATGAAGAAGCGACCGACAAGCGTAAGTCAGGTGGCTAAATGTTCAAAACCAGTAATGCAATTCCTCAATTATTATGTCATGACGAGCGCCTTACATAGCATTCACATCCGACGAGGAGAGGCCTCTCCTTTTTCTCCTCCGTATTCTATGTTGACCAATCTTTTGGGATTGGATTGCTGAAGCGCTGCCGTGTTCGTTAATACATCAAAAGCCTGACGGTCATGGCCATCGGGCGACCACTACCAGGACGGTAGAATCAAGTGGCTCATCAGCCATGCTACACGGGGATCGAGGATATAAATGGACTTGCCATTCTATTCGCGCAAGATTCAATTCATTCTATCATCAATAACCGCTGACCAAGCGACGTAAACGCTTCACTTCTTCTGATCGCCAGGATGAAGTAGACACAATCTGAAGGAAGGGGTCGCTTTGGAAATGACATCGTAGCACCATATATCAAGCCCCGTCCAGAAATAAGTCATGTCTTCTCGAACTGGGAGATACAACAAGATGGCGGAATGGGTTCACACAGATGATCATGGTAGGTGAAAGCGCCAACACCATGATATCAAACGATCAAACATTATACTCTATGCAGAATGCACACCGAACCAAGAACCAGAGCTGGAGTGCCTTCTAAACACAACCCCCTAACCGAATCATCAATCAACGTAGTGGATGGCAATATTAAGAAAGAAAATGTCATCAAATCGTAAAATATTCTGGCAAGGTGAATGCCCCAAGACAACAACACCCCCGGCTCAGCCGCGTTTAGCGGCCACTCAATTTCCTTCCCGGTCCAGAATCACCGGGATTGGAATTGGCAAGCAATCGATCGGGCAGCATATCAGCATCGGAAATCGCCCTATCTCGTAACCTCTTTGACATCTCCATGTCAGTATCGTCGCCAACAAACGTCCACTCCTCACTGTCTTCGACATCATCATCAGCATCCTGCTCGGCCGTCGTTTTGGCAGAGGGCGTTGGCGAAAAAGGCGTGGATGAAGCAATAGAGCGCTGGCGGGCCAACGTTTTGGCGTATTCGAGGTCCCGGTAAATGGCCTGGATAGCAGTTGCTACTCCATCCTCCTGTGATCGATTGTTAACAGATCTGTTACCACGAGTGCTTGATCACAAAAATGTCACTTACATTACGGATCCTTGCGCCTAGATCCTGTGCTCTGATGATCATTCGCTCGCTATGGGTGGCTTCCCAGAGTGCCCGCGAGAAAACGCTCACGTTAAGCTTCTTCATGCAAATCCCCACGCCCAAATCCTCTACTCTCGACCCAAAAAAGAATTGATCACCGAAGAAAGGCTTGATGATCGTAGGAACCCCAGCACGCAAGCTCGCCCCAGTGGTACCCGCTCCTCCATGATGAACGGCAGCGTCGATGTGCGAGAAGAGCCAGTCATGCGGCGCAGCCTGAATCTGGTGGATCTCTGGCGGCAGTGGTACTTCTGGCTTAGCACTGGCAGGATCGCCGAGCCTATCGGACCATCCTTTGGAGAGAATACAGCGAACATCAGCCTTCTGGACTGACTCAATCACTGTCTTGGTGAGTGCCGAAGGGTCAGATACGACTATTGATCCGAAGCCGATATAAACTATCTTTTTACCATCTTCGCGAGCACGTTGGATAAATTCAGACAGGGCGGCTGGAGGAGTCCAGTCGGTCCCCTCGTTAAGGAACCAGTATCCGGTAATTCGAATCCAGTCGGGATAGTCCAACGGTGGCGGTACTACAGAGGGAGAGTAGTTATAGAGGAATGGGACTTTGTTCGGTTGCATCTTGTCCAGGGTAGTCGCCTTTAGGCCGAGCTCGTTTTTCCGCCATCTATTCACCTGCCCGGCGATCGCCTTCCAGAAGACGTTGTCAAACATCACGTAGGTTATATAGTTGTACGCACCGCCCATTCTGTGCTCAGGCACAGCAAAGGCGTGTGGGTAAGCTCTTGTCCGTGACCACGGCATTGTGAAGGCACGAAAGTAAGGGATTCTCAGCGCCTCGGCGATGTGTATACCCGCCATGGCACTGGGTGACTCAATGAGAAGATCGCTGTCCTGGCAGCTAGCCCATGCCGACGACAAAAGATCGTCAATCCAGCCCCGGAACTTTTGCGACGCCTCTTTGAGAAAGGAATACGTGAACATCCCATTCTCAACGCAAATGCGCATGAGTTCCGCTGGGTCACCCTCCACCGGAGCAAAATCAATGCCATGCTTTCTCACCCATGGCTCGAATTCTGCATGGGTCGCAATCTTTGGCCTATGGCCTTCTGCAAGCAGCCCTTTACATAGGGCTATGTATGGCTGCACATCGCCTCGCGAGCCAATCGTCAGACAGGTGATCCGAAGAGACTCGGCCGGTTTGAAGTTGACGATTGAAGCGCGAGGATCGTCAAAAATCGGATGTTGCTCAGAAGACTCATTCAAGGGCCGCAAGTCATTTTCGCCATAATCATCATATCTGGCCTCTTGAAGCATACGGTGTTCTGCCATCGCTGCCTCGGACTCGTCCTGCTCCTGCTCAGCTAGCAAGCCTGACTCTGCCATGAACTTTACAGCCTCCAGATGTTGATGGAGCGTAACAGCGCAGTCATCCCGAGCATCAGACGTACGGAATTCGAAAAATAACTCCTCATGTCCGCGGATAATAATAACAAGACCGTGATAGCCAAATCTGAAGCCTTTCTCCTTTTCAACGTTCTCAATGTCTCTTAGAGGCAGAATCATCTTTGTACGAGTCCCAGGAATAAGACTGCGGAAACACAGCTTCTTCTGACTGACGTATATCTTGCCATAGAGCGGAAGCACCCGGTGCAGGTACGCAAAGTATGTGGCTTGCAGCTTCTCCGTCGGCGGTAGTGCAAAGTGCGCACGGAAACGGTCGCCATAGTTGCAGCCGTCCTCCTTGTCTTCTGGATCGACGTCCTGATCATCTGGCAAGACATCTTCTGCCTCGCCATAATGTTTTCGACCGCCAGTCCACATTCCCGAGACTTTCTCTAGATAGCCCATAGATTCAATGGCCAGGAGATTACTCATTTGCTTTGACCGGGTCCTCAAGTACTCGGCAAGACCTGCTGCACGCTGGAGAGGATATACCCCGGCTTTGACAAGCTCGTTCAGAGAAGGCGCACCCGAGAAGGATTTAGTCGGATCTTGCGTGTCTTGGTCTGATTCACCGGTGGAATCCCGAGCCTCACGTTCACTTGTATCTCCATCCGTTCGTCTGCCAAGCTCATCGATCTGGTGAGCGGTACCAGCATTAGCACGCGTGGATAGTGATCGAGCCGTTTCGTCAGAATTGCGTCTTCCTCTTCTTTCTCCGCCAGAAGGTCTTCTGTCCAGACTATAAATAGTAGGAGATTGAAAGACATCACTGCGATTCAAGATCTGGCTCGCTGATTCTGCCGCATCTGTCATCGATTGCCAGGCAGCTGAGGACTCAGAACCTTGCTCGAAAGAATTCAATATCGAGTCTGACGAGTCCTGGTGTCGAGTTGCCGGCGATGATTTTATAACATCATGCGCGAGGCTCATATGACTCGTGCTCACACTCCTTTTCCGCTGCGTCTCAGCTCTGCTATTACCTAGAATCCTACTCGTCCCGGTGGTCAACGACCACCTGTTTCGAGATTTGCGGGTACGATCAAACCGAGGTGACAGGTCCGGTTGCGGCGAAAGGTGTTGAGAAGAATGTTTCAGAGATTGGTCATTAATGAGGCTTCTAAGGAACTCGAATGCTTCCCGGCCGGAGTTGAAGAATGTGAAGAAATACTGCGAATCATGAGCCTTGTGCAGAAGGATCGTAATCAAGAGACGTACCTCATCAATCGCGTACGAGTCATCATCCTCAATCACACGTATCTTGAACGTCTCGGCAAAATCTACCATAGGACTTTCCTCTATGTCTATAATGCTTTCGATCGGAAAAGATATCTTGACGCTCTCCCCCTCGTTGTGTGTCCGAAAAATCACTTTTTGCAGGGCCTTTACCCATTCCTTCGCACTCATGGAGCTATCAGCTCTGAAATAGTACGTTCTCTGGTCTGTAGTGACTTGAAAATCTCTAGGCTCCCTCCCTTTCTCTTTCGGTTCGCCCAACGAGGCAGAAATCCCGTATCGAAGATCGACATGACCACTCGGAAAGTAGAGATTTGACGGGTCGGCATAGTAGGAAAGAACATCACCCTTCAAAGAAAACCAGTAGCGGCTGTACTTGGGGTTCTTTCGACCACGTTTGTAAAGATACCCAGACTTGATAGCCACTGTAGATTTCTTGGGGAGATAGGCGTAGAAGCAGATGTGTCCCTCGGTGACGTACATGTACCCCTGTAAAAGCATGCTCTGGAGAAGTGAGCAGGCATACTCAACAAGAACTTTTTCTGGTTTGTCAAAGCCGAACATATCCATCAGCCTTGTAGAGAGGGGGGACACGGATGCGTCGCGAGGGCCCTTCTCGCCACTTTCATCGAGAGAAGATTGGGAGCGTTCGGTAGACGATGTTTTCAAATCAAATTGGGCTTGAGCTTCGACCATACGGCTCAGGATAGGAGCTGCTCGAGGAGTGGCACTGCGCGGCCGTGTAGGAGGTGAAACGCTGGGCATTTCATCGCCCGTTGAAGGATCGGTCTGTGGCTCATGCTTGGAGTTCGACTTAAATGGCCGAAATAATTTATGGTCCGATATTGTCCTTCGATGGCGACGGCCTCTTGTGCCCGACTCCTTCTCTGATTTCCCATCGGTCCGCGAACTGGATCTTTGGCTCGGTTCGAGGGAGGACGTATTTGCCGACGCAGACGTTCCTTTCCTGACAGAAGATTCCTTTCTTGGTCGCTGCTCTGTTTCTCCATCACTGTCACTTGACTCGTCAAACCGCGCATGAAAATCAGACCTGGAGCCAACAGCGGCGATCATCCCAAATATGGATTGTTGCATGTATTGAAGATGGCCCTCGCGAGAGCCAGATCCTCCGGGAGGTGCAGTAAAGTCGACCTGGGCATCGTGATTGTCTTTCAGTCTATCCGGCAAAGCACTGGGAAGAAGACGGCTTGTGGACAGGGACTGTCTGCTTGCGCTGAGCTTGCGGTCCACCCGTCGCTTTGCATCGTCCAGAAATGGGCGCATTCTCGACGTAGATCAGAACCTAAGTGATTCTCTGAGACCTAAAAAGGTAAAGAAATGCAGTGGTAAATCGCGGCCGCAGCCTTAAGGTGCGGAGCGACGAGGCTATGATGACTGCAGTTGAAGGAGTGCGTTGTCCACGGATATGGTTGGAGGCAACAAGCCAGATGTCACAACCAGGGCTTTGAGTAAACCTAGTGTTACAATAGACAGATAATCCTGTCAATCAGTTCACTGGTCCACAACAAGCAGCATGCCCTATAAGTGATGAAGAAAAAGGGAACGAAAGAGAACGAGATAAATGAATGCTCACCGTCTCTATAGTACTCCAAACTGATAAGGGCCTTCCACAAGATTGTTATCAGTGCACGGAAACGCTTGAGGAGGGTGTCATTAGGGCGACAGAAGGGAAGGGCTCAGAGTCATGCTGAAAAGAAAGACTAAGGCATGATCTTCCAGATGAAGATCCACAAAGCGAAAGAGTTGCAGGAAATGAACAATGTGCAGTGATTCTAAGCAAGTACTTACAGAGAGGAACAAGCCCAACGCCCTAGCTTGACCTCTGGCGTCACTTGTCTGTATCAGCTGTTCATCAGTCCCTGGCCCCACCAATCATGGGGATTGCATGTGATTGAGGCACGGTATTCATCCAATCATAAGCACTTGCCATCGCTCAACTGCCTTATGTCATCGCCCTCTTTGATCTGTCTGTAATTTACATTACCGTCGCTTCTCTGAGCTGGACGTGACATGAAGATAGTAAGATCGTGGGACGATCAAGCCAAAATTCCAAGGGCCTAAGTCGCGTCTGAGATCTAAGATCATATGATATCTGATTGATCTTTCTGTACTAAGTATTTGCCGCTCATCGAGTACCTTTGGGCCTAGTACAAGCACGAGGCTGATTGCCGGTATCAGTGGCTGTGCAGTGTGCTCCAATTTGGCTTGGGAACCTGGAGCAACGGAGTCTGGTCGAGAGCAGCACTATATTGTGGATATCTTCAAGTCTGTATAGCTTGTTTTCAGAGAAATATGGTAGTACTAGATTCCAGACTTGAGCATCCAGGACTTGATTTTTAGTGCATAGATGCTTCTTCTTAGAGATCGAAAGATCAGAGTGCAGGCACCATTGGCCATGATGCGCAATCCCGTCAATTGGACAACTTTTTTCGCTTATGAACAACATGAAAATACAGTTCTCATTTCGACATTCATCACGCCTTCTCCTTCTTCCGTTTCTTCTCATCTCGCTTTTTGCTTGATTGTGATGCATCGACAGATTGTTTCTTGGACTTCTTCCTGGGCAAGCCACCCGATTGGGATCCTTCCACTTCTTCGGCGTGCTTCCGTTTTCTTTCCTCGCGCTCGGTCTTTGATTCTTTGGGAAACTTGAAAGTTGGCTTTCCTTCTCCCTCGGACTCTTCCGAACTCGAACCGATCGTCTCTGGTGGACCCTCTCCACTACCGACCGGGCGAAACCGCATCTTCAGATGTTTCGGTTGCTTCCTTGGTGGCTTGATCTGATCCTGTGCTGCTGCCAATACTGCATCGTCGGTCCCTAAGCTTTTAGGGAGGTCGATCATTTCTTGTACGTGATAGGTAGGCATGGTAGTGGCAGGTGCGCTGTAGTATGTCTGCGTCTTCGAATCGTAAAGGAGGAGACTCTTCCCACCCAAGTCGCCCTGGCCAATGTTCTCGGATGGGATACCATATTGCACGCTCTCGTGCTTAAGTACCGGCTCCCCTTGTAAGATCTTCGCCAGGGACACCTCTTTGACTTTGGAGAGAGGGAGGAAGGCGGGCGCAGTGATATGGAAGAGTTGTTTGCCGCGAAGGTCGGAAAGGAGGGAGGAAGTGGTAGAAGACGGTGGTGATTGCTTCTTCGCAGCTTTGAAGCCTGACGGTGGCTTGTAAGGAGGTCTTGGGTAGAGGGAATCGTTTGTAGATGAGCTATGCTCGTCAGCTTGACAGTTTCCGAGAACAAAGTAAGCGATAGGACCTACGTATTGGAAGCCTTGATCTCTGGGGACGAAGGGACACTTTCAGAATCGGAGCTGGCCGAATCTTCCGACTCAGATCCTGAGCTTGACGAATCTTCAGTCTCGCGATCCGATTCCGACTTCTTCGCTGGTTCGGGTGATGTCGATCTGCTGCTCGAATTGCTTTCGCTGTCCGAGGCAGTCTTCTTAATTGACTTAGCTGGCGCCATTGTGCTTCGACAGAGCCGTCTGTCAAAAGGAAGCGTTTGAGATTTCGATGCGGAGTGTTCGGGACTTGCAGCCTCGGCCTGCTGGCTGCGCTCAAGGTATATTTGCAAAATGCCAACAAATCAATATAATCTTGTGCCGAACAGAGGCATATATGTATGATTAGTGAAAGTTTTGTTGATGAGCTGACTCCGCAAGTCGTGAGGTTATTCCGCCGTGAAATCTAGTGAGCCGACAACTTTTTTTTCTCCTCCGCGGAGCACAGACCACCCTCTAAAGTCCGCAATCCGCGATGATATGAGATTTTTGTGGTGCCGCCTTTCCATTGAATACATTCTTTCATTTTCATAATCTTGAGCCAATTGCGCTCAGCATCCCAATCTCATGAAAAGAAAAGCTGAGAAGCAGCAGGCGACTGGTACAGACTCAATCTCTCTCCGTGCTCTTGTTCACTCTGAAGCCGATAGCTAACTGAAATTCTGTCTTAGCTCCGGTCAGCGCTTTTGCGGCGCGCAAAGCTCGGCAACAGCAAGCGCAGCCTGTAGAGCCAGAGAAGACCGCACAGAATGAATCTGTCGTCGAGCCGCCATCCAAAAGAGCGCGGTGGTCACCTGAGGAGGGCGCCGCGAGGCAGGCCGCTAACGGAAACGATCGGGTACAGCCGAGGCGCTCTACGAGGAGAAAGGCAGGGACCTTGAGCTCTGCTGAGCTTGCTGAAAAGCAGCCTCAAAGGTCTGCTGCCGCCGCAAGAGCACAGATTGCAGAGCGGACACCAGCTCCGGAGAAGGGGGATGCTGAGACCTCCGACGCCGCCGAGGAAGAGGATGAGGATGTACTGGAGGAAGAAAATGGCGTGGGAGCCATTGCTGTGGAGGATGATGCTGAAGGGTGAGTGTAGGAAAGTCGTTTCAGAAGAACACATGCACTAACTCTCCACAGCTATGAATCACCGGCCGATGACGTCCCGCAGGTCCAGAATTTTCCACTCTCAAAGACACGGTTGAACAAGAGCAATATCGTATCTAGTGATGAGCATACACTCTGTGTTTGTATCAAAGAGAAGATGGTACGAAAGGGCATGAGACATGTATATGTGCTGTACTAATGGCGAACTAGACCCTCGTGTTGTTGGGACATTACGACCTTTGGGTCAAGCGAGGTGTGATTAGCCTGATGGGCGCAAAGCTGCATCCTTCGCCGCGGCTCTACAGGGTTTACGCGCCGTCTACGCACTCGTTGCCCGTCATTAAGTGTGTGGCTGGGGTTGATGGCGAAGCCGAGATCGAGGTCAAGTCATGTCACAGTGGCATCTATCGACTCAGGCACTTGTCACCATTGTATCAGCGGATATGGAATGGGAAGAACACACCAGCGGACAAATTGACATTGAAGAACGCTTCTGCGTCTACCAAGAGGACTTTCTCAGTGGTAGGTGTTCTCCCTTCTAGTTCATGGGTCTATCCGCCACCTAACTGCTGATAGTTATATACTTCATCCGACGACTCCTGGAATCGTCATCTGAGGCCACTCCATCTTGAAAAGCAATGGAGCTCTGCGATTAGGTCGCTCTCGCAGCGAGGGGGGCGATTGAAAGTCCTGATCTGTGGTCCCAAAGCGTCAGGGAAATCAACCTTCAGCCGCTACCTCTTGAATCATCTTCTGAGTCCAGCGCCGCAAACCGAAAATAAACACCGGAATACTGACGGAGTCGCTTTTCTGGATCTTGATCCTGGACAACCGGAATTCTCTCCGATGGGCCAGGTTTATCTCGCACACCTTCGCTCTCCATTCTTTGGTCCGCCGTTCACTCATCCATCATTGGCCGAATCCAAGGATGGTTCGATCATCCGGAGTCACCTCATCGGAGCCACATCTCCAAAGGAAGACCCTGACCATTACGTTTTGGCAGCGATGGACCTTATGGACCGCTATCGAGCACTACTGGCAAGCTACCCTCAATGTCCACTGATTATCAATTACCCCGGATGGATCTTCGGGCTCGGTCTGGAGGTCGCGACATGGCTAGTGAAATCTTTGGGTTTGTCGGATGTCGTTTATATGAGCGAGAAAGGTCCTTCTGAGGTCGTGGAGCCCCTCGGACAGGCTGCCCAGGAAGCTAGAGTCCCTCTGACCACGCTGCCGTCCCAGCCCACCGATTTCGTCAGCAGATCAAGTGCCCAATTACGCTCGATGCAAGTACAATCCTACTTCCATATGTCGCACCCAAGCGAGATTCATAATCCACAATGGCTGGATACAACCATGTCCCGAACTCGACCGCTCGTTGTCGACTACGCCGGGCCACGGCAAGGCATTCGTGGAATAATGGTAATGGGCTCTCAGATTAGCCCTGACCTTCTCCACGAGGCCCTGGATGGAGCGCTCGTTGGCGTTGTTGCCGCCGAGTCTCCCAATGCAATTATGGGCCAAGCCGATACAGCCGGATTTTCGGGTAGCTCTCAACGGGACGCCATGCAAGGTGCTGAAGATCTGTCAGATGCCGCTTCAGACGTCGGCATGAACCACGTTACGAATGCTTCCCACGGCGACGCCGCTCCTACATCGTCCTCCTCTTTTGAATCAATGATAACACGTACCCCGAACGAAGATCTCCCCTATCTCTTCGTCGGCTCCGGGAGCTGCAACCCTCTCGACCCCAAGGCCTCAAACTGCCTGGGTCTGGCTCTCGTCCGCTCCATCGACGTTCCATCATGCAAGCTTGAACTCATCACTCCGATCCCAGGATCCAAACTTCGCGATGCTCTGGAACAGGGCCACGGCATCGTGCTTGTCCGAGGAATGCTAGATAACCCCAGCTGGGCCATCAGCGAAGACTACTACGCCGCGCGCGCAGTGGAAAAGCGCCACCAGGAACTTGTCGCCAAAACACGCAAAGAAGCCGACACCCGGGATGGTCAGGACGCAGCGGGTGACGCAGACACGCAAGGCATGGTGTCTGCCGTGCTCAGGGACCGGATACGGCGCGCTAGCAACGTGCCCTGGATGACGGTGATAGAAAACAACAGCCGGCGGCACTGGGAGGCCGCGCAGCGGGAGAAGTCTCTGTGGAAGTTACGCAAGAAGGCATACCCCGGTAGCGAGAGTGAAACCGACTGGTAGTTTTGCTCGTCGCGGAAATACAACAGTTCACATTTCCTCATTTGATTATTGTAACTTACCGCTGTAGCAGCGACGCCTGTCCATTTACCTGAACCCGCGGAGTAGCGATCTCAAGGAGTCCCTTTTATCTCGCTGCCAGATCTACGTATCTTGGACAACGAATGGCCCTCAGGGGAGGAAAAAAGGGCATCGAAAGAAGGACTACGAACGCCTCCCGCTCTAAACCCTGGTCATACATACGGTAACTCGTAAATCACCACAGACGCAACTCCTGCCCACGCGCAAGTCGCAACCGCCCTACCCAAAAAGACAAACGGGGGGCAGGCTGCAGGCATTCAGCCACCAAAAGCAGATATCAACTGAGCTACCTGATCGCCCATTGCCAAGATTACCGCCGTGACCATGAACATGAACATGTATCTACACGGAGGAAGTGAGTGATTGACCCTTGATGCCCAAATCGTGCCCCCTGAGATTCCTGCAGGTGGCTGGACGAAAGCGGGTCTGAGACTGGATTGCCCCCTTGTGCAGGTTGCATTGCCTTCCTGCAGGTTGCGAAGATCAACTCGGAACTGGAGACTCGAGATGTCGCAATGTAATGAAATGTGACTGGTCACCTCGGGATCTCCTTTATCAGGAGATCATCTGCGTTGCGGCTGCGGGCTGAGGCGGGCAGCGCCGCAGCGCTACAGAGGAGATCTATCTACAGTGTCAATGTCAGCCTGATCATTGCCTGAACCTTGTAGGTGTAAAGTACCTAGTAAGGGACACTACTGTGATGCTAGAGATTATGCTCCGTGTGAATGATATACTTCGCTGGGGTTGTTGCACAATCACTAAGCTGATATAACCAACAGTCCAATGGAAGTATTCATTACCAGCCATTTTTGCCTAAATAATATGGTGATCATTTTGCTTGCATGAATGACCTGCGAAGGCTGCGATTGTGTCTCGGAATTACAAAAGCAAATGCATGTTAATGCATGTTTCTGCCTGATTACGCTTAACGACGGCCTTATTCGATCAGACCCCACCAGAATGCAACAGATGAAGACCTTAATGCATACTTCATGGATACTCTATGAATATTCAGGTACTATGAGCGGCTCAGGGTGGAGGAAAGGTAGGTCTTGTAGTACGTATACAGTGTACTCCGTACGGAGTACTAGTGAGAGCATCATAGGCCACCCAGGGTACTCCTCAAACACCAAGTAAGATGGCGATCTGTGGGATGAAGGATTCGATCAACACAGCTCAACTTCGATCATCTGGTACCTAGCCCATTTGAACCTAAATCAGAGCATCAGCACCGCAGCCAAGATGGCATCGGCGGTGCCTCAGCGGGAAGCGCGGGGTTAACGACTACAATAGCTGAATTCTCGTAGGTTCCATGCGTGAGGCTAACGTAGAAAGCAGAAAGCAGTCTGCAGGAACGGAAATAGGAAGCTGGAACCCAATCCAATCAGTCGTTTAATATCAGAGACAGAGTCGAGGTCGAAAGTGGATGGTCTCCTCGGCGAAACAATCCGATTGGGAAAGTCGAGGCTGTCCAGCATAGCGCAGGTAAGAGTAATTAAGAAAGTATCAGACGCGGGTTTGCCACGTGGAGAAATGTCTCGATCGACAAGACAAACGCTCGATTCATATTGGCCTGTTCATCAGATGGACAGGACACATGGACATGGTTTTGGGACGGATGGAGTCGAGTCGTGCCAATTTGCCATCCATGGACACCGGTGTGGAACCCGCGCGATTTAAATGTCAGGCTGAGGTGGATCATGCAGTCTCTTGACTCGTGTGCTTGCTTACTTTGTTCAAGATGAAATTTGATCGATTCTGCTGGACTGGTTTGAAGACAGTAGAGTATGTATGTGATTTCTTCAAGCTATGTAGGAGTACTTGATTAAGCCTATACCAGATGCCTTGATGGCGCTGCTACTTGTGAAACCATGGGCAGGTATCTAGACAAGCATAAGCTCCAACGAGGATCAGAGGATCAGAGTCTCCGTCAAATTGGATAGTCCGACGACAATAATACTTCATAGAGACGTACAGTGCAAACTAGATATCACATCCTTCCTTCACTTTAGACATGAGATAAGAAGCATCGTCGAATATGTACAACAAACTGATGACGTCCGATAGCTCCTATCTTATCCACAAGCGCCATGCGATAACGACGCAGGAACAGCTTCCTGGAGCTAAAAAGCTTCCTTATCGACGGGAGTTATCAATATGATCCATCACGACATACCCTGGTCGCCATCGATAGACAGATAGAAGAACCATGGACCTCCGTACCAAGTAAGGGACAAGTAGAGGCCTAAACTAGTTAACAATTATAAGCCATTGAGAAATGAAAACAAGGAACTTCATAACAAACATCACTCTGACGTTGACTTCCCTGGCAACAACTAGTTCGAAACTCCAAAGAAATAATAGTCTAGACTATACGTTATCATGACAGGGAACCTGGCCGGTCGCAGCACCCAAAACCCTGGCGTCATCCTGGTCAATATCAACGAGCGTTAAGTTGGTTCTCCAAATCTCGGGGAGTAATCTTAGGCTAGTCGTCGTGGAAAAACGCATGAGATGGGAAATCGTGAAATCCTTCCGAGAGCAGTCGGCTTAATTCCATTACTATTATTTTGCCGATATCCATGTAATCACTCTGCTGACTCGAGGTGAGACAGCATATCGAGAAGAGCATATGGAATACGAGGCAAGCAATTCCCCATATTAATCAACCATGTACCTTAGGCTACACCTGCACTCCACATGCAAATGCAATATATTTCCATCATTCGAGGAGAAAACAGCCGCATGCCGGCGATCGGGCTGGGACTCATCAAAGTGGAGGGTAGTACTCCGTATGCTCAAGGCAAATCCTCTCCTCAACAGTCAATTCCGTCAAAGTCAAGTCTATCTCTCGTTTGGAACTACTTCCTGAACAGTGAGACCTCCTTTTCGGGGCAACGAGTGACACTCGGTCTCGCCTCGCCAGTCACCAGTCCCCAGGATGCCGGGTGCCGAGATGACTATCCTGACACTGCGTAGTGATTATGCAGTTATTACCATTTCATTCCGACGGATCAGACATGTCGTTTACGCAATTACTCTGACCAGCTTAGCTCCAAATGCGCTTATTGACCGGCCTTACTAGAGCTTCCCGCGACGGAACTGGAACAAATCGGAGGCATAGGAATAAATGGCATAGATATCCTGCCGTTTGTCTCACGGCTATCGACAACTTTCCCATGTGGTGCGGGTGACTCTGGCGACTCACACGTAGGAGGTAACTGTACTCCGTGCTCCGTTCGTATACTCTTGAAGACTTGACCGTCTTTCTGTCAAGGCCGGGAACGTAGCCTGTTCGGTGATAGAGACGGCAAAACATCACAAGCAAATGATTGCCTTAATATACTACAGAGTATACTAGAGTGAGCTATTAATCCGGAGGAGAAATATGGTCCGTACCCTCTCCCCAGAAGCGATAGACTAAACGGAGTATGCTGACTATCTAGGCAAAAGAGATCGTGACGAGTAATGGGTCACGGAGGCTAAAGACGGACGGGAGACGACACGGTGTGTTCAAATCTACAAGAAACGGCCGTTAGGCTAGAGTAGGTAGCCTAACCTGACTAACTACCATCTACCTCCCGGCGTCCTCCGTACTCCATGCGTAAATATCCTGACAGAGATCTGAGTTGACGACAAGTGCACTACCCGATGATCCCCCCAGTCATCACATGTGAGACAGCGAGAGGAGGTTTTAAATGGAGAGTTTGCAAATTGCAGGTTGTGACTTGTGGCTGGCGGCTAAGTATGAACCGTTTGCACTTCACAGTACGGACCTCGTAGCGAGCTACTCTAGTAGGTTTTCGACAATCATCATTCAAACTTTGTATGTACCGATTCTTTGCATAATTCTTTCCATCTGATTACTTGGAGGCTTAAACAGCATCTTTTCTGTGGGGTGATTGCCAGAATACTTGCCTTTTAAGCGTTCTGGCTGGGAACTCAAAATAGAGCCGATCGAACTTTGTATTTTCAGAGGTATGGTATTTGTCGAGTTTGCGATGACATCCCATCGACTAGGCCGTGGAAGTTGTGGAACTCGAAGTTGTTAGGTCACTAGGTGGCTTTCGTCTAGACCCCGTTTTCGTAGTAAGCATCGACCTGTTGCTTCCGGGAGACTGGGATGCTGCCGATGGGCCGGAGGGCCGGCAATTCGCATGGGAGTTGGTTACTGTGCTTGATCATCTCAGGTAGGAGCATACATTGCTTTTTCTTACCTGTGCGATGATAAAGTACTTTGTTCTTAGATGCATGAAATCTATCTATCAATTCTTCAGTAATATGCAACATGCAGAAGCATTCAATTCACTCAGGTGACTCCAAGTGGTTCCAAATTCTGTGGTAAGCTGCAGGCTGCAGCGGCGGATATTTCTTAGCACTCAGCAGTATAATATTATTATTTTTATTATCTTATTATTACCATCGTTCATCCTACCTGACGGAGCTAGACGAAAGGGCATCCAATTAATGCTGCCCAATTATAATCATAGACAGCCATTTCCTCCGAGTGACCAGAAAATAGCGCAGGAAACGACGGATCTGGATTCTGGAACGGATTGACTTCTTCCATTTTTCGTTCTACAAACCTTCGATTGCGTACCCGTCGAGTTGGGTACGCCCTGGCCCGATGAAACCCCGACCAGTATCACTTCCATGTTCTCATTGTCCATAGATGCATATGCTGGATAGTATATGATAAACAAGAAACAGATAACTATAATCATAGTACAACCCTTGATTGACAACGTTCAAGTACTTACCGACAGACAGTGTAGAGTGTGTTCGGGCTTCAAATGGCCTGTACTCGAGTATGCCCCTCCGTTACTTTCCCCATACCTTTACTAGCGGTTACTAGTCTTACAGTACCGGATCCCTCGTCTTTGCCCATGAAAAGTCGACCGGTCATTGGGCCTCTTGCTCTGTTCGGCAATCCTCCACCGGCTCAATGACAATACCATACCATCTAAATACCATTCCTCTTCCCGTCTCCCTTTCCCTTCCGATAATGGCTGGAAACAGCAAAAGTTACGGATCGAGTAAATGTTCTAGAAAGACGCTACTTTGTAGACTATTGTGGATTTGGAGGAGGAAAATCATCTGAGAAACGAAAAAAAAAAAAGAAAAAAAAGAATAAGTGTTAACTTAGTAGTAGAAGTGGGTTGATCCATCAATCGAACTAGGCATACTACTTCGCATCGCAGTTATCCATTTCTTTTGCTTCTGTTTCTCCAAGAATAATAATATTATTTTGTTATTTTTCTTTTATAATAACTATTTATTATTATTATTATTATTATATTATTATTATTATTATTACCATCGTCTGTCTCTCTATTATATTCCTTCTAAATACTTCCTACTTGCCGTTCTCAGTCGATATCTATCTATCTATCTACCTCCTCCCACTTTAATGTGGCCTGCAAGCTGGCCTTCGCAGCTCTACTAATTCCAGTCAATTCACATTTCACTGTCAATCCTGGCCTGACAGGTCTCATTGTTCTAGTCCAGTCCATTCTTCCCCATCGGCATACATAGCAGTAGCGCATAGTCTTCCCTCCGCACACTCCTCTATTGTTATCGTTCGCCCTGCGTCATTGCCACACGAACTTCTCGAGTCTCGCCATCACCACCTCTCTTCACCTCGAGAAGCATGTATAGCAACAATGGTCTGAAATGGTTGCCCAATACTGCTAGACGTTAATCTTCCATGGAGATGGACTTCATTGTGAGTAACCTACTTCTTCGCCTCGTTTTACTGTCCTTTGCCATTTTGGCGCATGCATGTGTGTCTTATATACCGACCAACGCCTCCCTTTCACATGTGTGGCGCTGCGTCAACATTGCGCGCATTCTATTATATCATCATGCTGGCAATGGATACGCCTCGCTTCTCGCTGCAACTCGGCTTTCTGTGTGCCTGCTATGTGCTTTTGACATTTTTCATATCTGTCCTGGCTTCTGGGTGCTCATGGCAGCTTTGAATCTGACAAAGGACTCGGTGCTGACAATGCCGCTCTACCAGCTCTCTTTAACGCATTTCTGCGAAGTGCATGGTCCCACCTCGATCATTTGTTCGCAGGTCCTACCCTTTTCATGCTCTCAGTGCTATCCTGAGACCTCAGAATTCTCTCCCGACGATACCCCCGCAACTTCTCACGATACACAGTCCTCTCATGGCATGCGCAACCGCCTCGGCGATGCCAGGGATAACAAGTCAACGAAACGTCCAGACGCATCCAGCGCAACGGCCGGCAAATCTCCCAAGATCGAAGATTCGCCTTTTTTCCTGAAGAATCAACAAAACTCGACCGAGCCTTCCAAGTTGAACATTCTGGGGGAGCCGACGGTGATACTTGCGCCAGCTGTAGCTTGACTCTACCCGACGATGTGAGTAGGCAGCTACCCCCGGGCGCTCCAGGGACCGCCAGCCGTGACGGCAAGGGAAGGAATGGTAGCCCAGTTTTGCGATCTAGAGAAGTCGTCTACTCTTGCGGGACGAGCCATTCCGACGGTGACGACAGTACGCATGATCTGCACGGCCATGCCTCCCTTCCCGATTCCATCCATTCGTCTTCCGTCGCCTCCGATGCTTCGTGTCATACTCACATCCTCACATATCTATCACTCCGTGGGCCTCCGAACCCATCTGATTATGCACTACTCCGCCGCTCCTCCATCCGTACTCTCAGCTGCGAGCTTCTCCCTCGCGGCCTGTCCTCGGGACCTCTGTGTTTCGGTGATGCGACCGCGGGCTATACCATCGCATACGTCTTCCGCCTGCCCGATCCCATGGCTCGGGGCAAAAGGCGTAGCTATGCGCTTGTCGCGTTGGCCGGCAAGGATGCAGGCAGGGCCTTCCGCGCGTGCCCGGTAATCTGGCGTGCGTTTGGGAGAATCGCAACTGGCATCGTCAATTCGGCCGAGAAATACCAGGAGGAGGAGGCAAAGCGCCTCGAGGAACAAAGTGAAGCAGCGAACCGGGCCAACAATCGGCACTACACCCCCGTCTCTTCTTTCCTCACCGGCCGCAGAGTCGACCCGGATGGTCAGCCCCGCCGACTTGGGCAGATTCGGGCGCGGAACCTCTCCGAAATTGTGGGTAATCAGTACATATTCGCCGAAATACATGCGCACTTTGTTGCTCTTTTGCAACAGCTCGGCTCAATGTTTGGCGCTGTACCAATCTCGGAAGAACGATTCATTTGCAGCACACTAGGCGACGACGTCGATGTAAAATCGCGACGCGGTACAATAATCGATGACGGGAAGGACTCGACATCCAAAGGCCAGTCAGAGAGTGACTTTGGACTATCCGGTCTGGATTTGTCTTCAGGCCCTAAGCCCATCCCTATCGCGCCTCGTCGAACTGTCATTGCCTAAGAGCTTTGAAGCTGTAGCTTCAACTTGATTCCTTACATACCCATATCCTCAGCTCTTACCTACATCGCCTGGCTCTCGAGAGCAAACCATTGTGACAAATAGTCACTGCTCTCTCGTCCTATTGCCACGATCCGATGACCACTCGATACGAACTCTCCTACCTTGCATCATACGGCTGGCTTTCCCTTCATCTGATTTTTCTCTGAGTGAATTGCAGCATAGACTATGGCGTCCTAATACATGGATACGGAGTTCATGGTACAATTACGGGTTTCGGTTCTCTCTCTGTTTACGTCTTTGTTTACTTTCTTCTCTTCTTCCTCACGTCCCTCATCCACGCTTCTCTCCTCGAATGTGTGGATAAGTCACAGGTCACCCTGGGCGGATACGTGATATTTTTATCTTGATTCCCCTTCGCTGTCTTCTTACTTACTTACATCACTTTTACTTCTGCTTTAATGCTAATTTACGAAGGAAGGCAGGGATTGCCGGCGCTTGGTTCCTCATGATGTGAATGTCAATGTCGTTACGAAGGTGACGAAACGAAGCGCTTGCAATGTGAGAGCTCATGTTCGCAATGCATATCATGCCACACGCCTTTTTGTATTCTATGTCAGCTGTCTCCCTTGCCTACCCTCTCTCTTCGGGGTTTTGAGTAGATCAATACATGTGATCGTCGTGGATGTCTTACTTGGTCTTTGATATCGGTAGATATGTCCTCGAATTCAGACACCGTAGGTTACTGTAGAGAGATCAAGGATAGTACGACGTCTACGATCATTTGTGCCTTATAAGTTCTGATTTCCCAGACCTTAAGACGCGGAGATTGTTGAGCAGACATATCCTCTGGTAGAACGTACAATTAATGACCACTTAGATCCGTATATGTGCGAAAGTTACCTCGACGGTAGAAGAAAAAGTATATACCACGAATGCAAGCCCAGACCCCTTCAACCAGCTCAAAGAATATTCAACAACCAAGAACACCGTAATGAAGCTTGCTACAATAACATAGTCCCATCACAAACATAAGAAAACCAGAACATATCCACATCCATTTCCGGCCGTAAACAACATGAGCGATAAACACAAAAACCTTCATCCTTATCGCCCTGTGATGTAGTCTTTGTTTTCGATCGTCACACTCTTCGTCATATGGCTGACCTTGTAGACACCGACAAGTCGGGAGGCAAGCTCGAACTACTTGTTATTAGCCTTTTGCGTATGAATGACTTGGGGATGGACCGCTGCTTACCATGTTGTTTCTCAGCGAGATGACAATAAATTGCGCGTTCTTGGTTCTCTCTTTGATGTAAGAGGCCACGATGGAGACCTGTAGAACGTAAGTTGGTTACTGTCCAGTCCTGAGGTAATGAATGTACTCACGTTTCTAAAGTCCAAGGCAGCATCAATCTCGTCCATCACATACAGAGGCGTGGGCTTGTAATGGTGCAGCGCAAAGACGAGCGCCAAACTAGAGAGCGTCTTCTCACCACCAGACAAGTTACCAATATTCTTCCAGCTCTTCTTCGGAGGCATGACAGAGAACAAGATACCCTCCGAGAATGGATCTAGCGAGTCGACCAATTCCAATTCAGCGTTACCTCCCATGGTGATCATCTGGTACATTTCCTTCAGACGCAAGGAGATAATGCCGAATCCCTCCATGAACCCATTCAGACGAGCAGATCGGAGACCGTCCAGGCGAGCCTTGGCGCTATCACGAGATGCCAGAGCCGTGGCCAAATCAGCGGCGCGAGACTCATGCTCAGCCGCTCTGCGGCGGTACTCCTCAATCACAGACAGGTCCACGGAGGCGTTCTGGGTCTTTTCCTCGAGCGCAGCAATGACTGCCTTCAGAGACTCCTTGTTCATTTCCGAGAGCTCGTCCTTGGTGTACATCTGGAGCTCGGTAGGCTGTTGTTCCTCACCCAGGTCGCTCACGTTCTGCAGGGTGAGTTTCGAGAGTTTCTCAGACCAGTATCGCTGGCGCTTCTCGTTCTCTGTCAACGCCTTCTGATTCTCTTCCAGTTTGTTACGCATATCAATCTCTGTGGCCCGGGTTTCGTTCAATTCAGCCACTTTGTCGTCCAATTCTTGCTTGAGTGTCTTGAGTTCTCCCTTCTTCGTCTCCAAGGCCTGCGCGGAATGTGTTAGGCGGGCTGCTCACAATTGGTGACTGCTGCACTCTTACCTCTTGTGCCTCTTCCACTCCCTGCTTCCAACCGGATGCGTCATTTGCTTGGTTCTCGACATCGGCGTTCAGCTTCTCGAGGCCTTCCGCGACCTGTTCCAGCTCCCTTTCTGCTTCCGCGCGAGCCTTCTGATGCTTCATGATTAGCTTCTCATTCTTGGATTTTCCGATTTCTGCATTAGAAATCTCTTCTGCGAGGAGGCTGATCTGTTCTTTTAGCCCGTCGACCTTCGCCTTTTGACTTCTCAGCCTAACACCGCCAACTTCCATGATCTTGTTTTGGAGAGTCTGGATTTCTTCCTCAATTCCGCTCTTTTGGGCTCGGAGATCTTCGATTTCTTCCTCAAGGGCGGCAATTTGGGCCACAAGCCGCTCAGCCTGGTTAGCGTCAGCCTTTGATGGCTTGTGTGCGACGCTCAATTCCTTGACTCTCCGCTGAGCATCCGCAAGACTACGGTTTGCGCTCTCAATCTCTATCATGATCTTCTGGATCTTCGTCTCGACACGGGGGATCTCTTCCGACTTTTCCCTGATGGCGGCCTCCACGTGTTTCTGTTTATTTTGGAAATTCTGGAACTTCCTCTCCATCTCTTCGAGGTCGGATTCTAGCTTGGAAACCTGCTCCCGGCTCACCTCAGCCACCTGCTTTGAGGACATACCACCTCGTGCCACTCGAGTGCCACCTCCGCTCATGGTTCCTGACACGTCGATCAACTGGCCGTCAAGAGTGACTACTCTCCACCGTCTAGCACCGTAAGCAATGCGGTTGGCCTGCTCCAGGTCTTTGGCGACCAGTGTATTCTGCATAACACTGTAGAATGCAGGCGCGAACTTCGGATCCTTGGGCTTCACTAGGTCAAATAATCTTGGCACACTCTCTGGAGTAAAGATTGGAGACATGTCGCGTCGGGGAAGACGATCGAGCAGAATGAAATTGGCGCGGCCGAGGTTGTTTTTGCGAAGATAATCTATACATTGCTGACCGACCTCGACGGTATCAACCACCATATTGTCCAATGCAGGACAGGCAGTCGATATCGCAACATCGTATTTCTCGTCTATGGTTCCAAGGTTACCAAGGCGGCCATGGAAACCATCAATACGACCTGACTCCTTGAGACGCATAAGACCAGCCAGAACACTGCCCCGGTTCTGGGTGCTTGCGAGGCTAGCTCTGGCCTCCTCGGCCTTCTGTCGGGCGCTAGAAACATGCGAACGAACCTCAGTCTCTCTGCTGGTAAATTTCTTGAGATCCTGTTTCAGACTGGTGACTTCTTCTTCGAGACTAGCTTTTTGAGCCTTCCGCTCCTCAAGATCGGTTTGCTTGGTTGCCAGTATCTCTTCGATAGATGTGACCTTGGACTGCGCCTCTTCTAGTTGTACAGCCCCTGCATTGCTTCGTTCGCGGAGGATATCGAGCTCACTTTGGGCCACAGCGATAGCAGAAAGCTTCTTGTTGATTTTCTCATCCCATGGCTCCAAGGACTTCTGCTTAGCAGCTATCTGATCAGAAAGACCCTGGGTCTTTCCCTTCAAGCCCTCCCGAATTATGGACAGCTCTTCCTCCTCTGCCTTCATCTCCTCTTCGAGCTCGGCAGTCTCAGCTGTCTTCTTGTTGATATCATCGGTATGCTTCTGCACCAAGCTTTCGCACTCGGATGCGGCAAGACGAGCAGCCTGCATGGACTTCTCGAGTTTCTTTTGCTTGCCCAACAAGAATTTCTTCTTCTCTTCGAACTTGACTGATTCTTTGTCGTACTTCGCCATCTCCTTCATCAAGCCCTGCAGCTCCTTCTCCATATTCTCATACTCCCGCATACCACGTTTGTAAGCTTTCTCCAGTTCTTTGATACCGGATTCGTTACCCTCGTGCTTCTCGAGCTCCATGTTTAAGAGCTCTTGCATCTGCAGGATCGCTTCTTGAGTGACCCGAATATTGTCAGCGCACTCATCGATGTAAATTTGGTAAAGGGCCGACTGCTTCTGGGCCAACTCATTCTCGTCCTGAATGTAGGCCAACGCTTTGTTCTTCTTGTCTTCCAACGCAGTCTTTTCCTTCTCGACGTGCTGAACACGATTGTTTTTTTCAACACACACATCGTTGAGCTGTTCCAATTCGGCTGCTGCCTCCTCAATGGGAGCCTTGTATTTGGACGTCCCGATGATATCTTCGAGATACTCGAGCAGTCCGTCTTCGTGTTCATTTGCGGCCTTGGGCTTCATTTGAGCGATGGACTCGACTTCGCCCTGAAGAATGAGAAATCGCTTGTGATCAAGATCAATACCTCGCTCTCGAAGCAGAGTTGTTACCGCCGTGAAGTTTGTCTCCCTGTTATTCATGTAATATTTGCTGGTATTGTTCTTGAATGCTTTGCGGGATATCATCAGTTGGGAATCTGGAACGACTTCGTGTTCTCCACCTGGCAGATCGAGGATTTCCTGAAAGTGAACCTCGACTTCACAGAATGGTAGGTTGGGGAAGTTGGCGGAGTTGTGGATCAGAGCCGATATTTTGCCCTGTCGCATTTTGCTTGCTCGAAATCCAAATACGAACAGCAACGAATCGATGACATTCGATTTGCCGGATCCATTGGGCCCGACAACAGAGGAGAATGAAGCATGGAAAGGACCTACAATCTGTTTCCCTGCGTAACTTTTGAAGTTTGTCAGAACCAGGTGGGTGATAATCAACCGGGGCTTGGGTCCAGATGGCTCTTCTGGTATAGGGGGTGCCAGATTGCGTGACTTCATAACAATGTCCATCGGTCTCTCCAAGATGGTCGAATTTGGGTTGATGATGGAGATCTGCGATTTCGGGTCGTCTGAGGGCTTCGCTGGTGTCTGATTTATCGCTGATTCGGTAATATCAGCGAGCGGAGGCACGCTACCTCTTTGCGATCGCGGTTCTGGTTCGGGCGAGACTGAGGGCCCTGGAGTTGGCAATGAGGACTTTTCCGGATGGAGCATGGAAGAAACCCGACTCTTGCGGGGATGAGCCATACTTTTTCTTTTCAGAGCTGCAGCCGCATTCTGTGAAGGAGACTCATTTTCCTCTTCCTTGGGGACGACGGAGTCGCCTTCCTCGTTTGCATTGCTGATTTCTGAGGTATCACCTTGCTCTGCTGTTGTCGACCGTCGCGTTTTTCGTACCTTGCGCGCGGTGGTGGGTGTTGTCGCTTCAGTTATCGTTCGCCGTCGGGACGCGCTCTTTGCTCTTTTAGCAGGGACTGGAGTATATTCTTCTTCCTCATCTTCGTCGTCATCATCGTTGTCGCTGTGGTTGGATGCAGTGGGGGTCACATTGCCAGGATCTTCTGACTCGGATGTTTCCTCAATCACGTAACTCCTTCGGGGAGCAGAGCGCCTAGACGGCCTGGCTCTTGCTAGCGAAGATGACATTATGTCGTAAAAATGCAAGTGGTATCGGAAAGCCTCATGAAGGCAATGGGGGATAATCGCTAGTTATGAAGATGTTTTCGACCAGCGATGGTAGTGGATTAGGTGGGTTGTTTACCTTTTGACTCGAAACGGAAAGGCGTCGTTTTCTGCCATAACAACATGAAACAAAGCTAGATCACGTGATTTACCGCATCCACCGTAATTCAGCTGTAAGGTACCGTTATTCAGAGCTCCGATATTACGCCTTCCCCAAGTCGCCGATAAGAGCGGAAGACCAACAGTGAGCCAACACTGTCATTGTAACTCATCCTGGTGCAGTCATCATGGGTACTTGGGATGATTTCGACAGCATTTTCTACTTCAATAAGAGTTTTTCCTACGATGACAAGGTCATTGAACAGATCCTTTCCAACCGCCGCGCACTAGGGAACCAACTGTTTGCCGACCGACTCTTGGGATTGCTCGGTGTTCAAGCTGGTAGGCAATTCGCTCCGTAATTGGAGACCGGAGCGCGAACGAGGCATATGCTGACGACCATAATCTGCTAGTAAAACAACTGTATCCTCCACGATCGAATGCGGACCTTCGCGCGCTCGTTAATCACATTGTCTCGTCCGCGCTAGACATCCATCACAAGCAAGCGTTGATCTACTATATCCTAAAGGACTGTCGTGCAGCGAGCGATGCCGCTTCCCAGTTTGCGCGCCGATGCCACCTGCCGGAGAAGTACAGATTGTTCATTGAAGGCCTCTGGAACCTGGATAGATTAGAACTGAGGGTATGTCCACGCGCACAGTGCGCCTACTCATAATTCTGACGAAGGGACACAATTACAGCGAGCGATTGAATATCTGACTGAGCCCTCAATCATTCCCACCTTCCCCGACGAGATTCTTTATGTCCTGACCCTTCCGCAACTGCCAAAGCACGATGATAATCTTGCTATGGCCTATTATCTCACCGTGACCCCGCCGTTGGCGTCCGAGAAAGTACAGAAAGCCTTTTTCGACATACTTTGCCGTTCCAGCATAACAGAAGCGTTCTATTTCACAAGGAAGCGGGACGAGTCCCTTCGCCGCGCTTATCTCGAGCAACTCATCGAATTTGTTCATAAAACCAGTCCTGGTCAAATGCGAAGCCAAAGAGCCATGGAGTTGATCAGTCTTCCGTTGGACAGCACGGAAGAAGAGTGGTTTGAAGAAGCGCTGCTTCGCGGACGAGCAAAGACACTGCACGGTGCGAAGGATACGGCAATGATGCGACGATTTGCAACTGGGAAATTGGACGCACTCTCTACAGAACTAGAGTCACTAGGCGGAAAGAAGGTCGATGGACTGAACTGGGATGCGCTCAGGCAGAGCGTGAAAAACACTCACACGTCGGTTCCAAGCGCTGGCGGTCAAGCTTGATGGAACAGATCGGCTTGAAAAAAGCTCATGCAAAGGTTCTTTCTGTTACAGGAGTTTAGAGTGGATTCGGCTTTGTTTTCTTTTGCCAATAAAAGTAGATACAGTGATACCAAAGTAGTAGAAGGGCCAGCGATAAGCAAAGTTACGGAATCTGGACGGAATGATACCTCAGTAGCTTGTAAACTCTTTAAATTCATCGTCTACGATCATTGTCGAGGAAATACAGTAGGTTAAGGTCTAATTGGTTAAAATAGTGACTTTAAGGAGTGGGATTCATACTTGCCTTTTCTTCTTGGGAAAGGATTCGGGTCGGTGAAATGTATTGTCATCGGACGTAAATGTTGTCTTCCTTTCCAACAAAAGATCATCTCCATCTCGAACAGAACTTCCATCTTCATCTCAATTAATCTTCTTCTGTCAAAAACACGATACATATAGCATCGAGCGTGATGAATTCGACAGAGTGATCTGCAGGCCTGACATTCAATATACATCCATCAAGGGCACAGTTTCCTACTGGCGTTGCTCTTCCGCGGTCACTTGGCGCAATCTGAGAAAAGAAACATCATGGTCGTCTGTACTTTCTTTCAGCAAGGCAGATGTAGATTTGGAGGTATTTAGCTGCTTCTTATCGTTGTTTTTGAAAACTTTGCTCATCATTGTTACAGAACGATGCAAGTTTGAACATCCTGGCCAGCAGACAGCAGGGTCTAGCAATCGATTTGGAGCCCTCGCTCCCGGAGGAGGGTTCGGAGGTATGCATATTTTTTAATTCCATCTTATGCAATGGACGAGCGAGTTGTTATTATCCTGTTTCTGTGATCGGTAGTGGCTCTACTGTCATTATGACCTGCATCCATCTGAGTGTTCTTGTTACTTCCTTCGTCTCTCAGTCGAAGTCTGCGCCTGCCCATGTTCCCGCAATTTTCTTCTTCGTATGCTATTCCGTCTACTCGTCCTCCTGAGCAGTGTTCTATGTTACATCTCTCTTGCAATGTTGTTGCGTCTTGCTAATAGTAAGCAAAGGTCGTTCTGCGCCTCAAGCTCAGCAACCTGTCAAGTAAGTATAATCTCTGCGATCAGACACGCCAATCTTTCTAACAGCACCACAGCTATGGCATTACTGCGGAGGATATCAAAGTCGACTTGACTGCTGGTAAAGGACTGCCAGAATGGATACTCTCTGCCTATGGACCCGGCCGAAACGCCCCAAGGCAGCTGTTCGGTGGCCCTCAGCGAGAGCAGAGCTTTGAAGAACTACGATTACGGCATTACGAAGCTATGGCAGCAGGAAAAGTTGAGGTCGCAGTCCAAGAAGCTCAAGCTTTGTACGCAGAGTCGGTAAAGCAGATGGAGGTTGCTTTAAATGATGTCGATGGTGCTATCAAGTACATTCTCGACGGCATCAACGAACATCCGAATCGGATCGACATTACGGAGGGAAAGGCAGGCCCTGCTGCTGGTCAGGGTCCTTCCCCGTTTAGTCAACCATCACCATTCGGTCAATCAGCTGCCGTGGCACAAATGTCTGCCTTTGGCCAGCCTTCGGCATTAGGCGGCGCGGGTGCCTCAGCCTTTGGCAAGCCGGCTGGAATTGGGCAACCATCGGCCTTCGGTCAACCCTCTACTCTAGGGCAAACGCCTGGCTTTGGACAACCTAGTGCTTTGGGTCAAGGTTCCCCGTTTGGAAAGCCCTCAGCGCTTGGGCAACCTGCATTCGGGAAACCGGCATTCGGTCAACCAAGCTTTGGCCAGCCTGCTTTTGGCCAGCCGTCAGCGCCAGGAACAGGGACAGGGACAGGAGCATTCGGTCAGCCAAGTACCACATCTCCGTTTGGTCAGATATCGAGTCAAAATCAGGGGCAAGGCGGCGGGTTCGCTCAGGCTGCTGGAGCAGCGACTACCTCCCCGTTTGCACAAGCTGCTGGTGGCCAACAGCCTGTGGCGCCTGCTGGATTTGGTCAACTTTCGACAACGACACAAACGTCAGCAACCCCCTTTGGGCAGCCTGTACAGGCGCCATCGCCCTTCGGACAGCCTCAAGCACCGTCAGCTCCTTTTGGCCAACCCGCTGCAGCCCCAAGCCCCTTCGGAGCTGCGGCTCAACAGGCGGCTCCGTCCCCTTTTGGTCAACCTGCTGGAGGTTTTGGTCAAGCAGCTCAAGCAGCTCCAACAACCGCAGCACCTGCTCCTACACCGATCGCAGGCACCGGCCCTCCCCCAGCGATCAAGGTTGATGATCCGAATGAGTTGAGCCCGATTCCACCTCTAAGTGGGCAGACGGTCAAGGACCCCATGACGCAGAGACTATCAATGTGGAAGGGTCAACCCGTGAGGTACATTGACAACGTCCCTTGCTATCTTCATCCTCAAGACCGTCAAACCTATGTTCGCATCTTTTTCCCGGATGGACCGCCCGATCAAGCGAGCCTGAGAGATGCGCACGGCAAACCGGAAGAATACACACCGGAAGTCACTGAGCAATATGAGTTTTTCTTGAAGAATGGCTACTTCAAAGACGGCGTTATACCCAGCGTGCCTCCCAAATCTGAGTGGGTGAGCTTCGATTTTTGACCACATGTATTAGTGGACCTTTTTATTATGGAGCGAAGCACATATGCACCGTTCATGTATTATATGATTATCTTAACGATCGCACTACACGTACTTTTAGTATGGGCTTGATGCTAGGAGTTGAGCGGCGCTGTTAGTTTATCGGGCTCGGACGCGAAGACTACATTTTTACTACGTTTTTGCTCGACTACGAGGACAGATAATCAATTAGACGAATGAGAGCTCTTCGTTTTGCAAATTTTCCCATTTTTGATTACAGGTTTTAGCGGGTATCGACGATGCCTCGGTAGAAGCCTTCCGGCGTGAAGATAAATATCCACTGAACGGCCCAATGAGCACAGCGCTAGTGCCATCCCAGTTAAGAGTTGACACCAAACCCTCCCTGATCCCAACTAGATGGAAAACATCTAGGCGGCAATGGTAACCTCAACCTCAACACCAGCCTCGATGTTGATGATGATCTGCTTGACGGTCTCAGTGGGGGCAAGGAGGCTATTGTTCTCGTTAGCGATCTCACGATCGATCATAAGGATGAGCGGGGTAGCTTACTCGATGAGACGCTTGTGGATGCGCATCTCGTACTTGTCCCAGGTCTTGGAACCCTCACCGCAAGGGTCTTACGGGTGGAGATGTGGAGGGTCTTGGTAGGGAGACGGACAGGGCCCTTGACCTGGAGGGACTTGGAGCGGGCACGGTCGATCAGCTCAGAGCACACCTTCTCAAGAGAGGCGACCTTGCGAGAGGTGAGGGTGATACGGATCTTGTGGACCTTCTATATTGGCGGGGAAATGAATCGGTTAGTTATGCGCAATTGCGGCTCGCCTCACTGAGACCGTGAGCGCAGATTTCAAGAATGATTAGAACGTACGGGGCCCTCGCCGAACTCCTTCTCAGGCTTCTGGAAAGACATCTTGCTGATTGTGCGGTGGGTTGACCGGGATTGACGAGATGGCTATCGAACACAATTCAATTAGTCCTTGTTCAAGAAAACCAGACAGAAGTGACAGAAAATTCATACCTGTCACGAGGCTAGTTGCCAATCAAGACCTGAACTTCGAGGTTCGGTAAGGTGATGATGGCCGTTGAAGAGCTATCGTGAAATGCGACAAACGTATGAATCCTTTTTTTTGATCGTGTCTTTAGCGTCTCTTGTGCGGGCGGATTGCCTTGGCACTCGGCTATCTCGAGCTAGTCCCAGTCGGGAAAGCGACTCAGTATCCGATCTGTCATCATCATCGGAAACCGTATTAGGAAAAGGGGATTATGACGACAGGTTATGCGACGGCCGTTGATGATTGTGATGATTAGATTTGGTCTCTTCTTCTTTATCTGAGCCTTTTTTCTTTTTCCTGCTTTAACTTGACGCAGATATTTGAGCGGGCGCTACCATGGAAAAATTGCCTCCTCTCGCACCAGTTCCGCCGCCCGCAGTACAGAGGAGCATATTACATGAGGAATGGGAGTCATTTCTGGATGCATGGATTCTACTCCTAGGGATACGCATCGAGACTTCTGATTCAGTATTTAAGGAAGTTGTCTCCAAAGATGAGCCTACAAGCGGCTTTTTATCGTCCTTCTATCAACAGCTCGCCACCTCAAATGTGTCGGCGCTGCGGACGGGCGCGAGGGCGCGAACATTACGGAAGTGTTGTTTCTTGTTGACGAGGAGACTTCTGTTGGACGCGCCTAATCCGCCTTCTGAACTGCTAGAATGGAATGTTCTCGGTGCCATGTGCTGTTGTCACCCGTCAAGCGCAGCTTTGAAGAGGTTGTTGTCCGAAGCATGGGATAGGCACCATGAGGCAATAACATCCAGTCTCGAGAAAGCAAAGTCCTTAGTTATCAAGCGACTCTCAGTACCGAATTCATCCGGGAACATGGAATTAACGTCTGACATCCGCTTGTTGACGATATTGTCTTCTACACTTCCTCCTTGCGGCCAGGTTCTCATGGCCGGTTCTGACTTCATAGATACTCTCTCCGATGCGTATCAGTCCGAGAAAAGTGTTGACTTCCGCAAGGTTCTTGTAGCAAATCTTTATGTTGGCTTGATCTCTTTGTTGAAAGGAGTCAAGCCGAACTTATCGTTGCTTCTGGATCAATTGTTCAGCTTAAAAGCGAGCGCAGGGGTGGGCAGTCCAACGGCGAAGAGAGAGCCCACAATACTTTCAGATCTCATCTGCAGCTCAGATCTATTAGCCCGTCTGGAGAGGTACTTGATGGTGCATCCACAAAAACGGGGTGAAGATCTACTATCTAGCTTGCGTTCGTATCGGAATGAGTCGAAAACATTCCACCACCGTTACCAAAAGCAAAGGAAGAAGATGGACAAAGGCAAAGGTCGTGTTTCAGATCTTCCTACTGTCGAGAACATGCATGTCCACAAGATGTCCCTCGTGACACAGGTGCAAGATCTCTTCCCTGATCTGGGCTCAGGGTACATCGTCAGATTGCTCGATCACTACGGCGACAATCCGGAGACGGTCGTCGCACACCTTCTTGATGGCTCTCTACCACCTGAACTTCAAGAACTCGATCAATCCGAGCAACTTCCCGTCTCACAAACGACACCCGGCACGACCCTCTACCCCACGTCCAACTCCTCCAGAAATCCCATCACCCCCGCACCAGCCCCAGCTCGCAAGAACGTCTTCGACAACGACGTCGATCTCGCCGAACTAGCCCGCTCAGCCGATCAGGCCAGCCAAGGCAAACTGCGCTTCGGCCGCGCAGATTCAGATCTCACCGCGGACGCCATCCTAGCCGACCGCAGCCAGCACACCGTCAACAAAGCAGCCATCATGTCCGCATTGGCAGCCTTCGACTCTGACGACGACGAACACGACGACACATACGATGTCGCCGACGTAGGCGGCACAATCGACGGCCTAACCGCAGTCACAGACGCCGAAGCAGACGCCGACATCCGCAACCGCAGAGCCGAGGACCTCGACATGACCCTCTTCCAAGCCTACAAGGCCAACCCGGCCCTCTTCGCGCGTGATTCTGCCACGCGCCGCTCACAACCCCGCGCATCGCTCAAGCGCGAGACCGGCATGACCGACGAGGCCATTGAGGGCTGGGGCGTGATGTTGGCCCGAGATCCCAAGCGGTTGGCAAAGTTGGAAGATCGATTCGCGATGGCGGCTGGTACCCCTGGCGGCGCCTTGGCGCAGCCCGAACTGCCGTCGACGGCGTACAGGAAGCCTGGACCTAGGGAAGATGGTGAATCGGATAGTGACACCGATCAGCCCAGTTCTGCTTCTGGCGGTAGAGGAGGACCCGGGCGGGGCCGTGGTCGCGGTGGTCGAAGAGGTGGAGGTGGTGGGAGGGCTCGCAGAGGAGGGACTAATGCCGGAGCTTCTGGAGAGCAGAACCCCGCTGTGGCTCGACAAAGGAAGGAAGAAAATAAGGCTAGCAGGGCGAATCACAATAGACGCCAACAGAGAGCCAGGAAAATTGCCCGGGGTGGTGGCATGCCAGGTTGAGATGTCACGAAAATGCAAGACACTCTAGATTTGTACAGTTTACGATGTGTGTCCCTTAATGGACTGTAGATACGAATGCATAGCATCTCTTAGCGACAGAATATCAATTCAGTCATCCATGCTAACTAAGAAGAAGAATAGGACGGGTTTCCATGCGCTCTCTTCGACAGTGCTAGCAATCGAGTGCCAGCTCTAATGTCATTATCTAGCAGCGTCAAACACAAGAAGCATGACGGTCATTAGAGTGGCCCAAAAGAGCCTCACAAGCATAGCGTAACACACAGGGCCAAATCCAAGCTCGAAACAGCCACCAACAATAGGAAATGTACACTGACAGTACAAGACCCAGAAAACCGGACATCTGGCCTGGGATTGATAAGTTCCACCATGAGCAAAGCAACAGCTCCCTTTCAGTGACGATGATCTGAGAAAACGCCCTGCTCGGCGCACGATTTCCTGCATTCTTCAAGGATACGGACTTGCTTCGCGACATCCCCAAGTCTGCTAATCACTTCCTTGTTGCCGTCATAAAAGGTGAAAACGGCATAGGGTATGCCAGTGTCCCGACAGAAGTCGATCACGAGTTTCTGGGTACGACGCAGGTTGTGACGAGGAATGCGAGGGTAGAGGTGGTGAATAGCCTGGAACTGCAGTCCACCATGGAAGAAGTCGAGCCATGTAGGGCAGTCAACATCCATGGTGGTGCGAAGCATCTTTTGAGGGAACGATTCATGCACACCCAAGTCGGCAGTCGACATGGCAAAATGGGACAGTGTGATCTGCACATGCAGAGGAGCAGTGACCATGTGAGAAACCAGGATGTAGGCTATCCGGCTGCTCCAGTCTGGAATAGAGCGGTATAGCACGCCGTAGCCGAACCAATACCAGAAGAATACCTGTCCTCCGATCTCGAACCAGCGATGCCACCAGGCAGGACCCTTCTTCGGGGCTTGGCCGCAAAATAGGTATTCCCAGCTCAGTCGGTAGAGATTGAATCGACCAAACAGAAGGATTGGATAGTAGAGGTAATTCTGATACCGCAGCATGAAATTCGCCATGGCGTCAAAATGCATGACACGGTCGTAGTAGGTGCTTCGGAGACTCGTCAAGAAGCGATGTGATATGGCAAAGAAAGGCATGTGCTCGATGTCGGGGTCATGCTCTGGAGCGTTGGTGACGATGTGGTGGACATTGTGATTCCGTTTCCACCAGCCCAGGCTCAGGCCGCCTAAATAATCCGCAATGATGATGCCGATGACTGAGTCGACATGAAAATGATGGGTGATGCCCATATGGCCAGCATCATGGGCTGCAAAAACGAGCTGGTGCCAGAAGCACCCGAGAAAGAAGGCCGATATCACATACCACCCTAAGCGAAGAAAGGTATATGACAGGACAGCGAGAAGAGTGTAGCGACAGCATTCTATAAAGTACGAGAAATAGTTGCAATTGTAAAGACCTTCCGCGCGGATCCGCTCATTCAGTTCGCGGTATTTCCTCTTGATTTCTTCTTGATTCGCCGTGTCAAGGGACGGGTACTTAGCGACATCAAAGACGATCTCCTCTTGAGTTCGGGCATCAAGGAAGAAGGGTTTCGGCTCGAACCCTTCAGTGGGAGTGGTTGAGACTGATGTATCCGAAGTCGTTGTCGATTTCCTTCGGCGGCGGACTCCTGGAGCTTTGTATCCTGCGTCTGCTGCATCAAACACTGGAGAAGGGGGCTGTGAGACATCCTGATCTGTGCTGTCCTCGTCGCTTGAACATGTCTCGCCTGGATATGGACGGAACTTCCCGCCCTGGATCGGAGGGAGAAAGTTCAACCACGGTCCCTGGATGCGGCCGATCTGGAAAGACAACATTCGCTGGCGTGCCTCTGGTGAATGTAACCTATACAAAAGCGAACGTCAGTCGTCAGGTTACGATCGTCCTTGGATTCCTCGGTAACCGTACGCATTGATTTCGTCCGTCGCATCCCGTCCGACCATGTGTTTAATAGACTTGTCTCCTCCAGGGTGGAATTTGATCCACGCATCGACCTTGAGCACTCGATCATCGAAAATGATGATATGCTTGCCATCGGCGATTTGACCCTCGATGTACCGCCGTGACAAGATTGCGTCCTTTCGCGCCCTGAAGGCCGGCGTAGGGGCCGCTTCCTGCGTCTGGGACATCCCGAGTTTGTCTTAGGCTGGATCGATGGACTCGAGCTCAGAAAATGGTATGGATCTGGATTGACTCCAACATCGTCTTGTATGGGGAATTGAAGAAGTAAAAGAAAACCAACAAGGACGTTCCTTCACGGAGGTCCAAGTCTGGAGACCTCGGAAACGGCCTGCGTCGCTATGGGGCGGGAAGCGGTGACTGTGGATTGCTCGAACAGGCACAAAGCGGGGACAAGCCGACAAGAAGCACATGAAACGCGCTCCATCGCACTGGCGATCATCATCCCATCCCATCCATTCTGGATACGTATTCCATTTCAAAGCCACAATCAGCCATCGGCCTATCATACTATCTTGTCGACTCATCTGATCGTCCGTTTACGCCGTCCACTCATCATCATATGATCCACCATGTCCGTTCCTGCATCCACAATTGAGGTAATTCAGTGGAATCTTCACAGGTAGCCGAAATATATATCTGATTGCAGTGATACTGTGATTTGTAGGAACCTCTTTCTTTACTGGTTCAGAAATGGCTTGAGTGGGACCGAGTAAGTTGATTCCGTGCTCGCAAGTAGCTCCAATGGTACCATGAAAGATTGCTGATCTCAAACGTAGAATCCCGAGACGCGGGCTGAAATTGAGCAGCTACAGAAGACTGGAGCGACTGCAGAGCTCGAGCTGCGTCTTCGGCAGCGTATGTATATTCTACAATACAAGCTGCTTTGTCTCCAACACTCGCCGCCTTTCTAACCACACAAGTGCAGGCATTCAATTCGGAACAGCCGGCCTTCGTGGTCGGATGGCGGCAGGGTTCTCCTGCATGAACTCCCTGACCGTCATTCAGGCATCGCAAGGGTTGGCCAAATACATTAGAGACAAACACTCTGGCATTGCATCGAATGGTGTGGTCATTGGCCACGATGCTCGGCACAACTCTGCTAAATTTGCTGCCCTGGCAGCGAATGCCTTCATTGCGATGAAAATACCAGTCTGGTATTATTCAGAGTCCTCTTTGACACCATCAGTCCCATTTGGTGTGACGCATTTGCGAGCTGCAGCTGGCGTCATGATCACCGCAAGCCATGTATGTTTCCTCACAATTCGCGCAGTGACAAGAGCAGAAGAAGTCTGACACAGATGATTTTGTCGGCAGAACCCAGCACAGGACAACGGTATGTATTGCACTCCCTAGATCTCGGTTCTGATTGCTGATTGCGTACAGGTTACAAAGTGTTCGCTCACGCTTTTCTTGTTTCAAATGGACGGCGCTGACTATTGGACTAGGTATTTCAAGAACGGCGCTCAGATCAACACGCCTATGGATGTTGAGATAGCGCAATCGATTGACAGCAACCTAGAACCGTGGCCAAATGCTTGGAACAGCCCAGAAGCCACGGAGTATCTCCATGCTGAAGCTCTTCAGACGATTCTGCCCCGATATACCGAGACCGTTTGGAACTATGCTGTGAGAATCATGCCACCCTCATTCGGGGTAATTGACTAATAGTGTGCCTAGAAATCCACCGTCCCTAGCTGGTCAAGCCCGCGACCATTCATGTATACTCCTTTGCATGGGGTCGGGGGTCTGATTTTTCCCGACTTATGCCGCTCGGTTGGAATGACCGACTTCGCCGCTGTAGCAGAGCAAGTGGAACCGAACCCTGATTTCCCAACGGTGTCATTCCCAAACCCGGAGGAGAATGGATCTTTGGACTTGGCCATGCAAACAGCTGATAAACAGGGCAAAACCCTCATTATTGCCAATGACCCGGATGCAGATCGGTTCGCTGCCGCCGAGAAAGTTGAGTAAGTAGGCATGCGGAGGTGTTTCGATATTTCTGGAAATAGTCACTAATCATCGAGTAGCGGTTCTTGGTTCACCTTCACGGGGAACCACCTTGGCGTTCTACTGGCATCGCATCTGTTTGATTCGCTTGACGGTCGAAATGACAAATCACGCGTAGCTGTGTTGAACTCCGCGGTCTCCACAGGCATGCTCGAGAAGATGGCAAAGTCAAAGGGCTTCCACTTTGAGGAAACATTGACTGGATTCAAGTGGATGGGAAATATTGCCCGGAGACTGGAAGAGTCAGGGTACCATGTACCTTTTGCTTTCGAGGAAGCCCTGGGGTATATGTTCCCAGACGTGTGCCACGACAAGGACGGCGTAACTGCGGCTATGGTTTTCCTAGCAGCGGAAGCTCGTTGGAGATCTCAGGGCCTCACCCCTTATTCGAAACTACAGCAGCTGTTCAAGGATTTTGGGTACTTTGAAACACTCAATAATTACTTCCGATCACCTAGTCCGGAGATCACGAAAAGCCTTTTTGGAGCCATCAGGAATGGGCCTTACCGAACACAAAAATCCGTTGGTTCATTCAGGATCTTGAGGTGGAGAGACATGACGGAAGGCTATGATTCGGGCACAGATGATCACAAGCCAGCACTCCCAATTGACAAAAGTAGTCAGATGTTGACCCTATGGCTGGACCGAGATGTTCGATTCACCATCCGTGGCTCTGGCACAGAACCAAAAGTCAAGGGTAATTTCCACAACAGGAACATAGGTGCAAAACATTGCTAATTGACTTTCTTAGTCTATATCGAAAGCTGCGGTGCTTCTCATGCGCAGGCGGTGGATGCTGTCTGTGACACCTTTCGAACAGTTTTGAAAGAGTGGATCCAGCCCTTTGCTCCTTCGATGAGCTACAGCAAAAATCTCCCGACGTCGTCCGGTCATATTCTCAACATTGATTGAAAGAATGATTTGAACAATTTGCGACAGCTAAACGTAGTAACCTAACCTACTGCATTTGGCTCATTTGTATGGTCATAGAGCATACCGTCTGGCTGTACTATTATCCTTCTTTGTGACACCTTGACGACCCTTAGCAAATCAAGTCGGTAGCACAACATTTCCGAATCAACATCGGATTCGCTACAGCAAGTACCTGCTTTTGAATAGGGCCAGGAAGAGCCTCACGTAGTGCGACCTCGCTTTCGAAAAAGGCTTCTACTGCCGTGTTCAAGAAGGGGGCTAGGCTGGCGAACTACATCTGATGTTGCACAGCAGTCTATACCTTGTACGACCAGTCCTGTCGGGCACAGTCGGTATCATGACCGCGTGAAGGGTTACATTTCCCTCTGAAGTTGCCTTCTATCGGCCAAGTAGCGCACCGGCACTTAAATAGTTGTAGTTCCCAGCACTGAGTGCCAGCACCGAGCGTTTGCAAACCCGTCGTCTCCCGTCCAGTTGGCTTGCTATCCATCCATACCGTTCACTGCTTCTCTGTAATGGCTATCCGTTCAACCAGCTGGTCTAAACATGTGCATCGACACGTCGTTGAGCACCCAGCCGGCAACAATTGCAATGCTTATCCGTATAACGCATGTATTGGTGGGCAAGATTGCGAGGCCACCACCGATGACAGCGATACGGACTCTTCGACATTCGGCTCCCATATTCGCCGAGGCATTGGAGCTTGTTGCCATTCCACTTCAAGGGCTCGACATGGCTGCCCGCACATGTGCGTACATACCTTCCGGCATCACACTTGGCCTTGATATCCCTTGCCAGTCCAAAGTACAGTTACTAATATACACTGGGGAACAGTCTAAATTACGCCCATCCTCTAGCCGAGGGAATGCACGATCACCACTACCACCAACAAACCTCCAGCACAAGCCATTGCAACCGCACAGCTCAATCCCACTCCTTTGAGAGCTATCCACCCCATCTTGCCTGTCACAGTCAGGCCCACGTTCAGCAGCACAGGCACCATCATCACCATCACCATCAGCAATTGACTCACTCTACGCATCATGATGGAGCAAGGGAGATTAGTCAATCCTGCACCTGCAGCCATACATATGGAACTGAGACTCATGCTCACGGTGGTGGATACCGGGGTTGTCGTGGTTTGACACGGGGGTGTCTGTGTCGGCGGCCGTATGGGCCTCCGTTGCCGGGTGGGTTGCTGTGCGTGGGTAGAGGAAGGGTGGGATGTGTTTATAGGAGGTAGACGAGTTCTTATCTCGAGTCTGGGTTTTCTGGTTTTGGTCTTTTGAAATATCTATTTGAATTTGTGCGTTATTTGACATTTATTCGTTCAACGGGGTATAAAAGCGATGTGTTCTTGAGACGAGTCAGAACCATCCATTTCATGATCCGTTATCTTATACTCATAAGCCGGCGTGCATTATCCGGCCCAAGGTCTCCATTCCAGAGGGCCGCTACTCAGACGAAACATTTTCCTCATGCTGCGTAGTTTGAGCAGCAGACTTACCGACACCCGCCTCAGAATCCAACAGACTGTTCTTCCGGCCGGCAGTCTCGATATAGCCGGGGTTCTCAGCCTTGAGGCGCGCAAAGGTCCGCTCCGCATCCCACACCCAGGGCGTCTCCGCCGCGAAAAGCAGATCCATGTCCTCCAGCGTCCGCTGGTTACTTTCCGGGTAGAGAGCCCAGACCATCGGGATCGTGATGACGTTGCTGATGGCAAAGATGTACAGGGTCTTTTCGCCGATGGAACTGAACATCACTGGGCAAAGGAGGGTCTATGAATGTCTCAGTTTGATTGTTCGCTAGGAGAGGGGTTGTGGAACACTTACCAGCCAGCCGTTTCCGATACTCCATCCTACCACGCCCCAGGCGTTTCCTCGGGCGCGGACGGCTAAGGGAAAGATTTCTGCGGGGTAGATCCAGGGACTGGTGAGATGTTAGCGGAAGTTGAGGGTCAGTGAAGACTGAGAGTTGAACCTACCGGTGAGCCATGTGGCGCCGAAAACAGAGGTGAAGATGAAGATCATCGATGCGGCGGCGGCACCGTATGAGCTTGCCTTGCTTACATCTCCGGCCTCCCTAGCATTGATCGCGAGCCTTGAGAAGCCTCCAGCAAGAAACATGGCGACTCCTTGGGCGACGGATCCCCAGTAGAGTGTCCACCTACGGCCAATACGGTCGAGCGTGAAGACACAGATAAGTGTTGCGAACTGTAGAATCGCAATCAGATAAAGTCATGAAGTCATGGGATGATGGGGACGGACCATGTAGAAAATGTTGTTCAGACCACTGATCCACTGGCTTTTCATCGAATCGAACCCGGCAATGCTGAAAATAGTCGGGGCATCTGGACACATCAGTCAGGCTGAAGTCATACACAAGCGTTTGACGCTGGCAGCAACGACATACAAACTGTGACACCGGCGATGCCGACCCATTCCTGCATGATCTGGAGCCAGATGACCAGTTGCACACGGCGTCCCAGGTGCAACTTCCCGCTCTTGTAGCCGAAAAGCATGGAAAAGTAGGAATTGCTATGATTTATTGTCTTTTCGAGCTCCGCCACGCTTTGGATGTCACGGAACTCGGCTTCGGCTCGGACTGCGTCATCACCACTGCTGCCACGGAGACGACCGAGGATGTAGCGCGCTTCCTGCTCTCGTCCAACCTTAACTAGCCATCTTGGGGACTCTGGGAAGAACCAGACAGCTGCGAATAACACGATCAGGAAGATAATCTGAAAGGCAATTGGGAATCTCCAACGGAACGGAGATCTTCCGCCATTGATGAAAGATAGACCACTATTAATTATTAGAAACGACTTCTTCAGGCGAAGTGGGAGAGGGGAAGGGCACCCACAATTCCAGCCAGTACGCCAAAACGACTCCGAAAATGTTGAGGGTAAACTCGATGGCGATGAACTGTCCACGAGAAGTATGTTCGGCGGTCTCTGTAGCCCAGACGGGAACGATTGCGTTCAGAATACCGGTGCCAATCCCGTTGATGAACCGGGCTGATTTTGATTAGTCACTGCGAAGTTATCTATTGATTTTGAGTATGAAGCCTTACCGCAAATCATCCAGTTATGATTCTGCGCTGAACATTGCAACGCGGCGCCCAGTATGGCCCATACAGCGCCCCAAGCAATAGTCTTGATTCTACCAATAGAGTCTCCGATCCATCCACCAAGGAGGCATCCGCAGAGCGTCCCGAGATAGTAGACGGAGACAATTCCTCCCTGTAACAAGCTATTTGTGACAACTGGAGTAGGCTGGCCATCTTTCATCTCGGTGTAACCAAAGCCCATCAGATCAATGTAGTCTTTGGCATTGTTTACTCCGCCCATCATTCCCTGGTCATAACCTGAATATCTGATCAGTAAAGGCGTTCATGATGCGAAACGGCAGACTAACCGAAGAAGAGGATTGACAAAGCAGCAACACAATTGATCGCAATCAGGAGCTTCTTTTTCTCCAGCTTGTGTACAATATTCCATGTTGATATTTGGTCACTCATTTTGATGGTAGGGTAATTTAGGGACTGGGCAGAATTGCAAGTGAAGTGACAGGCGCCTCAAGAGCAGTAGTCGCAATAGGTCCTTCCGATCACGGTTCAAGTGCTTAAAATAGCCTGAGGGCCGATGAGCACTCCAGCATGAACACACCGTGGAGAGTGGACGACGCGAGATTACAATGATCCGAGAGATCCTCTTTTCTGTGGGGTGGTACACAGGATTTAAATGTGCAGGTCTGCAAGAGACGCCGGAGGACGATCATCCTGATGATGATCGGCTGAGGTCCGACCAAAGAATTGGAGTATAGTTCTCTATAGGATAACTTATTTTGGTTACATCCCGCGTGGGAGAAGTCTGGCTCCTGGGGTCGACTGGGAAAAGGTGGTCGAAGGTGTCGTATTCCCCACTCTGAGAAGGAAAAACGCACTGTGACTCGTGGGGATGGGAACCTGGTTGATGTGATTTGGAGATAGACCGGCAAAAGATGGCTGAACAAAATCGGTACTCCGGGCATGTGGCAGCGGCCAGAGGCGCCAGACGATGGTCGCATCCGCTCACTGGATCGGGAGGCGTTCGGGGAGGAGTCTGATGCAGATGTCGGAAACTTTGGAGCCAAGTGCAATCTGCGTCATTAATATGGATGGCGCCATGTTTGCTCCGATGAAATCTGCACTTTTCCGTTGGAGCATAGAGTGGCTGCTGTCAGTGTGATACTGATACCCTGATGAAGATCCCTCTGAGGCACTCTCGGTTAATGGGAACTGTTCTGCCGTTGTAGCCTGTAGATAGGTAGTCTATACGGGCTCACACGAGGATTCTCTGACCATCATTTCCTTGAAAAGATTGATGATTTATTCCATCTGGGGCCAGAGACACGTTCTATCCAATGGTGTTGGCGAGTCGCGATTGGAGTCGGCGTTGCGGGGGAGCGCAGAGGGAAATTCTGGGGTCGTTGGGTGGAGAGTCGGAAATCGCCCGACAGTGAGCCTGGGAAATGCCTATTTGGGATGCTTGAGAGGACCTCGTGCTATTGATTGGAACGATGACGATGCCAAGGACATAGAAGAGACTAGAAGCAATGCTTTGATGAGATTTTCTCTTTCAAGTCAGCCAAATCCATAGAAACATAATGAGGATAGCAGACTTGGAGGTGTTGGGCCAGACGCAAATGGCATTGGAGCCTGAGGCAACAATGCTTCTTCATATGCTGGCGGAGACAAGACAGACCATAATGAAACACAGCCAGACTACTCTAGCACTAAGTCTAGAACAAGGCTTATACGAGGATCCAGTCGGCTACGGACTACAGATCTCCATGCCACATTTATGGATCGATGCTACAAAACTTGGAGCAGTTAAACATGACCGTGGCCCAGTCGTGACTGATGTTTTCAGGACACTAACTACCTTCTTCTTGTGTCCAATGGTTCACATGGTGCGCAGTCAGTCTGAAGCTCAGACCCCATAATGTTCGAAACAATTGCTAAGTGACGCCTCGACATCTGTGCTCGCAGGCGAACCTGGACTTGCGCTCAGTAGAACCCAAAGCTGGGATATATTGCGAAGGCAGCCAGCTCGAGCGATTCGTCCGCCTCGTCAATCTTCTGGTTCACGATGTTATGATTGCCCTGCTTCGTCCCTGGAGGTGAGGACTGCTGGTTACTAACTCTCGATGGGTATACTCTCCATCCGCGATAGCTGGCGTTTAGAAACTCGACTACCCTCTTGAGGTGTCCGAAATCATAATGGCAGCCAGATATTGGACCTGGATAACCACCTTCTTCGACAAGCTCAGCAAAGCACCTGCAGAATGAGCGTATATCATGCACGCTGCCTCTGAACGCCGACGGTAGCCATTACTTTACGTTACCCGCGGAGACGAACGTAATATCGAGGGTGACACGCTACTTCTGAGGATCTGATGGCAGACAACCACTTGTGCAAGCATAATATTGAGCCTGTTTCCCTTGAAGTAGATCATCTTCGGCGACGGCCGACGCTTTCGACCACCTGAGTCCGGGGTATCGTGGTGGTGGTGATGCTTTTCCGCAGCCTTAAAAGAGATCTTATCCACCTTTACCGCTGACGAGAGTGGAATAGTCCGTTCCGGTATACTGCATTACCGATCTGTTGTCGACCTCAAAACCAGCATAGTCTCCCATTTACTTTACAGTTGTGATCATTGACAAAGATCTCGTATCTCGTAGACGTATGCGCTATTATACAGCAGACTATATCGCTTGCCCACCGATGTCCGTGAATTCTTATTATCAAGCATCACTTGCCGGCAATATGGAATAAGATAGCCGATTTGACCCGATGCTCACTGGTCCGGATGATTACATACGCAAATAATACCGTATCAATACCGGCCCGCCAGCTTTTGCTGCCAGAACCTCAAGAAAGCTTTCCTCGTCCCAACATCCTTTTCCTTATACTATTAGCCTACCATCCCCAATTGTTGTCCTCCCATTCCTCCCCAGTTTCTTGATCTGGAGGATTGGCTATCTCTTTTAATCTCCCTTATATCTGGTATTTTGTCTCCTCTACATTCAGCACACAATGTTCCGGAGTATGTTGCCGCGGGCGACACCGCGGGCTGCCCTCCGCACTGCCGGCCCTCAGTCTGTCCCTTCTAGCTTCGTTGCTGCTCCTTCTCTGTCCGTATATGGACGCTTCAGACGCGGCTATGCTTCTGAAACTGGTAAGTGGTTAATTGTTCCCTGGGGCATCCGTGAGACGGGTGCCTGCGCTTCCGATGAAAGGGCAGCGGCTGACTATTGAAACTCCTAACAGAGCACGATGTGGTCATCATTGGTGGTGGTGTCGCTGGTTACGTCGCTGCTATCAAGGCTGGTCAAGAAGGTCTCAAGGTGAGTCTTGACACTTTCTGAGTGTGAATCCGCTTTGCGCATTTTGTCCCCTTTGCTAACAATTATCGATCTTGCGTAGACCGCTTGTATCGAGAAGCGTGGACGTCTCGGTGGTACTTGCCTGAACGTCGGCTGCATTCCCTCGAAATCCCTGCTTAACAACTCCCACCTCTACCACCAGATCCTCCACGACACAAAAAAGCGCGGTATTGAGGTCGGTGATGTCAAGCTGAACCTTGAGCAGATGATGAAGGCCAAGGACACCTCCGTGGATGGTCTTACAAAAGGTATCGAGTTCTTGTTCAAGAAGAACGGCGTCGACTACATCAAGGGTACCGGTGCTTTTGTCGACCAGCACACCGTCAAGGTGAACCTGCTCGATGGTGGTGAACAGACTCTGCGCGGAAAGAACATTCTCATTGCCACCGGAAGTGAGGCCACTCCTTTCCCTGGCCTGAACATTGATGAGAAGAGAATCATCACCAGCACCGGCGCTCTTTCCCTGAAGGAGGTTCCCAAGAAGATGGTTGTCATTGGCGGTGGTATCATTGGTCTGGAGATGGTACGTAAACCTGATGACCAGAATTCGGACGTCTTTGAGTTTTCCTCTTACTGATTGTGTCTGAAACACAGGCTTCCGTTTGGTCCCGTCTCGGTGCCGAAGTTACCGTTGTTGAATTCCTTGGCCAGATTGGTGGACCTGGTATGGACGCCGACATCGCCAAGCAGGCCCAGAAGATTCTGCAGAAGCAGGGTATCAAGTTTAAGACCAACACCAAGGTCACCAAGGGTGATGACAGCGGCGCGACCGTCCAGCTGAGCGTTGAGGCCGCCAAGGGTGGAAAGGAGGAGACTCTGGATGCTGATGTTGTTTTGGTTGCCATCGGCCGCAGGCCCTACACCGAAGGACTGGGTTTGGAGAACATTGGAATTGACAAGGATGAGAGAGGCCGCCTTGTGATCGACCAGGAGTACCGCACCAAGCTTCCCCACATCCGTGTCATCGGTGACTGCACCTTCGGTCCCATGCTTGCCCACAAGGCCGAGGAAGAGGCCGTTGCTGCTGTCGAGTACATTAAGAAGGGTCACGGCCACGTCAACTACGCTGCCATCCCCAGCGTCATGTACACCCACCCCGAAGTCGCCTGGGTTGGCCAGAACGAGGCCGAGGTCAAGGCCGCTGGCATCAAGTACCGCGTCGGTACCTTCCCCTTCAGCGCCAACTCTCGTGCCAAGACCAACCTCGACACTGAGGGCCAGGTTAAGTTCATCGCCGATGCTGAGACCGACCGCATTCTCGGTGTCCACATCATCGGTCCCAACGCTGGTGAGATGATTGCGGAGGCCACTCTGGCCGTCGAATACGGTGCTTCTTGCGAGGATATTGCCCGCACATGCCACGCTCACCCTACCCTGGCTGAGGCCTTCAAGGAGGCTGCCATGGCCACCTACTCCAAGGCCATCCACTTCTAAACTCCCTGAAATCCTCTTCCTCCGCCCCCTGTATTTTCTCCTCTAGCCTAGCCACGCTAGCGAACCACATGTAGCATTTTGCCTTCTATATTTCCTATGTTGGTTGTGTTGTCTACTAGAGAATTTATGACGAAAAGACATATCATCATAGCTCCTATTGTCCATTGAGATAGAGTCGACTTTCATAAATGTTCGAGTAATATCACGTGATAGGGCGTCTCGGTGTATGTCAAGGGCAGTACTTTGATGTCTGAGACACCATTATGAGCTTAAGCTTCAAGATGGTGTAAAAGTACCTCCAGTCTTTACACTAGCTTTTATTTCTGTATGGGCAAGACTCCTTCAGTGGGCTCATTGCAATGAGTGCTCTGTTGGACATTCTGCAGTGGCTCGTATCGTGACCCAACAGGGTGACTCTGATTTGCTACATCGAGAGCAACGTCCTGAGCCGCCCAAACAGTCTCATATAAACCAAGTCGCGTAACCATTTGCACTCTTCTAAACTACATAAGCAGGACAACTAGAGTAAGTGAGTCTCAACAATTGACTGATTGAAGACCCTCATTAATAAAACATATAGGTCATTGTATGATCTCTTACCATCCACCTCTGGAAAGATCAAATCACCGCTGTACATTTATTTGCAGCAAGAGAGCCCGGTGGTCCATATTGAATAACCACCCACGAATAACTATGGCATCTCTTACGAAAACCAAACAATCCCCTTCAAAACTCACACCAACTCCCCTCTCACAAGAATGCTTATCCCTTACCCCCCAAACCAAGAAATTCCTCCACCGCATCTCCCTCCATCCAACCCTAACCCCTTACCGCCGCCGCGTCTACCGCACCCTCCTCTCCGTGCCGGAAGGCCGCTGGACCACTTACTCGGCGCTCGCGGCACATCTAGGCTCCAGCGCACGGGCCGTGGGGAACGCAATGCGCACGAACCCGTTTGCGCCAGAGGTGCCCTGTCATCGCGTGCTGGCGATGAATGGGACCTTGGGGGGTTATAAGGGGGAGTGGATCTTGGGTGGGAAGTATCAGGTTGAGAAGAGGCGGTTGTTAGAGGAGGAGGGGGTTGTGTTTGATGAAGGGGGAGGGCGCAGGGAGATTGCTTTCGGGAGTTTGTGGATTTGGGGAGCGGGAAGTAGGTGTGGTGAATGTTGTTTGGGGTTTGATGCTGATAGTGAAGATAGTTGAGTTTATTGAATACTTTGGATGTGGATTGTGAATACTATGCCATTGTTGAGTGAATAGATATTTACCTCTTATGCTTGACCGGATGTCTGTCCAGCGCAGTCAACGTTGCCTCCTTCTCATATCAACTTTCCGGCTATATGTTCCGGCGCCAGGCAATCATGTTATGGCTCCTATCTTTCAATTGGATGGATATGATCGACTATTCATGCATCGATCAGTAATCATGTATCGCCGGGGAGCAATAAAATCGACAACTTCGAAGGAGAAAGACGGAGATGAGTGGATGACATGCTGGGTAGAATACAGAAAGTTTGTCGCTCCATTCCCTCCACAGCTTGACTATGTTTAACCCATGAAGGAGACAGGCAGGAGTCCCAGTTGCTCGCTCAGAAGGGGTGATCAATGTCGCATCCCGAGTCCCGAGAAGAGTATGACAGAGAGCATGACATCTTCTACCAGCAGCATAGGCTACCGGATGACAGACTGGTATATCCACCACAATGGAACAAGCGAAGGGAATCCTGCTTGCTCCCAGAATGGGCTGGAAAACCAGTCCCGGCATCGAAAACCGTGATTAGGAGAGCCACTACACTGATTGCTAAAGCTGATACTTCGAGCGATGCTGCCGCTCTCTGCTGGACCAAGCCCTCATTGACAAAGAGAAGGCAATTATATGGACGATGTTCCCTGCGGAGCATGTGTGTATGCTGCGGCTTACCTTCCGGAGCGCGCGCCGCTCATCGAGGACTATGCTACTTGTCGTGCTATCACGGCCCTAATACGTTCATATCCAGTAAATGCAGCCGCAATTGTGCAGAAACATGTACGATGATAGGACGCGACCCTTGGTCATGCTTGCAGCCTTGCTGCGGGTCATGCCCGCTTTCATCAAAGGAATTGGGCATAGTTTCCATGCTGGCGTTTCATCGGGGGTGTCGAAGTCCAGTTTAGAAGGGAGGAGTCGATCAACAAGGAATTTGTCTGGAAGGAAACGGATAAAGTTCACTGGAGGAGCGGCTTCCGCTATTTCCTCATCAGGATCATAATCATTATTGTTCTGTTTCTTTTCGTCTTCCTTCTTCCGTTTCATCTCAGCTTCAGTGACTCCTCTGCAAGAGGGACCCGTCTCTTCCCGAGACGGGACGCGGAGCTGCCAGCCATGATGATGAGGTTTAATGAGAACGGTGACTTGAATTGGATAGGAAGAGGGGAACGGCTTGGGGATGGTTGTAGGGAGGCTGTGGTGTGGGTGAGGGAGATGATATGGATGGTGTTGTTGGTGATGTGAGAGAAAGGTAATCGTTGATGCTGGTGCTGGCAGTGAATAGATGAGCAGGAACCAGGTTGGTAGAATTTCAGTGAATAATAATGTGGTTCTAACTAACATACCAGTGAATGTCTGTGGGCAGTCCTTATCATACACAATCGAAGTCCCATCTCTGTGGGAGGTTCCGGAGATTGCTGGATGTCTCGACGAAGACGGAACTGTAGGTAAGCATCTGAGTTCTGAGGTAATAACAGTACCTTATAACTAACTAACATTTAGGCATTCGGAGAAGTTATAAGGTCCTATTAAAAGCCTATTCTGGATTGGCCGGTACGATGACACCGTTGAAGCTATTGACCACCCTGCGTTCACTATCCATGATGAGGTGATTTTCATTCCCAAGGGGCAAATATTACCTATGACCCTTGGCCTCGCAGCTCCATACTTGGAGTCTGATATTGCTGTTGCTGTGTTTCTGCGGGGGCATGCGCCCGACTATCTCTCTGTGATCAGCTCACCATCAACGAGAAGATTGTTGTTACTTCAATCTCATGAGATTTTTACAAAATTCCGGGAGACCTTTTTATAAACTGCGACTGTCGCACTCAGGACCATCACCCTCAAACGTGGCGAGTTCATCAAGAACGCCATCGAGACTGTCAGAACCCCAATGGCTGAGCTGCCTACTACCGAGAACAACCTCCGATTCCCATACCGGCCGTCCGAGGAGGGGTGCTATACTCAATACCCAGAGCGATCCGCAATTATACCCAAGAAGCCTTTCACCTGACCCGCCGCCTTGTGACACATTTTTAACGGAAACAACACGGTACAATGTTGACGACAAGACAAACTCGAAAGACGATCACAACCTCGTCGATACAACTCTCGCTTACAAGGCACGGAGTGGGAAGAGACGATGGAGCCGGTCCAAGTAGCCAGGTTCAAGATCGAGAAAATATGGCCTACTGGGCTTGTTTCCGTCGTCTCTAGGCCCGGCACCGGCTGGTAGACCGAGTCGTTTCCTCTGATGCACGCTTGCATGGTCTTGCAATCAATGTCAACCTCAGCCGAGCCAGCATGGGGGCCCGGACAGACGGCTAATGCTCAACTTGACCACTGTGCCTTCGTGAGATCCATGTATATTCTTGACACCTACTTTGTTTTGCTCAGTTTACCTTGAATGTGCTAACCTGCAGTGTAGGAATGGCACCTACTCATCATTGTGTCTTGTGTGGTGCTAAAAGGCAATGCTTCGATCCAGCATCTTGGGCTTGATGCTCCGACACACATAGCAAATTCAAGTTATTGAACCGTTGAAGGTCCCGCTATTTCACCACGACTGGAGGCGATGGTAATCCAGCCCAGGAGAATGAATCTGAGACAGGCTCAATAGTTCTTGAACAGTGATGGCGCCAAGATAATATCAAGAGCTTCGGTGTTGAAGCAATACCAAATATTCCAAAAGAGGAGCCCCACGAACGTCATGATGCTGTTTGCAATTTGGCCGCTTGACTAATACGATGGGATGCGGAAAACTGGATATTGTGGTCTATTGGCAGACAAACCAAGGGCATGCCCATTGACGGGGATGTTCTGATCATGAATCAACAATCGTTGCACGAACATCTCGGGATACTCCAGGAGAGAAGGAATGACATCCGTCGCCTTATTAACGGAAACACAACGGTCCAATCGGGCGACAGGCTCACTCTAGAGACTGCCCTTGATGGGATTTCCCATGATTCACCCTGCCATAAATTGGCATGCGGCATACTCAGGACTATCAGCTACTTCACGAACAGCTGAGTGCCAGAGCAACAAGTCTGAAAGATCAATGCTCTGCAGGGTATGGTTCGTGAGAACCATATCCGACACAGAGGGTGCTCACAAACTTTTGGAAAAGAACAGAACAGTATATTGCCTGCTTACAGTGGCTTGGTAAACATTACTTGACCAAGCTCGCAAAAGACGTCGCCAAAGCAACAAGGAGGCTTAAGTTGAACTACACGCCGTCTTAACCAGGGTGCATCGAAACACCCAAGCACCATGACTTCTCACATCTGGGTCTTCTCTTCGGCGCCCTCATTCAAAGGGCGTTAATAGGTTGTGAGCATGTGCTGCAGCTCAGACTAGGCCGCATCCTCAATTCGACAGTCAACCAACTGGATAACTATGTCCAGGGCCTGGAGATACTCAAATATTCAAGGCCTTGCAGGACTTTGACGAGAGCAGAGCCATTCATACAGTGACTATTTCCCACAACTCCAAATTACTTCTCGCCAAAGTGCAACCACCCAGCCCTACGAACAGACGCACCAGGGGATTAACCCAGGAGCTAAAGAAAGGTCATCCAACTTCTCTGGCCTTAGTGAAGCCATTCCCGCCTTAAGAAGCCTGAAAGGCCTTCCAGTGAACCGGAAGAGATGGCCTATTCCTTCTGTTACAGGGAGGTTAAGGAATCAAATACGAGCCCAATGGGAACCATAATACCTTCCTCCAGAAGTAGCAGGCAGCGGACTCTGGGCGAGCTGCCGAACACGAGACACCGCAGCTCAATCCCTGTTGATATGTTACACACAGAAAGACACAGCTAATGAATCGTATGCCAGCATGGTCATATCATGGATCTGTTCCTCCGCGAGTAGATTCAAGTTATGTCTATGTCTTGCTAGGGACATTGATTGTTTTCAATGAGGGTTGCCCTTTTCGCTGGTTCTCAATTGACGGGCTTGTTATCCAACATTGCGACTAGACAGTCTATATTTGCAGTGTAAAACATCAAAGAATAGACATGTTATTGTGTTTCAGTAATATGATGAAGTGCATCGATCTATAAATCCAAAATATGAACACCATAAGAAATATGTATAATTGAAACATAGCACAACCAAGTCAAAGTCAATGAAAAGCAGCCATTCGCCGTCCCGTCTATCATAAATCGACAAACGCAAAGAAAATAAATCATCACACGTCCGACCTGTTCGGTCGTCCAGGGCAGGAAACAAAAACACAGTGGCTATAACGAAACGACACATGCCTTGACCTTGTCTCCGAACGCCTCTATACCTCATGTTCGTTGCATCGTCAAACCAACAAATGTAAAATAAGAGAATAACATCGAAAGGAAAAGCAAAGTAGCAAAACGTAAACCATAAGGATGCTAGAAAGCAAGAAACTGGAATGGAGAATCAGTAGAATGGTACATGTCTAAACCAGCATCAATCATGAAGACGAACATGAACATAGAAAGAGAGAAGAAAAGATCAGGCAGACGTCCTCGGAACTCGCTTCGTCATCCGGCGCTTTGGCAGATCCATGTGATGGGATGAACGAAGATGCTCCATAAGATGGTCTCGCCGCGGGAAGCCATTGCGATCCTTCCGCGGGCAGTGCTCCACCGGACAATCCTGGTAGACCGGGTAGTGGACACTGGTCTGGTGCCGTTTGAGGTCAGCGGAGCGTGTGAAGGCCTTTCCACAGTCTTCGCACGCATAGGGTTTGGATAATCTGTAGGTTCAGAATTAGTTAGGTGCTGGATCTAGTCAAGGCAGCGTACCACAAAATGGGGTGCTTACTTGGAGGAGTCGGACGAGGAAGCGCTGGTGCTGAGCGGGTATTGCGCGAGCAACGATCCTTCGAAGCTCGGCGGGAATGCAAACTGGGTCTCGTAGGAGGAGGAGTACGATGGGATGGGGACGCTGTAGGAGGTGTTCAGACCGTAGAGGTCTGGGACGCTGGTGGTGTTATAGGGACTTGGCGGCGTGAAGTCGTAGACCGAGTCGAAAGGCTGAGCGAGAGGTTCGAGCTCGTTTCCGCCAGGGAAGACATCTGCAAAGCTGAAGGACTGCGCAGAGAGTGGGCTTGGGGACTGCTCCATGGGGGTCGATGAAGGAAGAGTAGAGTTCTGGAAGTACAACAAGTTAGTTTAAATTGTTGTAGTAAAAGAGTACAGTCTGTAGTTACCACTGTGAACCGAGGGTAGAGTCTGTCGTTCATTTGAGAGTACATGATGATCGAAGAGTGTAGGTGTTGACGAAGAAGAAACAAAACAAAAGGGACTGGAAGTTCTTATAATGATAATTAAGACAGCAAGAAGAAGCCGAACGCGACAGGCATGAAATCAACTGGTCGCACGTGCATCAAGTTCTGGATTTCTCCTTATCGATGGCCTTGCGGACATCGCGTCGAGTATTTAAGAGAGACTTCAAATGAGTCCGAACCAGTCATGGGCGCCGTCACCTGAACGAGGAATCAAGGTACCTGATTTGATCCAATGGACGGGCTGGGGGTAAGCGAAGACGAGAGGAGAGACGGCCTGAGAGTCGATTTCCAATGATCCAACCTGACCAAGTTATTTGGCAAATCTGCTAGGTTTATCATCGCGACACTCAGCCACTATCAAGCGGGACGTTGATTGGAGGGACTGCTGCGGGAGAGTGAAGCGGTCGATCCTCACCAGGCAAGAACCTTGCTTAGCGTTGGCGCCAGAAGGCTCGGGGAACAATGGAAACTTCTTTGGCCCTTCTAGCGTCAAACGCGGGGGCTTCTTGGGATTCCCCCCTGCGCTGGGGATTGACAGTGGTGATTGGAGGCAGTGGGACGGGGATGAATAGCCCACGCCATCCGACTGCAGTCGGAAACACGATGAGGACGATGATAGGTGTGATCATATAATGCCAACATCATCGTTCTACTATAGTACTGACGAGATAGTCGGTATGCGTTCATTCACTCCCCCTTCTACACATGCATGTGCTGTGGAGCCGCTGCTGATTTTCTGTTTGGCCGTGAAGCTTTCGAGATACCTAGATCTGTACTATGTACTCCGTGGTTCTTACAATCTTCCCATTTTCAGTAAGTTGATTGCCTCGTTACTGGGTAAGTGTGACTTGGGGATCATCTGCGAAGCCATCAGCATTGGGCGATTTTGATTCGCTGAGAGGTTCACCGAAAAGGCACTGGTACTAGTCAGTACCTCTTGGACAAAAGTATCTTCTGGGAGCGGGACTAGAAAATGGGTGACAAAGGGCAAAATCCCCGCAAAGAACGAACGACAGCCTGAGAGGAAGTACCCGGAGGACGAGAGCGACAGACAGAACTAGCAAAAGTACGAATTGTCGAGTCATGTGTTCCTCAGCTGACCCTCAGGCGACAATCTTGTCTTTTAGTCTACTCATTAATTATTATTCTCTGCTACGATGAGATCACAATCAGAATCAATTCAATTCACTCGGCAGTCGGCACGTTTTCCGGGGAGAAACAATCTCAATCATCATTCATCATCATCATTCTGCTCTACATTATAGACTACTGTCTATCTAGTCCACCAAGTGGCCCAAGAACAACAGTTCCTACTCCACAGTCCACCACCCACAATAAATCCGCGATTCGACAGCCTTGTGGGCTTGTTCCCGTCCAAGTCCACCATGGAAGGAATCATCCCCTATTCTGTCCAATGACAACAGTCACATTGCGCCAAGAAAGCCGGTTGCAATTGATCGCTTGGCCTCGGATTCGGGGCTTGGACTTTGAGACTGAACTTTGACGAAGCCAAAGGGAAGATCACAACGCAATCGCACAGCCCCCGGCTACTTTAGCGTCAGACTTAGCCCGTTGCAGACTAGGCGGTTGGCAAGGCTCCCAGGCGTACATGGTACATCTGATGCATCGAGCTGCTCCTCAATGACGGTGATGATGCAGGCTCAAAAATCCCGCACCTCTGGTTGCTGTGAGTAGGATTCAAACTATGGCGGCTCTGCATGGAAGAATACGAGAAATGGTCAAGTGAGGCGGATAGAGATCTGCGTCAAACAGTTGTCCTTTTTTGACGACCGGGGCAACGAGGTACTATATTCCTGTCTACTAATGTCAGTCCCCGCTCCTGTGACGCAGGGAACGTTTATCTTGGTTAGAGGAGGTATGATAAGACAACAGCGAGTAGCTTCAGCCAGGTCCTACCAGGGTGTCATCTGGCTTGCTTCACAGCCCAGAGGAGCTATTGATTTCATCTTAAGCTTTGACAGAGGCGAAAACCTTCTTCGGTGAGTCTAGCGTTGGAGCTTTCTTCGCCTCGGCACCTTGAATTGCGTTGTCTCTTACTTTGCTGTCAGCCAACCTAGGAACAGAAGTAGCATAAGCAGAACTCCCATGTTCTGCTGTCCCATTCATTTACTCGTTTCACAGATGACACCATAGAAGAACTATGAGGAGCAAAAGAAATAGACAAGGAGGGGAAAAAACAGGGGCAGGAAATAGATGAAGTAAATATCACATATTCCCGCCATCACCAGTCAAAGCCCAACCAGCCTAATGCGGACATTCAAGACTACCACAAGTATCAAAGATGATGGTGAAGATGAAGATGAAGATGAACCTGTCAAAAAAAATCCATGTTCGCCACCTGTCCAGCAGAAAAAGGAAAGCCCCGTCCCATATGCACCCAAGATACACTTCTTATAATTCATCCTCCAGATACTTGTAGATAAATTTGAAATCCGCCTTGCGCCGGTTCATCCTGCATCTCGATTAGCTTGTTGCATAGAAAAGAAAAGAAAAGAAAAGAAAAGAAAAGAGAAAGAGAAAGTCTTACCAGGTACTCTCGTAATCGAAGAACCGATATGTACCCTGTTCATAGTCCTCGGTGATGTTCTTCGGCTCCTCATGGCGTTGGAACCAGGTCTGGTACTGTTTATGGAAGCGCCAGCTCTGGTTCTTGAGCGCCTTGGCCGCCAGGTACTGCTGGTAGCTTCCCTGACGGTAGTAAAACAAGTAGAAAAGCGTATCGGTATCGATCCGTCCGGTGTCATACAGACGAGGATCATCGAATATGGCGAGTGGTTCTTGCGGGTAGTAGAGAGGGTGTTGTAAGGATTCGAGGGTCGGTAATGACGAGGCTTCTCTGCATCGGCAGGCTCCGGGCAAGTCGTCAGTGATGCTGCGAGCAGGCGCTGAACCGACGGTGATGAGCTTGACGCACTGTTCGCCGCGCGGCTCTTGGTGATCTCAAATGACTGGATCAAATCCTGCAGCCCGGGAGGCAGATGGTATATCGACTCGTCGCGCTGCTCATCTTCCTTGGCTGTCTCGCCGTTGGCTGTCGCAGGCTGTTCCTTGGCGGCTGCGGCGTTCGCCTTATCCATCGCTGGAGTGGAAGGCATCGTATTCGAAGCACTGGCCGCTGCGGGCGTCCCTGCGGCGCTGGGGCTGAGAGCTGGAGTCTTGGACCGACCGTGTCCACCAGTCTCTTCGGTGGCGGTCGCTGCCGCTTTCGATACTGGTTGGACGGAAGACACAACTGGCGATGCTGTGGATGACGCTCTCGAGACTGGAATGGCGGCGGTATAGGCAGGGCTCGTGCCAGGCGGCGGGGGCAGAGGGGCGATACCGACACCGTTTTTGTCGCTCGCAGCTGCGGCAGCCGCTGCTGACGCGTATTTGAGAGTCTCGCCGGGGGACGAGTCGGAGGAGGGGCGGGTTTCATGCCAGAAGTGGAGTTTGTGGGTGTTGGAGGGTGAAGTGTTGCGAGAACTGGCAAAGGTGACTTCATCTGCGCTGATGGCCGGCGGAGCCCACTAGCGTCAGCTTTCGACGATTTCGCCTTCACTTCCGGCTCGTCCTCCTGGATCGATTGTGTGTCCTGCGACGAAACGCGATCGTTGTCCCCAACCATTCCGAACTGCGCCTCGGTATCCTCGCCCAGATTGAGATCGTCATAGAGCGTCTCGTCTTCTCCGCAGTAATCGACGTTGTGTCCATCATCCACGTAGTACTTGATACTCTCCTTCAGATCCACCACCTGGCTGGTTTCGACCGCGCCGTTCTGAAGCGCTCGTAGCAGCAACTCAAGTTTGTTGACGTGCCACTTATGTCGCTCCAGTATCCGCGAGAGGTCCGATAAACGATTTGTCCTGGTGATATCCTTCTTGCCCTTCTTCATCTGCACGTGAAGGGTCTCCTCTTCGGCCTCCATCGCCTCGATCTTCAGTTGAAGTTCGTCCACGCAGTTCGATAGGAAGTCGCACGCTTCGAGTTTCTCTTTTTCTTTGGGATCGAGTCGCGACGCAGCGGAAAGGCCTTCCTTGGAATACGCCTTGGTTTTCATCTCCTTTTCCACGGCTTTGAACTGCTCCATACACTGCAACCTCTGTTAGCTTTCTCCCATGTCCCGGAAAGGCGGTGTCAGTCGGATTGGAATCGTTAGCCCACAGTTTCGATTGCTCTGCGCTGCTCGAGCAGCGGCCCTTTGTCTTTGACCTCATTGCCGGAAGCCCATGACTTGATCTGATCGCGGAATCGCTGCAGCTTCTTGATCTCTCGTTTCAGGTTCTCCTCCAGCTTATCTCGCTGGGTAGGATTCGATGTTGAGCGGATCTTTTCATAGATGCCCTCAAATGTCTGTATGCCTTCCGCGACCTTCTTGAAGGTCTTGTCGATCTCTTGCTGCGTTTTGCGGGACGTCATGGCTGCTGTTCACATGGACAGATCGCCGTGGGGAGAAAGGGAATTTTCGGAGATTTAGGGAGATATGGAAAGGTGATCGGCGGGTTGGAAGCTGCGGTTCCAGTTGGGAAGGAGGAAAAGGGTGTTGGGCGACAATGCGAAAGTAGACGCGCTGGGAGATGATGCCAGAAAAGGCTGGGAATGTTAATGAATCTCCTGCTGCTTGTCGGAGTTGTCAAGACCTGGTGAAGGCGGTGAGTTGGGCGGGCAGCAAGCAATGTGTGGGAGGGTTATCGAAGGCGGAGGAGGCGAAACCACTGTTATCACCATCTGCTTACTCTACGTGAATGTGCCTACACTAATTCTTTTATGGGTTGAATATTCTAGCGCTCTGTATCAAAGGAATTTTGATCAGAGCTTGATCCTAGAAAACTGAGGATATCTTTGTTGTGACTCTAGAACCAGGTATGTCATCTCCGTTCCCGGCTATTACCCGATGCGTCTCTATTTTGATGAATAGCCTGTGAAGCCTCATAAAGGGCATATTTTACCTTTGAGAATAAAAGCTGACAATTGTCTGCTCTAGTTAGTATTTATATTAAATATACCTTCTCTCTCCTCGTATTCCGCGCGAATTCTCCGCAATATACTCCGACATGAAAGGTGCGCCTTGCTCTCTCCGCAAAGTCCCTCTCCGCTAATTCATGAATAGCGGTCATCCAGAGAGTGAAATCTGCGTCGGTCACGGTAGACGAGAAACTCGTGTCGTCAATCGGCCGCGGCTTGCTTGTTCTTGCTGGTGTAGGCAAGGAGGATACCGAAAAGGACGCAGACACTCTCATTCAGCGGATACTGAAGGCCAAGTTATGGCCTGCCGAAGAAGGCGGCCAAGTGAGTGGCCTATACCCCGGGACAGGGCAAACCAGAAGCTAACTATGCTTTTCCCATTTAGTGGAAAAGGAACGTGCAGGACATTGAGGGAGAGGTGCTCTGTGGTGGGTTTGGCCGTCAAGGGATCTTCGAATGCGGCCGTTAACACTTTGCCTCAGTATCACAATTTACGCTCTACGGTCAATTGAAGAAGGGCAGCAAACCAGACTTTCACGATGCAGCCGACGCAGAGACAGCACGGAAACTATACGATTACTTCTTCCGCCGGCTGGGCGAAGCGTACAAACCCGACCGGGTCAAGAACGGTGTCTTCCAGGCCATGATGGATGTCGAACTGAAAAATGATGGGCCGGTGGGTGTAGATTACCGCAGTGAGGATGCGGCGGTTAGCTTTTGCTCCTCCTCGTACCTCCTCTCCGGTTGAGAATGTCAAGCCGTGCTGACGATGAGGGTCAACTTTAGGTCACAATCGAGATCAATACCAAACTGGCGAAGGAGAAGAAACCTGCGGAGGGACAGAATAAGCCGCAGGGCGAACGGAAAGATGGAGAGACGCAAACCATCGAGTTTGAACTACCAGCATCACTGCTGGAATAATGACCTAACATACTGTATGCTGCAAAGGTGTTTGGTTGCTTGGGTTTGAGTGTAGATATTAGATAGACTCACAAATTGCACATAATATAATGATTCGGGCTATTTCCTTTCCAGAATCAACCTCAACGGACCGTCCATGCATCTAAAATTGGAAGAAGTGGTCTTATAGTTGATTACTGCCCGCAGATTGAATGAGTGCGGAGTCGATGGAAGCTTCTTGAAGCATCGCAAAAAGGGCTGGTCCAGCCCACTTCGTCCGTCAATTCCTCCTGTTCTCCTCACTAACTCCTCTCACTCTCTGACACAACACTTTCGCTCTGCTACTGTTTGTCTTTCCTAGTCATCTCTCAGCACATTCGTTCATTATTGCACTACTTCTAGCTCGCAATCATGGCTGAGACTCAGCGTATGTACTGCCCCGTCTAGTGTGGGGTTCTGGACCTCAGGATGAGGGGTTACTGATTTGGTGAGATCGCAGGTCGCCCTCGTGTCTACTTCGACATTCAGATTGGCAGCCAGAAGGCTGGCCGTGTTGCGCTTGAATTGGTGAGATTGCCAGTCTGTTTTCGTCAATTGGGCCGCTCAGCTAATGCCTGACTGTGTAATCGCAGTTCAACGATGGTAACGCAACGTGTTTCCAGTTTTCGTCGCTGAGATACTAACGAGCCCCCAGTTGTTCCCAAGACCGCAGAGAACTTCCGCGCCCTTTGTACAGGCGAAAAGGGCGTGGGGAAGCAAGGGAAACCACTGAGCTACAAGGGTACGGCCTTCCTCCTGTCTCTTCAGATGCGATTCAGAGTCTTACGGTTGCGCGCGCTTAGGATCCATTTTCCACCGTGTGATCAAGCAGTTTATGATCCAGGGTGGTGACTTCACCAATTTCAACGGAACTGGTGGTGAATCCATTTACGGCGAGAAATTCCCAGATGAGAACTTCGAGCTCAAGCACGACAGACCTTTCCTCCTCTCGATGGCCAACTCTGGTCCCGGCACCAATGGCAGCCAGTTTTTCATCACCACTGTCCCAACCCCCCACCTGGACGGCAAGCACGTGGTCTTCGGTGAGGTGATCAACGGAAAGAGTATTGTTCGCAAGATCGAGAATATGCCTACCCAAGCCGACAAGCCTACCGCCGACGTCACCATCGTTGACTGCGGTGAGCTCTCCGGCGAGGACTACGAGAACGCCACCAAGCAGGTTGCCGATGCCACTGGAGACCCGTACGAGGACTACCCCGATGATCACCAGGGCGAGGAGCTCAACGCTCAGGTCTGCTTCAAGATCGCTTCCGAGCTGAAGAACTTTGGCAACACTGCTTTCAAGAGCGGCGACCTTGCCCTTGGCCTTGACAAGTACCAGAAGGGCCTGCGCTACCTGAACGAATTTCCTGATCCCGATGAGAACGATCCCAAGGACCTCGAGCCTCAGATGAAATCTCTTCGCTTCACTCTTCACTCCAACTCGTCCCTGCTCGCGAACAAGCTTGGTCAATACAAGGATGCCCAGAACTGGGCTACCTACGCCCTTGAAGTCGCCGACGCCGCCAACGCCAAGGAAGCAGATAAAGCCAAGGCCTACTATCGCCGCGCTGTCGCCTACAGTGGTCTGAAGGAGGAAGATGGAGCGCTGAAGGATCTCCAGGAGGCTTTGAAGTTGGCTCCCGGTGACGCTGGCATTCTGAACGAGATCGCCAAGGTCAAGAAGGCGATCAAGGACCGTGAAGCCAAGGAGAAGGCCGCCGCTCGGAAGTTCTTCTCATAAAGCATCGGCGTCATGGTTCATCGGTCAATGACTCATGATTTTATGTATTCTCTTTCGTTTTGCGCACAAAAGCGACGATGCATTTCCTTGCGGTTCCTCAGGAGCTGATGGGGGTCTCTCGGCAATGTTTTACCGGCTTTGAAACATGGTGATTGGCGCATTGTGTTCGTTCTCGCGTGATACGCCCAGCAATTGTTCAACTAGCGTATGAATAAAATAATTCTAACGAGGAGTCGAGTATATGGGTCTCTGAAGCGAATCGCAACTTGACGCTTTGTCTATGTAGATCACCATCGGCTACCCGTCCTGCAAGCCGACATGCGTCTTGCGGCCGGAGTTCGATATTCCGACAATGGTATACAGATTCCGTGTGGTTTCAATAGATACATTCAGCAAGTGAGGAATACGATTACACATTCTCTCGACATCCAAATACTTTCTCATACCTGCTTTTCGAAGCGCAGACAACCCGAGCAAATATCTACGAAACGGAGCGTCCAGTCTCAGCAAGGAATTTCTCATAACGCCCCTTACACCTCCGTCTCCAGCTCTTCCCCCAGATCAACATCGGCCCAGCCATAAGCATGGACAAAAGCACCCAGATACCAAAGAATGTAAGCGTCCAGCCGTAATTCGTTGCATCGATGAAATGCTGCACGGAGAAGGAGATGGCGAAGTTGATGCAGGAGGAGCAAATCGCGAGGACGATGACGAGTTCTCCGGAAATCTGAGCTTGTCAGACGATGCTTGTCTCACTTCGGGGGATAAGTGGGTTTGGGAAGTTGTTGACGGGGAAGACCTACCCGGTCGAAGCACTCCATTGCATATGCGGTCGCGATACTCGTCGCGGAGACTTGCTGTGCGATCATGCAGCAGAGCCCGACGGCGATCGAGATCCAGTGGTCCCCCGCGGTGGCGCCCCAGCCGTAGGTGAAGTAGCCTATAGCGGCGAGGATAATCGGGAGGATATAGGCCCAGAGACGCATCTCGGGCTCTTTGTAGCCTTTGTTCCGACGGGCTAGGAAGAGCACGATCCAGTCTGAGAAGGATCCGATGCCCATGCTGGTTCATTGTTAGATTGGGACTGTCGACTCTCTCTTGTTGGAAGGGGCTCTTATATGCTTACCCGATGAAGTTACCGACGAGAGCAGCTAGGAATAGTAGGCCTACTGAGCCTGCACTCCAGTTGTATGGTGGCTCCGTCATGATCTCCGAGATGGTGTTGAAAGAGATGATGCCGGCTGTACAGCCAAACGCGAATTGGATGCCGGCCAGCACGATATTTGGAAACGCAAAGAGGAAGAACGGGCGACGGAAGTACTGGTACCAAGTTGTCTGGTCATCTTCGAGGTAGTGGATCAGGGCGACTTTCTGGCGATAGGTCCGAGGGGGAATGTCGACTTCGCCAGCGCCATGGCTTACAGCGACGGATGTAGACGGTTCCAGCTTCTGATCCTTTTCAGAGGTGACTTGTGCGTCATCCTGCGTGGTGCAAGTCTCAGTCTTCACAGCTGAAGGGCCGCTGTTCCCGAATCGGTATCTCGGGAACATGGTATCATCGAACGTGAAGATGAATAGTAAGATCAAGATGCCCTGATGGGAGTCAGCTCCTATGTCTTGGGTCAAGGTCAGGACAGTCGAGGCTCACGCATGCAATCGCAACAATAGGCTGGCTCCATCTCCAGCCGATACCATCGGTGATGTACCCTCCCAGAATCAGGCCCAAGATAGAGCCCAGCTGCTGGAAGAAAATGTAGATGGCCACCATTCTACCGCGCTCGTGAGAAAAGAAAAGATCAAAGATCTGGGGTGGATCGTCAGCAACAGGAAAGGACCCCAGTCAACAAGGACTCAATGCAGACCGTTAATTGAATAAGGGCTTGATATGCGGCGGTTCCGATGCCACCAATTGCAAGCATAGCATAGTATTGGGCTGTGCCTTCGAAGAACGCACCCCAAATACCGCTGCCGAGAACGAAGAGCAAACTCAGAATGTAAACAATCTTTCGTCCAAGCTTCATTGCCGTGGGGATCCAGATCACATTGAAGAATCCAAGCAAGAGGTAGTTGAGGGCAGAACCCCGTTCATGTTCTCCAGGGTAACTCCAGTCTCCTTGGCTATGGTTGTCCATGCTGCACCCCAGTTGTTTTCGCCAAAGGAGTTAACGCAAGCATAGGCAGAGATAAGAAATAGAGACCAGTATTTCTTGCTTCTAGACCAATTCTAGCCAAGGAATCAGTACCAGACCTAGAGTCGTCAGACAACTCAAACTCACCAGAGGATCAGCAGGGGAGGATGAAGGCTGCGGGATCAGGAGAATATCCTGCCCTGCATGGGCAGCACCTGTTAAAGATGCGGACGCTATACAAAGATTAGTGGATGACCATGTATGGTTTCAAAGGATGAGATTGTCACCATCGACCAGGTATACAGTTCCCGGGACATCAGTGTACACATCATCCGAACGAGCCATCATGTGTCAAATTGAAATTCACAAGAGAATTGCTTCCACTATCGAGCATCTTCCAGGAAATCGTGCCCCTTAAATACCTTCACAGGCATGGTAGACTCATGATAGAGTTACATTAACTCTTTCTGGGCCGAGGGGTTCAGCATGTAGCTTTCCAATGACAATCTCGTTCTAAGAGATGGTGATCCCGAATACCTTCGATACCGCCCCTACCCCTCACGGTAGCTCTGGAAAGGTACGCCATTCGATAGCAGGCGACCAGGGAATATTGCCTCTGAGACAGCATTGATGCAATGAGATAAGCGCGCAGTGGGTCATGATGCGTTGACCTCACGAGAGGGGAAGATACGATAAGTGACTGACATGAGGAAGCTCCAAACGACAACCAGATAGAAAGCTCCAATGAAATACAGCATAGCAGACAGAACGATGAGGAAACTCTCGCGATTTCCTTGTCTTCTCTGTGTATAAGCAACAGGGGTTATCAATTCGGCGAGCTCGACCAATGCCTTCATCTCAGGGCTGGTCAGGCGATAAGCCAGATCAAGCATATCGACCAAGGCCCTTTATCCATCATTATGGGTCTGATTAAAGATGCGGAGACGCGACGATCGTTGATGATTTCCCCAGATTTTCTGGGATATGTCCAAGAGACGAGGAAGGTCCAGCCGGTGCAGCTTCAAGGAATCCCGAGGCGGGGCAAAACCAGCCGAACAACAAGACGGTTTCTGTCAGTAGCGCCATTCTTGAAGCAGACAGCTCGGAATGATCCGACACTTTTGCTTTGAGTTGATATGGCATGATAGCATGCCCCATCTCTGTCATTGAAATACCACTTCACTCCCAGTCGCAGATGAATATCTTGTTGGCATCCGTCCCATCCACGTTGCTAGTATAATCACTGCCTTAAAGTGGTACAATGGCACCTTCGACCTTGACCACTGAATCTTCAATCCTCATCATCGGAGCAGGCACATGGGGCTGCTCAACTGCTCTACATCTCGCTCGTCGAGGCTACAAAGATGTCACAGTTCTCGACCCTCATCCAGTTCCTTCGCCCATCGCAGCAGGCAATGACATCAATAAAATTATGGAGCACAGTGAGCTCAAGGGTACGACCGAAGGTTTTTGAGATATGAAGTGGATGTCCCGTCTTCTAACCGTTAGACAGATGGCTCATCCGACCCCCGAAGCGCAGCCTTCTCGACATTTACGCGAACTGCTCTAAAAGCCTGGAAAACCGACCCGGTTTTCCAGCCTTACTTTCACGAAACTGGCTTTATCATATCGGGGCACACACCTGCTCTGATTGACCACATACGAAAAGACGACGTAGAACCGTCAGAAACAAACTTCGTCAAGTTGGAGACTGCCGAGGACTTCCGCCGGACCATGCCGCCAGGCGTACTGACAGGCAACTTCCCTGGCTGGAAAGGCTGGTGGCACAAGTCTGGAGCTGGGTGGATTCACGCCAAAAAGGCCATGATTTCTGCTTTCAACGAGGCTAAGCGCTTACGAGTCACATTCATCACTAGCTCTCCGGAAGGAAATGTCGTATCATTAGTATACGAGGATGGAGATGTCGTTGGAGCCAGAACTGCCGATGGTCGCGTACACAGAGCCCATCGCACCATTCTTTCGGCAGGTGCTGGTAGTGACAGTCTCCTAGACTTCAAGAAGCAGCTTCGGCCTACCGCGTGGACTCTCTGTCATATTCAGATGGACCCAGAAGAGGTCAAGCAGTACCGGAACCTCCCTGTGCTGTTCAACATCGCCAAAGGCTTCTTCATGGAGCCCGATGAAGACAAACACGAGCTCAAGATCTGTGACGAACATCCAGGCTACTGCAACTTTCTCTCTGATCCAGACAGACCTGGCCAGGAGAAGAGTGTCCCCTTCGCGAAGCATCAGATCCCGCTCGAGGCCGAAGCCCGCGCACGAGACTTTCTCCAAGATACGATGCCGCATCTGGCTGACCGGCCACTGGCTTTCGCGCGCATTTGCTGGGACGCCGATACCCCAGACCGTGCTTTCTTGATCGATAGGCATCCAGAACACCACTCGCTGCTAGTCGCTGTTGGAGGCTCCGGCAACGGCGCCATGCAGATGCCTACAATTGGCGGCTTTATCGCTGATGCTCTAGAGAATAAACTACAGAAGGAGGTGAAGGACGTCGTTCGATGGAGGCCGGAGACAGCTGTCGATCGAGACTGGAGAGCGACTCAGAATCGATTCGGTGGGCCTGATAGGGTCATGGATTTTCAGGAAGTCGGAGAGGATCAGTGGACAAAGATTGGAGAGAGCAGAGGTCGTTTATAGAACTTGCGGCGTGTTCGCCGCATTGAAAGCTAGCATTTTTCGAGGAAAGTTGTATAGACAGCCTGTTTGGTGCTACACCGTACTTTCAAAAGTTATGAAGGGGATCACTCTTCCGGTCAATGGGCTCGAGGAGAAAGAAGAGTCTGACGAAAATAGATTGCGTGAATTTTGTTCTGTGTGCCAAAAAAAGATGCAACAGGAGAACATAACAATCACACTAATGTAAGGATACCTAGTGTGTAGTAGAACATAGTCACTTGCTGGCAAAGGCACAGCTTCCCATATCCATCTTGACCACCTCAGCCTCAGGCCGGATATCAAAGTCAAAAATATCCATCGGGACCCCAACGTCGTGCACGCATTAGGAATATCCACAAGCCCCGCAATATGTCCCTGAACAGGGGCACAGCTCAACAGCAGATAGATCTGATAATCATTGTAACCATAGCGACGAAGATACTCAATGACCCGCAGACAAGTCTGACGATACGCAACCGTCGCGTCCAGATAATGCTGCTTGCCGTGCTCGTCGACGGAGAATCCTTCGAACGTCAGATACCGGCCGGGCCCGAACTGGGGTTCAACAGGGCCCGGGTGGAAGATGGGAGACTTCATCCCCATCTTCGCCATCCCGTCTTTGATCACCGTGAACTTGAGCGTTATGACACCCGCCATCTCGATGGCGCCGCAGAATGAGATCTCCCCGTCGCCTTGCGAGAAGTGGAGGTCGCCAACGGAGAATTTGGCACCGGGGACGTGCACGGGGAGGTAGACTTTGGAGCCACGGGAGAGGTTCTTGATGTCGCAGTTTCCTCCGTGTTCGGGGCGGCCCTAGTCGAGTCTCTTAGGTTATGTTCATAAGATACTGGGAGGAAGGTGTATATTAACCGGGATAGTCCTTGCGCCTTCTCTGCCGATCTTGGCTTTGAGGTCCTCGTCCGCACTGCCGGCATGGACATTCTTCGGTTCGGGGGCTTTGCGACATCGCGGCCCTGGTGTTCGTGGCGATCAGTTCGCCTTCACGGCGATTCCACTCGGCGAGGACCTCGGCTGAAGGAGCGCAACCCAGAATACCTGGGTGGATGAGGCCTGCAAACCGCACGTGGGGATGTGCCGCGAAGAACAGAAGATTCCCTCGAAGTCCCAAATTGCTTTGGCGCTATTGGGTAGAGAAGTCAGTCTTGTGCAGTGAAGGGGGAAGACAAGCGCACGGCTCAGGATAGATCTCGTCCAGGAACCCTCCACCATTACGGGGACTGAAGATTCCCGTGAAGCCCCAGGGCTGGTCCTCGAACGGCTGGACGTCTTGGATTTCAACAAGCAGGACATCTCCGGGTTCGGCCGTCTCAATCTCAAATGGACCGGAGAGATAGTGGATTTGCGTTAGGTCGACGTTCTTAATATCGTCGGCAGAGTCATTGTTCTTGATCTGGCCACCAGTCCAATCGAGACATTCGATCTTGACCACTTCGTTGTTGGCGACCTTGCCATAGGCCGGCACTGTAAGAATGTTCATATTAATAAGAGGAGAACTTCGACGATGTCATTGCAGCAGACGAACCATCTGGATGCCAGCGATTCTAGCGATGTGTCAGCGTTGTAAACATTCAGGACTCTCTGACAGCACATACATGTAAGCCCGGTTGCTCCCAAGCTGGCTTATCGAGATCGACTTTGAGAGCGGTACGAATTCCTTTGACGCCCATTTTGAGGTCACTTAGTCGTTCCTATAGGCAATATACCAAGAAAGGGTAGTATTATGGCTGGAGGGCTCGCGTAGTCTACCAACCGCATAAGATTGATAGGATCGCACAGGAACAACACATCCTTTTGAATCCTCGCGTTAGCTTCAGGAACCGAGGAAACTGTCCTGTGAACCTATCCTTTCATCCGATATCGAGTATACCCCGCAGGCGGGGAGGATAGGTAGGATAAGATGCTACGTACTCCAAATTGCAGATGTTACTCCAATTTTAACTGAGCACATTACGCGATGTCTACGTATCAGCAATGCATTCTTATCACTGTATCTCGCTTATCAGCGGGCCTCCGCAGTGTAACAGCAAATCATATCCAACCAAGAAAGGCATCGTTCTGAAATTGAGATGATAAACATGGCAGGAAAGCCTTCGAAGTGATAGATATGGTAGGTGTGGGATCCTACATACGACAGGGGATCTACCCTTCACACTCAGGTTATTGGCCCTCGGCGTCTGCCGCTATGCTCGAGAGCGATCCACTGATCCCAACCGTTGTGCCTTCTGCTGCATTGAAACCTTGCCGGTCTATAAGACTGGGCTTTTCAAGAGAACTTCCGTCCCGGACTTTGGGGTATTTTTGCCTCCTGCACTTCCCCCTCATTCTGTGAAGGGAGATTCAGTTTGTCCAGGTTATCCAATGACAGCCGCAGGAAGTCGTGCTTGTTCTTCCAGGTGACTTGGCTCTCGGCGAAACCTTCACTTTCGGCAGGACTGGGCGGGGGATCTGTGATCTTTGTGATCAAGTATGCAGTCGATGCTTGTGCAACGCCGTACATCAGCACTCCGATGTAGGGTGCCTTGAGGACCACAGTGAAGGCGAAGGCGAAACCGAACAGAACACCTTGACGGTCCATAAACCAGCGGCGTTTCTGTTCTGGTGTGAAGTGGATCCGGCAAAAGTAGGGCTCAAGCTATACGCCATGTCAGACAAAAAATGAGAGCGACGCCACTGCAACTCACCAGTTCACGCATTAGACTGCGAGATGCAAAGTACGTATGCAAGAACCTGACAACGAATCTCTTTGGGAGAACCAGACCTGTTCCGAAGATTACCGCTGCAGGAGTTGTTCCCACGCTGCTCTGGAATGTATAAAAGGAGGCTGCAGGCATGACGAATCTTCCCACAACAGGAAGAAGCGAGATCATGTAGAGTCCCAGGAGTGTCCCGAACTTGCGCCCATATCGCCGCAGAAACAGAATGATTGCCTCCGGAATCGGCTTTGAGACACCAGTAGCTCCTTTGGTTGAGTACATCGCCAGGTGCGGGTAGTACATAGCACGAAGAGTTTTTGGGTCGTCAGCCTTGTGCTTCTGAACGTAGGTTGAGTCAACCCATTTCAAAGACTCCATAAAGCTAAGCAATTAGCAAAAGGACCTTTCAATATACGGGTGTAAAAGGCTCACATCTCATCCAAAGTTGGCGTAACGTATCGCATTAAAGTCATGAGTAAGAATGGTACCTGAAGGACGGAGTTGTTGAGGAAATCCAGGCCATTCATGATGGAATCATCCCATGAGCTACGATCTAGATCGGAGAACCATGATGCAATCCAGACGAGAAGCTTGACACCGATGATCTAGTCAAGAATTCTTAGCAATCGGCAAAAACCCAGGTAAACAAAGAGTCAATAGTAACGCACCGGAATTTGGATAATCAGGTGAATGATTACTCCAACAGCTATTGCTAGAGCGGCCTGCCGAAAATGGTCATACTTGAAGAGCTCCGGATTTCGCAGAGCTCGAACAGCTTTCAAGTGATGTTAGCATTGAACTAAACTCACAAGAGCATGCACAGGACCTCTTTGGTTAATCGTCTAAAGTTTCTCGGAACTACTAGACCAACCAAAAAGGGATTGACACAACTAAACAAACTTACTGCCGACGACTGTGAGCTGGAAACCGCGGATGACGGCATTAGGCTCGAAATTGGACATGATGGACGTTGAGCAAACCAGCACGCTGGGTTATTCTCATGAGAGAAAGATAAAACGGAGTAGGCTCCCTACCAGCGACAATTTGTCCTTTAAATAGAAGTAGTCCACATAGTGATGCTAGCATGCAGTCTAGTAATAAAGCTGGCACAGGCAACCAAATAGATAACTAATGCAGGAAACACTGAATAAATGCGTCATCGCATGTGATGATTGGCCAGATAGACGCCAGCCGCAGATTCATTACTAAGGCTGCTTGAGGCGCGCGGACCCACCTGTTCATGTGCCTTCTGATGCCTCAGGCGACATCCCCCCGCCTGCCGCAGCGGATCACGAGGGAGAAGCGATAATACTCCGTAGTGGTAGTAACCGGTTAACCATCATCAACAGCCGATCTCGATGATGATGATGATAATTTCCGTCTGACAGGAGATAAGTTAATCGCCGTTCGTTCCTTGGATCCATCCTTCTTTCACTCTTTTTGATTGCATGGTCATTCTTTGTCTTTCCCTACACCATACATCTCTATTTAGCTTTATAATTCACCCTTCTGCTACTGCTTTTCAATGTAACCCTTTTATCGATCGTTTCTTCTGCTATCAATATGCCCGAGTCCTCGGATGTACTCCCCGCTCATATCCAGTCTATCCGTCGATCTGCTACTCTGCCGACCAAACTACATCCCCGGAAGCAGCCCAGCTCCGAATTTTTGCGCACTACAGCCTCCGAAAATGACATGTTCTTCCACCCGTCTGCGAAGATAGTGCATTTCTCCCCCCGAGCTCTTGCGCCTATACCCTCGAGTACCGCTCCCGCCGATTTCGATTACCCGGTTGACACTATCGAAACTCTTCCATGGCGATCGGCGACTGAGCGAACAGTTGCCTGTGCGCCTCTGAGGCTCGAGAAGGTGCATGGCCTGACTGTCTTTCTGAAATGTGGGAGTGTCGTTCATGCAATACTCAAAAACTCACAGTGTTGGTGTGTGGATGGAGAGTCAACGTTTGTTCTGCGCATAAGACCTCTCACATACTATCGCATCGAACTTCCGAATGAGACTGAGGAAGATAAGAAACTTGTGGCGGCTATGAAAGAGGCGCTTTCTAAAGTTTTGCGATACGAAGTAACGCCATGCCCCTTCAAAAGAGGTTTTACTGTTGAGATACCCGAAGAAGCGAAAGCTCCAAGGCGGAAACGGGCATGGCGCCCAAAGGGGCGAAGAGAAAGTGCCCCCGTTCGATCGATGTCGGTATTGAAAAACGCGTCCGCGGCGGAAGACTTGGCTTTGCTTAATGGAAGCACTGGGGAAGATACGGATGGAAATACAACCGACGATAGCGGCTTCACCACGAAAGACAGTAATAGCACAATTCTGGAGACGGTCCCCGATGATGAGGAGGAGGCGCCCTCTTCAGCCACCGTTCCCGGGGTGCTGCCTCTTCCCACAAGCTCCGTGGCGGAAACACAACATAGCTTCGAAACCTTGCTGGCAAGGTTCGAAGAGGCCTCCGACCTGCAGGTTGATCCTGACATGTCCTACTCCTCAAGTATCGAATCATTCCACTCGATTGAAATGCCACCATCTCCAGCCGCTGAGATCCATTCCCCATTGACAACCGCATCGCCGTTGTCAGTCGCTTGTCCGGACAAATTGCCGGATCAACAAGAATGTTTGGCGGACGACATGGCATTTCATCTGACGGATTCGTCCAAGAAGAAATTCCCTTCAGCAGCAGAACGCATCAATAGCACGGCTTCTCAGGCTGAAACTTCACCGATGGACCAGTCCTCAGGGTCGAGTTCCACGTCGTTCCTGGACATCCCCTCGAGCGCTGAGACTGACCTTGCAAAGAACCTGAGCGACATGAGCATTGAATTTCGCCGGCGCTCCAAAGCGTCGCGAGAACGAGAGATATCGCCAATGCCACCATCGTCCATTCTGGTCAGTAGTAGTCCACCGGAAAAGCAAGATGCGGCCTCCATCCTCCAGAAAACTGCGGCCCTTGTCCTGGTGCCTCCAGTGCAATTGTTCATATTGTTGATCCACATTGCGGCGAGAATTGTCCTAGGCCCAGCTCTCAACTCAGCGATGGGCGATTTCAACCGAAAACTTGAATATCATGCCACCAATTCTCAAGAAGCCGTCGATGACTATGATATTCCAATTGCGCCTGACCGTCGAACAGCAACAGGGTCGGATGTCACGAAGAAACTCGATCCCTGGGATCTGGACTAACCATGTCATAATCCACCTCCATCGTCTTTCCCTGATACCTATCTTTCTCTTGCCTATTTTTTTCAGTACCGTGTTTTAATGTCCTCTCGTTTCTCATTCAGGCGCCTTCTCGCTTGGGCGCACCGCATTCTTGGTCTCTAACGACTCCTCTTGTATGATCTTTCTCTGCTGTTCCATGTCTGTTTGGGCGGTCATAAGATTCTTCGGTGGATCAAGTCTCGCATTGGATATGTACTCCCTAATGAAACCTGTACCTTTAGCGTGTATCATCGATTGCCAATATACCCGTTTCCATTGAAAGTTGCAGATGAGGCATTGATACTGGACCAGGCAAACTGGGTCCAGACCGCCAGCAAACCATATGCCATGACAATTAAGTACAATTAAGGTACCTTTGCATACCACATGCACTGCAACAAGATCTAGTGCAAAAGGATATAGAAAAAAAGCCAGCATTAACGCCATAAATGCAAAACCCCAACATCAGCCGCATCACAGATAACCAACCCCCACGGTCAAGCCTTGGTAACTTTCGAAGCACCACCCTTCGCTTTCGCCTTCCCCTTTTTCCGATCCCGCTTCTTCAGCCCCGTCATACCCGCCTTGCACACCTCCGCATACCGCGCAAAGAATGTCTCGAGATCCTCCTGCGCGACAACAGTCGAAAGCTTGATCTTGGATGTCTTTGCGGCCTTCTGGTTCTGGTCTTTGGTGGTCTTGGGATTCGGAGCGTTTGTGTTTCCGTCTGTCGCTCTGATGAGGATGGGAGGTAGGGATGACGAGGAAGAAGCCTCCTCTGATGTGCTGGTGTTGGCGTTGCTTGGGAGGAGGGGCTTTTGGGTGAGGAAGACTGAGCCGCGGGCTTTTTGGGAGGTTTTGGAAAGGAGGTCGGAGAGGGAAGAGAAGAACTGCGATGAGTTAATTGCGATTCAATATGGATCAGGCAATCCCGTATAGGAATGAAGGCAGAGTTAGTGAATTCCTACCTCTTCGTGACCGAGGTGTTGTGCCATTGTGATTGCGATATGCTGGAATATTTGGTCGGAGATATGGGATGTTTTGTGCGATGTAACAAGAGGGCATATAGCAAGGCTATGGCTGGTGCAGGGTATAAGTAAATATCAGATACAGTCTGAATGAGATTCCGAGTATCTGTATCTCTCTCCAGCTGTCCAATGTCTAGCAGCGATCTCGACCTTCGCGCTACGCTGTCATGGTGGGGAGACAAATCTCCGCAACCTAGCCCACACCGCCTTTGGTGAATTCCGCCTCTGCTCCGCAGCTTTTTTTTGTGACGGCATAAAAATTACCAGCGGACATTTATTTTGCGACAGCCTACGATAATCAAATTAGTATATTTGTCGCAGAGATGAGACGACCCAGGCCAAAACACAATACTACGTCTTTACCCCGGACGCTTCGCGCCGAGCTGGGAATCAAAGATCACTACGGCGAAAAGAAGCATAAATGGAGCGGACCTGGATCGCGAAAAGACCGACGTCAAGCAGAACGGACAGAGAAGAGACGTGGACCTCCTCCGAAATCGAAAGCTCGACAATATGAGGCCGAGGACGATGATGATGACGAGGATCTTGCAGATTTCGGAAACGACTCAGATTTTGATTCGGATTTAGACGAAGATGTACCCCCGCCAAAGTCAAAATCTGCGAAACCCGAACCGAAGCCCAAGTCGATACTCAAGAAGAATCAGAAGGGGGTTGAGGAGTCCGAGTCGGAGGATGCCGCAGATACCTCAAGCGTAAAGCCCAGCAAGGTTTCTCAGGCTGTGAAAGACAAGCTTGACGAGGATGCTGCTGAAATCGCGGCGCTGGAGAAGAAGCTGGGATTGAAGAAGGGGAAGAAGCTGCCAAAGTCATTCGAAGAGGACGGACTGCTCGATTTGCTGGGTGACTTGGGCGACGGGTCCGAAGACGAAAGTCGAAAGCGCAAACGAGAGGCTGACGAATGGTTGAAGAACAAGAGAAGGAAAGCGCAAGGTCTTGCACCAGAGAACGATTCGGAGGAGGACGACAGCGAGCTTGGAAGTGACGAGGAGCTTGGTGATTTTGACGACGATGAAGATGACTTTGACGATATGGATGAAGACGAAGATGAAGATGAGGAAGAGAAGCCTCCCGCAAAGAAACGAGAAAATCCATACGTTGCGCCTGTCGCTCCGTCTGCCGAGAACAAACCCGGGAAATATATTCCACCGTCACTACGAGCAACCTCTTCGTCTGAATCCGAGTCCCTTACAAGACTGAGGCGTCAGGCTCAAGGACATTTGAACAAGCTGTCGGAAGCCAATCTTATCTCCATCCTTGGCGAATTTGAGAAGCTCTATCGTGAATATCCTCGACAAAACGTCACTTCGACGCTTTTGACGCTACTATTCGGCCTTGTATGCGAAGGATCTGCTCTGCAAGATACATTCATCATCCTCCATGCGGGCTTCATCGCTGCACTCTATAAAGTTATTGGGCCCGACTTTGGGGCTGAGCTCGTTCAGAAGCTGGTTGAGACATTCGACGCAGCTGGAGATGAGCGTGGTAAGTTCCAAGGAAAGGAAATGGTCAACTTAATCTCTTTACTCTCGCAACTTTATAACTTTCACGTCGTCGGAAGCACCTTGGTATTCGACTATATCCGGCTGTTCCTGCAAGAGATCAACGAGGAGAGCACGGAGTTACTACTCAAAGTCATCAGAAGTACGCTATCGAATCTCCTTTGTCTAAGGATGTGTTACTGACAGAATTAGATTCCGGTCCTCAGCTCCGACAAGATGACCCCTCCTCCTTGAAAGACATCGTCCTCCTGATCCAACCTGCTGTAGCAAAGGTCGGCGAAGAATCGCTGTCAGTACGGACAAAATACATGATCGACACCATCACCGATCTCAAGAACAACCGTCTGAAATCGGCCCCTGGCTCAAGTATCACCTCGGAACATATTACCAAGATGCGAAAGATCCTAGGTTCTCTGAACAACTCCCGAGTCCTGCGCGCCTCAGAGCCCATCAGTATCTCACGAGAGGACATCCACAATGCCTCAAAGAAGGGCAAGTGGTGGCTTGTCGGTGCAAGCTGGAAGGAAGATCCTCTTGTGTCCGCGCGTCAGGAGCTAGCCAACCTACCGCAGGACAACAACGCTGCTGTTCAGGAAGAGGACAGCGAGGGCGAGCCCGACCTGGCCAGCATTGCAAAAGCACACCGCATGAACACCGATATTCGCCGCTCCATCTTTGTCGCCATCATGTCCGCAACAGACTACCAAGATGCCCACGTCCGGTTAACGAAGCTTCGACTGAAACGTGCACAGGAGTTCGAAATTCCCCGCGTCCTTACTCACTGCGCCATGGAAGAGGAGGCATACAACCCGTACTACACGCTGATCGCACGGCGGCTGTGCGGTGAAATGGGCCGCCGCATGAAGGTCTCATTCATGTATACCCTGTGGAACGGCTTCAAGCGCATGGGCGAATCAGACGATATGGATGAGGACGACGAAGATGCCGGGTTCGGCGACGATAACGACGAGCGCAACCAGCTCTCGATGAAATCCGCCGTCAACCTAGCCAAGATGTACGCCAGCCTTATCGCCGACGACGCACTGACGCTGAGCGTGCTGAAAACGCTCAACTTCGCCTACCTCCAGCCCAAGACAAAGGCCTTTCTTGAGATCCTCATCATCACCATCATCCAGCAGTCTCAGAAGTCGAAACGGGGTAAGAAAAAGGGCAAGAAGGCGGACCAGGAGGAGGAAGCTGAGAGGAACGAGAAACCTTTGATGGAAATCTTCCTGCGCACACGGGACACGCCGCAGATCGTCAAGGGACTGATATATTTCATACGAAAGGTGGTCTCGAAGACAGATATTGTGGAGTCTGAGAGGGAGCAGAAGTTGGTTCGGTGGGGATGCAGGGTCGCTGTGGATGCTTTGAAGGTCGTGGCGAATGAAGATGTTAGTCTTGGGTGATTGCGTGCGACATCCTCTCTCTTGTATATATTCCTATTCTCTCTGGAGGTTATTCGCCTACTTTGGAGCATGGTGTCTGGCCCGGATAAAGAAAAGCATTGCATGAGTCTATATATGACCAAAGACTGATCATAATATTTGCCGTTTGTACAGGGGATCTCCCTTCCATACGGATAAATTCGAAGTCGCTGATAGTAAACAAGGGTATCACCAAGCAAGTAAAGCGAAGCGTACATGCGACCATCTCAATTCTGGTCGATTAGTTCCCATTGCATCCCGACGAGCCATTCCTCCAGATTCTCAGTGCTTGTATCGCACCCAAGACTGCTCACAAGCTCCTCGTTCTCTTGCGTTTCTTCTCTCGGCGCATGCGCCTGTTCCAAGCCAACCTCCCAGACCAGACTCCGAAACACTCCGACCAGATGACCAGTGCGAAGCTCAGGAACTTGAGTTCTTGCACTAGAGGACTGCAAGCTAGCTGGCCGAGGCGGACCAAGAAGGAGAACTCTCCTTGACTGCGAGATTTCACGTTCGAGCTCAGCGGGAACAGTGACTTCCACACCACGTATATAAGCCACTGGGCCAGAGCTACCCAGCGCAGACTGCCGGACGTCAAGGATGCGAAGAACAAGGTAATACTGGCTTAGATCAGGGGGCGCTTGGGTCTGGTGCTCCCTAGAATAAGCATTTAGACTCTTCTGGATCTGTTCGCTTTTGGCTCCCGTTTCCAGGATCCAGCTGCGGACGTCCGAGGCCATGCCGCCTGGTAAGTAGTTTGCAGTACTCGATCGGGGACGGCCTCGCCGACGAAGAGCATGAGAGGAAGGGGAGAATGGAGTTGGAATCATCGATTCATCGTCCATCCGTGATGGAGACGGAGAGCGAGGCAGGACAAAGACTGGCTTCTGTCTTTGGGGCCCAGGGGTCGGTAATTGTGACGCAGATACTGCCGTCGGTCTTGGGGTGAATTGCGACTGACTGCTCAATGCCGGTTGAAACATCTTGAAGCGAGGATGGTCGCGGAATGGTGCTGTACTTGCCGGAGTCGCAGGCCTAGGCGTTTGCCGTGCAGCAGCTACGGTCCCCCGCGTCAGAGTATTCTGCTTTGGAGTACGGAAGGGGATGGGCGACGAAGGCGGATCTGTAATGAACGCTGAAGTCTCCGGCGAAGAAGTCAGAATCATGTCTGCGTTGTGCCTTGCAGGTTGAGTCGTAGATGGTTCTTCATCCAGAGATATACGGCGTCTCTTCCTTCGATCCACTGTAGTCGGCCCAAACAGGGCATCAAATGCGGCATCTATATCGCCGGCACCCTCCGGCGGAGTAGTGTGGTTTGTCTCACTATCAGATATATCATCGACGGCTTTCCTCAGCCCGGAGTTGAAGAGATGAGTCGCATCATCTTGCAAGTCCTCGATTAATTCCCGTCCTCTTTGCTGCGGCTCGACACGTGCCGTGGAGAGAGGAGTTGATCGCGGTGACTCCTCCGGATCACTAGTGTTGATCTCATCCTTTGCTTTCGCTTTTTCCGGGCCAGTCGGCTTCTGAGATAACAAAAAGCGGGGAGTAGATGCAAATTGAGATGCAGCACTAGGTCGAGCAGATGAGCCAGGACGCTGGGGGAAACGGAACGGAGAAGGCGTCTGAGGAACCGTTAGCTGAAGCAAGCCTTAATGAGGCGTACCGAATCATCTTACTCCTACGGGCATCTAAACGAATGTACGAGCTACAGAGTAGCTTCAATATTCTCGGAAATTGCGATATATTATTGAATGATTTTGTGATGCATCACACCGAGATGATCTCATTTGGCGATGCGCGACGGCCGATACCGATAAGGATTCAGGCATACAGTTACACCTGAGGCACCAAGGCAAATGTCTCTTTCCCCGAGAGACTGGTTTCTGCTATACCAAACTTCTCACATTCTCTCAAGAGAGTTTACAGAAGATATTACCGCTCAACAGTGGACTCTCCGTCGGCTTGTTTGTCTGAAGACAACTACATCTATGGCTAGAGACGGAAAGACAGAGTCAGTCGATGTGAAAAGGAAGTATATCACAAACTCTTTACCTCTCACGAGGCGATAATAAGGACATAGAACTCGGCATCAGAGGAGCTCGAACAAAACAAAGAAAAAGCATGCCTGAACAGGCAGGTAAATATCTTGCTGCCTGATCGTCTGAATGTGCTCCTAATTCTTTTGTCAATTGCCCCTTGGCTCCTCCTTGATCACAGTGTCTCCCAGCATTCGACATCCGGAATACGCCCGCGAATCAGACATCTGGTGCTCAAGATTATTCGTCAGAAAATAGCTCGGATTTTATGCCAGAAGGTTGCATGGCTTCGTGCCGTGGCAATCTTACGCTGCAGGGAGAGAGTCATTCGGACCGAATCCGCAGGCGTCAGGACATTCAACGTCTTGTCTTATTGCACACAATTCAGACTTTGCTTTTCTCGAAAGGCAAATAACGGCAAAAGCGTATGGTCCTAGAGCCGTGCTGACCATTGACTTGTCTCGCAAAGTTAGAATCGTAAAGGTCGTACTTTGCGCAAGTTCCCCTTCTGGATTCTCACAGCCTGGATGCCTACCTACTCCTCAATTGATATCGGAGTCCGCATTAGTGTGACCCACGATATGACGACGCCCTCGTTACGGCTGCCCTGATAGCATTGAATGCCCGCTGGATATCAGACTTTTCCCAGCCCTTACTCTACTAGTACAGCTCCCGCATTCTAGACTCACCTATAAGCTTTTGCAACCAGCGCAGACAAATCATTCAGCATCCGCTTGTTATCAGATTCTGTGCAGTGTTTCATTGGAGGATTTGCAGCGGGGCTAGCAAGCAGACCGTGCGAAGATGAGCTGCGAGTATGGCACGACCCGAAATATTGGAAACATCTGGTCCCTTCTTTGGGACGCTTAGGAGGGTTAGCAAGGCTCGAAAGTCGAACCTGGCCTATTGGATATAGTCGGCAGAAATTGGATGAGGAGAGAAGTGATCCACGAGACGCATCTATATCGTCCGGAGTTCATCCGGAGTTCGTCCGGGGTCTGTAGACCCATGCCATCGCTGGTGGTACTTAAGTACTGAGTGGGCCCTCAGAAGAGGGGACTCGACATGACGCCAAATCAAGAAACAACTGAAAGCAATGGAGTTCAGTTGCGTCAAAACGAGCATTGTTGCTGCATTATTCCCTGGACAAAGCCATTCTCTGCAGCATGAATAGAAGGGGGTTAACCCATTCATGTGACGTGCAGATGGATGTGCTCTGGCAGAACGTGCGGATAACGGAACTTTGCAAGGCTACTCCGTACTACGTCGGTGTCTCCTTTTCTTAGAGTCTCAGTAGTCTCCTAGCGTCCAGAATATTCGAAAGTCCAAATCCCGGTGCCAAGGGGCCGGTTATGGAGGGTGTCATATTGCAGACGACTGATCAGCCATGGTGGAGGTGTTACTCTTTTGGGTAAGCCCTCCTTAGCCCCATTTGTGCTTGGATATCACGTTGATACTTTCCATCCATATTAATAGCCAGTCATCCCTGGCCACGACTGTTACTTGCCATAATCAGCCTAAGATCTTCGACAGATGGGGTTGGATGACCTGTCAGCGCAACGCAACGCCTCGATACCTTCCCGTGGGTTTGGTTCGAATCCTTCAGCCACGCACTGGGGAAGCATGTTCTGTGAACGTAGATTGATGCTTGCAAATTGTTGGTCAGACCAACTATATTTGCTCAGCTATTGTTCATCGAACCTATCGGTTGAAGGTCTTGGAATGAACACCGATGCATCAAAAAACTGAATAATAGCGGACATGTGTGGTCGGATATGCATCAAGGCAACCCTTTTCTGACCCAGTTCCAAGGCAGAGGATTCAGTTTCTGCAGGCCGGGTTACGCAGGACACCACCAGCTGCACCTAAGCGTGTCAACGACGCCTAGCGGCAGGCTAAAGTACGGCCTAACTTTGACGGTTGCCAAATTGCTCCTCGTGCAGACCGCAGAACTGCAGAACGGCAGCCCCTCCACTCTCCCGTTGCAGACATACTGCATACATTGCAGATTTGCAGGAGCATGCTGGTTAGTAGCATTTTAATGGGCAAAAGGGATGGAATTGCTGGCTGTTTTGTTCTGCAGTGCCAATGATCCACTGTCCAAAAACAGCCGACTTTTAAGCTGGTATCCAATCGTTCTCGAGCTGGCCTACCCCCTACACGTCAAAGATACCCAAAACGGACCATTCTGTCATGCAGATAATGATGTTTGGATAGAGTTGCACCGCATTATTTTTGATATGGCAGGATACAGCAATGCATACTTGCTTCATTCGGGGTGTCTGGGTCGGAAGTAGACTGACCAAGACTGACCAGAGCTGACCTTATATCAAGGTCGCCATGAGTTTCGCACCATTCACTGCCAGCGTGATATCCACCATAGTCAACCTATATATCGGTACTCCCCGTTATAGTAACCACAGGCCATCACGGATTTGATAGTCCCGGGGCTCTTTTTATTTGCACCGTTCAGCAAAAATGCATTTACATTTATACTGTTCTCTTTCCCAGCGTTCCAATTCTACAGAAGAGCACAGAGCAATTTGCGCCCGAATGCAAGAAAAACGCCCTGTCATAGGAGTTCACCAGGAGCTGCTGGTTACCTGGCGGCTCCTTTATGCCAACGCCCGTGAGGGACTTGTTCTACCTGTCGTTGGCATGCTGGCTCGCTTCCTGCCTACTCCTAGTCTACTTGACAGCACCCCCTGGCTGCAGCTCTTGTCCGTTCTCCTAAAGACCGTCTTCCTCTTCATCTGCCATCTCTATGTCTTCGAGATTGTCAACCAAGTCACCTCCGTCGAGGAGGACAGAATAAACAAGCCTCAACGTCCTATTCCCTCTGGTCTGCTCACGGTCGCCGGTGGTCACAAGCGTTGGGCAATCAGCTGGATCGTCTGTCCGCTCCTGGCATATTACCTCGCGGGCTCCCAAGCTGGCTGCCTCTTTATCTGGTACCAGCTCTGGACGTGCTTCTGTTATGTCTGGCCAAAGATCAACCACTTTATGTTCCGCAATGCCTTCGCCTCTGTCGGGGTTTACAACATGTTCCGGCTGATCGACGAGATTATCCACAGCGAAGTTCCGTCCTTTCCTCTGCCGCCGATCGACTTTTACCTCGTCCTCTCGGCCTGGGTCATGCTCACCGTCCATATGCAAGAATTTCATGATAGCGAGGGAGATAAGAAAATGAACCGCCAGACGTTGCCAGTCATTGTTGGCCCCAGATGGCATGGAACTCTACGCTGGGCAACTGCTTTTTTGGTTATGGGGACTGGAATAATGCCTTTGGTTATTACTGGCAAGCTCTTTTGGGACGGTCGAGACAAGGAGTTTCTCAGCCAGCCTTGGATATATAACGGCACCGTCATCACCGCAATACTGCATGTCGTCTTTGCGTCTCTTTCGGGCCTTCGATGCGCATTCAGCTGGGGGAAAGCAGCTTATGACCGCAAGACCTACAAGCGTTTCTACATGCTCGCGGCATACACCATGGTTTGCTATCTATCCTTTGTTTATTTGACCGTGTGATGTGCGATGTGTTAACGGCCTGTCCACGATCTGTCATTTTGCTTATTTGCGTCTGTTATGTTATGTTTAGCCAGGCAGCATACATTGGAGTTGGATTGAATAATGAAGTTGAATAGCGCACAGACATCCCATTGGATTAGAAATTGAAATAAACCCACGTAACATATCTTGATCATATCAGCGCCCGCATCCGCATAACATCTAGCGTCTCGTCTCATCCTCGACAGAGGACAACCGTCAAAACTCCGTACTTTCCCCGTAGGAGCTGTTCTATACCATCAGCTTCCCTTCCTTGGTTTGACCAAGTGATAAGAGTCGCCGTACTACCAGCGTAGTTCCGAGCAGGAATCATCTTTTGGAATCTTATGCATCTTTTCCTTTTCCTGTAGGAAGCGCAGCCCCGAACGAGGTCGGGACACTTGGAACATGCTTGCATAGGTGCCTTAAAGAGTTTATTGTGGATGTATGGTGGATATAGGTCGACGTGGAGTGGGATTGAGTATTTATATAGATCGTTCTCGTGACTACGTTGCTGTCTCCAGGGTCTCCAGGAATGACAATGTAACGACACCACATATATCCTAATTTTATCGGGAAGGATTTCTTTGTCTAATCGGCTATATTCATGGCAGTGATATTAGTCGTGTGTGAGGGCTCGCGGTCGAATATACGGTGAATTGATACACTCTGGCGTGGCCGACACGACAGCCGACGGCCGAGGGCCGATGTATAGCCTGAATTCCTGATTAGGGCACGAATCGGCCAGACAGTTCCAGACTCCAGTCACGCAGTGAACCAAGATAAGGAAATAGCTTAATCCTGGACTGAGGCTGAGTAGATAGGAATAGAATTTGGATATAGATATATGCAGTAAATCTAATTGATCATATCATATCATCATATTCATGCCAGTTTAGCGTCGCGAGAGTGATGTCTACAGTCTATCCGCATCAGCAACTATATACATACACACTCATATACAGATCAACTCTGCCAGAGTGAAATAACAGGGAATATGCTTACGCAAAACACTCATCAAACCTCTCCTCCGTCACCATCTGACAATCAAACCCGTAAATCTCCCGCTGCACATCCGCATCCGCCCACTTGTCCGGCACGGGACCCTTCCCCTGCCTCAGCGCCGCAAACTGCCTGTCGCGCTCTTCCTTGGCCGCGCCCTCACCCAGATGCAGCGCCCTCCCGGACGCAGCCGCCAGCTCGACAAGCGCATATGCCCTGTCCTTGCGCACACTCTCATACACCTTCAGCGCCTTGGTGATGCTCTCCGGCGAAGGGTCCGGCATACGGCGCAGGGCGATGGCGATGGTCGCGCCGTCCTCGATGGCTTGCGCGGCGCCCTGCGCCAGGTGCGGGAGGGTGGGGTGGCATGCGTCGCCGACGAGAGCGGTCTGGTCGTAGACCCAAGTGGGAAGGGGTTCGTGGACGCGCAGCTTCCACTCGCAGACGTCTCCCTCGGGGACGTAATTGAGCATGCGCTGGACGAGGGGGCAGAAGTCGGCGAAGACGCGCAGCATGGCGGACTTGGAGCCCTTGGTGGTGTAGGCTGCGTTGGTGGCGGCGGCGAAGTTGGTGTCCGGCTGGGTGGTGGAGAGGTTGTAGATGGTGTTGTTAGAGACCGGGTAGGCGATGATGTGGCGGCGCTCGCCGATCCAGCGTGTTACTCGGTTGCTGTTGATGAGTGCTTGCAGCTCTGGGTCGTCTTTGCATTGGTCCTTGTGGATCATGATGCGGTATGCGGCTTGGTGTGTGTCCTTGACGGCGGCGGTGATGCCGAGCTTCTGCAGCATCGCGACGCGGGTCTTGGACTTGATGCCGTCGGCGGCGAGAAGGACGTCCGCTTCGACCTGGTAGGGGCGCTGCCGTCGCGGGGGACGGCTGTAAAGGTTGCACGCGGGCCGAACGAGGTGACGTTCTCGGCGGCTGTGGAGAAGTGGAACTTGATTTGGTCGGGGTAGCGCAGACAGCCATTGTACAGGCCGTTGGCTAGCGAGTGCCGGTGGCCGACCATGTGAGGGTATCCGTATGTTTCACGGATGTAGCCGAGTTGAACGTGCGCGAGCTCAGAATCAGTAGCGCCAACTATCCCGGGTCAGTAAGCACTAGGCAGATTATTCAGTCTTGAAACAAAAGTCATACCCCGCACACTCGTGTCCTTGATCTCTACAGCCTCGGCCTCGATGTCTTTCCACACGCCCAGGCGGTCCAGCACGCGCGCCATGTTGGGGGCCAGTTGGATGCCTGCTCCAACGAAACCCAGGTCGGCAGCGTACTCGAAGACGTCGATGTGCTTGAATCCTTCTTTGGCCAGCGCCAGCGCGCAGGTCAATCCGCCCATACCTGTCGTCGTTAGCCTTAACGTCCGAGGAATTCCTGCTCAGATGCAAGGTTAACACACCTGCGCCGATGATGGCGAGTTTGAGATCCTGAGGTGTCTGCGCCATGGTTGATGTGCAGATAAGGTGAAGAGACACTCAGATGATGATAACCGAACACTTTGCGACAATAGAGACATCTCGAGCGAGTCTGATATCTTAAATAAAGACCTTGTGTTCAGGCCCAGCCATAGCTTGAGTTTGGCGTTTGATGATGATGATGGGCCGGCTGAAGACTTTTCCGTGGGAAACTCCCACAGTCCCACGTCCCACAGGCTTGAAGTCTGGTTATTATGGACCTCCATGCCAATATGCTCAGTGGCAATTGATGATTCCCTACTAGATCCCGTTTCTGACTGACTCTTATTCGTTCTTCGATTCTGATGCAGTGGTAGTCAGTGCAGAATAAAGAACGTCTCATCCTCTTCCCCACGCCGGCAAATGTCCCCCACGGGGACATCCTTCAACGGATTGACAGCAACAGTTTTCTCGGAGATAGAGTCCTAAGTAGAAATCCAGTCCGATTCTCGGATATAATTCGATTCCTTGCTCGGGGATTCCATCAGTCTATCTTGTAGGATGTATACACCCGGCATTATTATTATATGGTAATTGTCAAAGGATGAAGTATATAACCTCAAATTTCAAGTAACCACACGAACTAAAGGGTTATATAACGTGGCCTATCTAGGCCGCATACGTCCCCAATATCTAGAGCCCTGCCCGTATGGTTGATTCGCATCGCGGCACTGCGGATGCTCGTAATCCTCCACTGTACCCATCGGCCAGATAGGCACAACACAGACCTCATGGTCGCCGCATCCACTGCATTCCTTCCAGGTCGTCCATGACAGATACTCCATCAGATCATTAATGTGCTTCACTGCTAGTCCATGGTCCGTCTGACGCCAGGCCTCCAGCAGAGTCGAGCAGATCGTCCGAGCAATGGACCGGACAGCCTGTGCAGCTACACCTTTCGCCGGACTGCGCGCAGACAGGAACTGCGCGCTACATCGATCTGCCTCGAGCGTAGTGTTCCGGTCGCTGTAATCGATAAACGGGCCAAGGGTGATTTCCAGCTCGGCATGCAGCTGCTCCGTGGTCGAGAGCTCCCGGGAAGCCAGGTACCGCAGCTCGTGTGCATACCGCTCAATCACCATATCGGTGACGGCCTGCCAGTTGAATGAAGGCTCGTTCGTATCGTGAGACATGATCAACCGGTGTAAATCCATGCGGATAGGATCCAGGTCAGCAGACGACAGGTGTTGCAGTCGTGGTAGACTGCGGCCTCCCTCCGCTGAGGCGAAAAGGTCCAAGCCATAGGTGTATGCCGTGACAAAGTGATCGTAGTTCAACGCTACCCTGCGTCCCCCGATGCCATCGTACCGGGCCGCAATGGCCTTCACCCACTGGTTTCGTCCAGGCTGTCCTCCAGGCCCCTTTCCCTTCTTTTTGCCCCGGTCAGGCTCGCGTCCAGGTCCAGCTCCCGGGCCATTACCCTCGAGTTTCACCCGCACCACATGCAGCAGGTCCAAATCACGAGCGAAATCACATAAGATAATCTCAAACCCGCCTCCATACGAATCACCCCGTCAATCCGATCCTCCCATTCCTCCCTCGCCATCCGGCAAACCGTCTCCGCGCGCCGCTTTTCGTTGCGCATCGGGTTCCCGTTTCCGTCATCCAGCGCATCCCGCAGCAGAATGCGATCCTGAGAGTCGAGCGTCCCGTTCGAGGTCTTGGCGGCTGACATGCCGTCGATATACACAAGTCGCAGATCCTTGGCAGCCGCGTACGTATGCAGCCAGCCTCCAGTATCGGGGGCATCTTCAGTCTCACCGATCAGTCCCAGGAGCTTTTGGAACGCAGAGCCGCGTGGGCCATCAGAACCAGGACCGTCAGGACCGCCAGGCGGAGGTCCACGACCTTGTCCGAACGTCGCAAAGACCATCGCATGCTCGGGTTCAAAGGCAAGCCATTCTGTCCCATTCACTCGATCGCGCTGGTGTGTGCCGTGGTACAGCTGGGTACCTGCAGGCACAGAGGCGAGGAAAAAGGACATCCCGTTGTGATGTAGAGACGAGCCCCATTGTCTCATTGAGGAATGGATTGCGTTGAATATGTGGTTGGCATTGTCAGGGAATTGGACGGTGGACGAGGCTGTTACTAGACCGGCCAGGAGCAGAACACCCGCGTAACTCATCGCGAGACATTAACCCAAAAAACACGACTGACCGAATAATCGATCTTATCAATCTAGGACTCTCCCTCCTTTTAAAGGAGAAACGAGCCAGTCGGAAGTGGAACTCTCAGATTCCGGCATCTTCCCAGCGCTACGAGCGGAAATAAGGCGACGACGCGTCAGCAGCGTGCGACGACGCCGTATTTTTCTGGCCTCCTTTCGACGCCTCTTTTGCTTCAGTCGTATGATATGAAGCGTATGGACAGCTGATACGATAGCAGCAGAAGCAGCAGCCCCTTGCTGCTGCAGTAATTGCTGCTGCTAATGCTGTTGAACTCGTTGAACTCATCTCACCTGCCTCTTGGTACTCAGAAGGCCTCATCTCATACCTACATCACACTCCGAACCATCAATTTATATCAGTAGATGATCAGGTGATCCACCACCTTAAGGACGACCTTAGTTGCTTATATGAGGGATTTCGTAGAATAAACCAGTATTATGCCAATGTGCCTGTTGCTATAACCAGGGATCCCTGATATCGGAGTTGCTATATGACTATGGAGTGTTGCCCACTATCTGCTGAGTCATCTGTACTATACCTCACCATCACCGACCCAACAACACTCTCCATAACCAGTCCCAAGACCACAATCATGAACCATCGCAAACCTCGAACTCTCCTTCTAACCCTCGACGCCTTCGGCACAATATTCCACCCCCGCCGCCCCGTCCCAGTCCAATACGCCGAGGCCGCGCACGACTTCGGCCTCCCCCGCTCAACCATCACCCCGACCGCCTCAAAACAGCCTTCAAATCAACCTTCAAGAAACAGGCGCAGACACGCCCAAATTACGGTCGGAAGGATGTCCTGCGCGGCCGGTATGGCGGGCCACGGCAGTGGTGGGAGGAGGTCATCCGGGGGAGTTTCGCGCAGGCATTGACATCAAGGGAACGGGGCGGCAGTAGCGCAGTTGACGCGGGCGTTGACGTCGCCGTGCCAGATGCGCTAGTGGCGCATCTTCTGGATCGCTTCGCGGGTAGCGAGGGGTATGCGCTTTTCGACGACGTAGCACCCTTCCTTGCGGTGGTAAGGACGGTCAAGAGCCGGCGGCGGGGGCTTGGGCCGTTTGAGCGCGTGCTTGTGGGTGTGATTTCGAATTCGGATGATCGGGTTCCGGCGGTGTTGAGGGCATTGGGGTGACGGTGGGTGATGTAAGGGCTGATCAGGGGGTTGAGAGTATGCGGTTACCTGGGTTTGAGGAGAGGGATACGGCAGTTAGGTCTGGGTGCAAGGATGCGTCTACGGCAGATCAAGTGGACGATGTCGATCTGGTGATTACCAGCTACGAGGCGGGAGAGGAGAAGCCGAGTCGGGTCATCTTCGACGTGGCGAGGAGGCAGGCTCAGCGCTTGCTTGGGGACGAGGGCGAGTCGGGTGAAAACTTTGTTTGTGTCCATGTCGGGGATGACTTTGATAAGGACTATCAGGCTGCCTTGAATGCTGGGTGGGATGGGTACTATCTTCCTCGGGGCCCCGCTCATCACCCGCGAGGTACTAAGACTATCCACTCGCTTATGGATTTGATTCCAGAGCTGGAAGCATACAGATGAACACGCTGTCTAATCGTGAGCGCAATGAGGATCTATGCTAAATGCCATTATACCAGGTAAGTGCAGAATGTCTCAACATATTCGCCTCTAACATGACAAAGCTCCTTATGCTCATGACCACATGTACCACATTAATCATACTGAAGATATGCACGCAACACCGAGAGATACCAGACGGTACACAAATGTAAGCAGACATTTTTTCTTATTCAGAAACAATGTGTTCAGGTTTTACCCTGAGTGTCCTTCAAAGTGACGATGCGATTCAAGACCACCTTGTCCGCCGTCGAATCCGTATCCACGCAGAAGTATGCGGTCCGCATACCCTGGAATCGAATGGAGTAGGGGCTCACTTCGCCTCCGGTCTCGCCACTCGTCTTGGGCCAGGGAGCCGACTTGGAGACATCGTGGAATCCAATGTCGATATAGGCGCCCTCATAGATCTCCTCGGAATCGGGGTTGATATCGGCCAGGAATCCATCAGGATGAGCGTTGGGATCGTTGGACTTGAAGAGGGAGTTGAAAGCGCGAACTTCGGCCTTGACGGGGCTCTTGTGGGCGGCCGACTCGCCAACCCAGTGGATATACGTCTTGGTCTTCTTAGCAGGGGCGTCAGAGCCTTCTTCGGGCTTTTCGTAATGTGCGTAGACGCAGGTAATCGCGCCGGTCTGAGGGTCCTTGTCAAAGGTGGTGGCGGTGATTGGGAAAGGCACCTTCAAAAGACCAACGGTCTTTCCGGGGGCAAGGCGAAAGTAGTCAGGCGAGTCCTCCTCGCGGAAGTCACTGCGCTCAATGTAGACGGTCTTGGTGAAAGGCACAAGATGGGAGCCAAACGCCGGGTCCTTGGAAAATGGAACCTCCACCATTTCCTCATAGCCGTCGGGCAGGTTCGAGATGACCACCTTGAGGGGCTCCAGAACAACCATCAGACGTGGCACGGTAGTCTCTAGGTACTGACGGACAACCTGGTCAAGCTTGGCCGTCTGGACAATGGCAGTAGCCTTGGTGACACCGAGGTTGTTGACGAAGGAGAGGATGGCGCCAGGAGGAATACCGCGTCTGCGGATGGCGATCAGCGTGTAGAGGCGAGGATCGTCCCATCCCCGCACATAACCCTTCTTGACTAGCTCAATGATCTTACGCTTCGATAGCACAGTCCCTGTAAGATTCAGGCGACCGTACTCACGCTGCATCGGCCGGTAAACATCCAGCTTGTCGTTGAGCCACTCGTAAGACTGCCGCGACATCTCGAACTCAACCGTGCAAAGGGAGTGTGTAATCTCCTCGATGCTGTCACAGAGAGGGTGCGCAAAGTCGTACGTAGGATACATCTTCCACTGGCCACCAGTGCGGAAGTGGCCCTTCTGATCGACATCCAGAATACGCCACGCGAAGATATCCCACATCTGGGGGTTAGGGTCCTCCAAATCCATCTTCATACGCAGCGCAGCCTCTCCCGCCTTGTACTTGCCCTCCTTCATAGCCTCAAACTCCCGCAGCGACTCCTCAATAGGACGCGACCGGTGAGGGCACGCGTATCTCGCCTTGCCGCGCTCACCGTCCGCCTCGCCACGCTGGGCCTTGATCTCAGCCTTGGTGCAGTGGCACACATAAGCTCCATCTCGTCGGATAAGCTCCTTCGCGAGCTCATACAGACGGTCGAAGTTGTCACTAGCATTAGTAACCCGGACAGGCTTGTATCCCAACCAGCTCACAATATCCTCAATACCCCGATAGTACATCTCCTCCTCACCCTCGGGGTTCGTGTCATCGAAGCGCAGGATGCACTCGCCGCCATGGTACTTCGCGAACCCGAAATTGACCGCGATCGCCTTGCTGTGACCGATGTGCAGGAAGCCGTTGGGCTCGGGAGGGAACCGGGTCCGGATCTTGGGGTGTTTCTCGGAGATGGGCCGTTCCTGGTATACATCGGCGAGGAAACCGACCTTGAACATGGCCTCGGGGTCGACAGAGCGCAGATCAATCGCGGCCTCTTTGGCGTTGGTGGCCTTGGGCTTGCCGCCTCCCTTCTTGCCATTGTTGTTGCTGTTCTTGCCGTCGGGGTTCTTGGGTGCCTTCTGCTTGGGAGCTTTCTGCTTGGGTGCTTTGGCGGACTTCTCTTCAGCGGGCTTTTCGCCTGCAGGGGCGGGGCTCTGCTCTGCAGGAGGAGCTGCCTCCTTTGGCCGCTCGGGAAGGGTAGTCTCTCCTGTTGACGCCATGTTTGGCAAAATCTGATTTTCCAATGCGTGAAGATCAGACAGACTGAGATAAGGAACGCCGCTGCTGAGGGGCAAAGCGTGCCTTTTTTTGTTCCCGACGCCGATCATAAGTGGGTGGTCCGGACCGAGAGATTATCCGGTGAGGGTGAGTCAAACCATGGTTCTGCCTGAGTCATCAGGCACCGCACGAAGCATGCCCGGTTGGAGATAACGGGAAGCGATGTCATTCGATCAATAACCAACGAAACATGAACTCAATTGCTGGGAATACTAGATTATCGCTAAACTCTTATCGAAGGCTATGATATGCTCGCCCAATACTCCAGCCCATGATTTCGACCCATGAAACGCCAGGACAGACTCAAGCCAATACGCAGTAGTCATGATACAATCTATCATCATTCCCATTGACCCGTTCCTCCCAGAGAACCCAGCCGGTTGCTGGCATGCTTGTTCAACAGAGCTGTAATGTTGGAGCCGCCAGAGCGGTTCTTGGCCCGAATCTCACGCTCGCGCTCCCTCTCTCTTGCCGCAGTGTAGTAATTGACCGCGCCTTTCTTGGCGACAGACGCTCCAATTGCGGGTTTGGTGACTCGCTTTGATGAGTCAGACCTGGATGACGTAGAACTAGAAGACGAACTGGTTGTAGTCTTGCGGAGCATGGGAGGAGGGCGGAAGGACAAGTCGTTGCCTCCACCAGCGAAGAATGCTAGACGGTTGCTGGAAGAAGCGGACGTGGCAGAGTTGGATGATGCCTGCCGGAGCAGTGCAAGACGGTCAACAACTGGACCTCTTGTGCGGCGTGGATGGCTGGGGACAGCGAAGGTTTCCTTTGGCTGCTCCTGTGCTGAGCTGCTGTCATCAACATCGTCGTGCTGTGCCTCATCCACATCGTCTATTGACGCATCTTCGTGGAAGGAGTCATACTCGGGCGTCTCGGTCAAGAAAGAGACGGTTTCCCGGATCTCGGCGAGAGTGGCGGGCTTCTTGGATATAGCGCTCGCCGGCTTGCGACGTAGGTGAGGCGGAGGACGGTTGTTGATGTCTTCTGCAGAGGGTTCGAGAGGCCTTTTCCTCTTGTTGCTCTCTTCGGCAGTCGACTGTTGCTGGGGTGCGTCTGATGCGACACCTTGAGACGAGTCCTCCTGGGACCCGGGACCTTGCTCTTCGTCCAAGAAATCGAGGCCGATATCGTCATCTGAATCGCGATCTTCAATGGCCTTGAAGAACGCCGCTTTCTTGGGGTTCTCGGCGATCTCGCCGATCTTTTCATCGGCAAGGAGAGCTTTTCGCATCCGCGCAAACTCCCTTTGCTTTTGCCGCCGACGTGCAAGCAGCTCATCGTCCGAATCATCAAGATCGAACTCATCGTCTGCGTGTCTCCGCCGTCGGAGCGCACCAGTTGTGATATCTTTTAGCAGTTTGGCAACCTGCTTTTCGTCTGCATTTCTCTGGTGGAGCCTATAACTAGGTCAGTTGCCAACATCTTCAACCAAGTCAATGAGGTAACGCACGCATTCAGAGCAGCCAGCTGCTTCTCGTCCACTGTCTCTCCACTATTGTCATTGATCATCTGTCGATCATAGGCATCTTCCTCGTCGTCACTGTCGTCACTGGCGCCTCCAAGACCGGCATATTCGTCATCAGATTCTTCGGCCGCATCTTCCACAATCTCCTTGGCCTTGCTGGTCTTCGGATCAAATGGAACATGGGTCTTCTTCTTCGCTGCCTTTTTCATGACATCAAAAGCACTGGCATCTATCTCGAATCCTCCCTCTTCTTGCTCTTCAATCATGGACAGGTTTGCTGCTCGTCCACGCCGAAGATGCTTCGCTCTCCTGTCAGGAACTGGCGTGGTGTTCCGGGATTCATTTTGTCCCACAAGCACGGTTTCGATCGTCGAATGGGGGGCTTCTAGGAATCTCTTTGATGGATCAAAGGGCGAGAGAACAAAGCCGGCATCCTGCGTAGGGTCAGGGATTTGGGAGAATTGTGACATGGCTCTTGACGCTGGCGATTCAGAGACTCGGCTCTCGGGGTGTGTGTAACCTGCCAGTATGTCTGTGGATTCGGCGCGCTGCTCCTGGCTATCCTTGATGATGATTTGAGACTCCGAATCTCGGCGGTTTGGTGCAGGGTCAGGCAACGAGTTCGGAATAGCCGGCGAGCCTGCCTGGGTAACCGGTTGACTGGCCCCAAGTGTACCAGCAAAGGCTTGTGTGAGGCTCATTGTCAGTCCGTCAGAGGTCATACCAGGGAACTGAGGCCGTTCAACAGAGTTTACTGTTAAATGAGTCGGCTTGGCCGGTGTTTTGGGTGCCGGTTCTTCATCTTCATCCTCGTCGTCGCTGATTACTCGAGTTGGTCGCTTGCGTCGCGCAGTCGGCACTTCCGATTCATCTGCTGACATGACTTCGGTCTGCTCGTCCTCGGACTCCTCATCCTCGCCAGCCTCCGAGTCAACTAATCCTTGCTCTTCATCGTCTTCGTCATCTTCCTCATCTCCCTCGCCATCGCCGTAGCCTTCTTGATCAGAGCCGGAGAGCTCAAATTCTTCGTCGTCCTCGTCATCTCCGAGCTCCGTTTTCTTGTTTTTAGACCCTCTCTCCTTCTTGGCAATCTCTTCGGCTTCTTGACGTGCCTTCTCGACAAGATTTTCAAGCTCATCTTCCATAGCAGCACGCTCTTCGGCGGTCTCAATGACTACACCCTTAGCCCGTAGCTCTTGTATCCTCTCCTGTCTTTCTTTGGCGGCTTGCTGCCTCGCCTGGAGCAAAAGCATGGCCGAGAGTTCCGCCGTATTCATAGTCTTACTCCGTCGAGTAGGTGAAGTAAGCTGGGCTAATGCTTTCAGCTTGAGCATAGACGCTGATTCCTGCATTTTCTTTGCCGGGAGATTTTCGAACGCCGCGATACTCCTGCATTTGGCCGGGTCAGTAACAACCTCCAGGTCGTCGTCAGAATCCTCCTGTTGTTTTTGAGCGATGGACTGTCGGGACACTCGCACGCGGATGGGAGGCTGCGTCAGAGCTCTTCGTTCGGGCTTTGTTGGCTCGAGCGGTTTCTTGCCTTCGTTCTCCTTCACCTCTACACGTCCAACAGTAACTTGTTGAGGTTGGTCTTGCGATCTAGTCAACATCTCATCGACCGTTGGGAAGTGTTCCACGTCGAGCTCAGCACCACCTTCCTTGTTACTTTCATCCACAGCCTCACCGGACTTGTGCTTGTTTGATGGGCCGAGAACAGGTGAAGTCTGCGGCGTCTCTATAGCTTTCTGGGCCTCATTATCCGACGATTGCTGAGACCCAGCCGTCGTGGACGAATTCTCCCCAGTCTGACCTGCGACATTCGTCTCCTCCTGTTGCATAAAGTTGAATCGCGCAAAGAAGCTCTCCTTGGTGATCTTCTTCTTTGTTTGCGCCTGATGAGCCAGCTGCATATTCCTGCTGATCCTCTGTGTTTCTCGATTCATCTCTTCCAAAGCTTTTTTGCTAGCCTTACGCGCAGCCGGCCGCGTCTGCGTGAGCTTCCGTCCAGCTTCTTCCTCATCACTATCCTCCACTGAAGCGATTTCCGAGCTGAACTGATTCCTCTGCGCCAGCAAGGCGGCCTTCTTCTCCGCTTCGACTCGTTCGGTCTCTTCGCGCTCCTTCCGCTTCTGCATGATGAGCGCGCGAACGCGAGGGTCGGCCTTCAAATCCTCTCCGTCGTCATCGTCCTCCTCGTCGTCTGAAAGTGCGTCATTACGTTGCGGCGCGGGGGAAGACATGAACAAAGGAGAGAAGGACCGAGCGCGAGACGGCGAGCGAGGCGTGCTATCCTCGCCAGGCTCCGGTGTCTTTCTTGCATTACGCCTCTTCCTAGGACCAGCCTTAGGAAGGTCATCCTCGTCCTCCGAAGCAGAAGCAGATTCATGACGCGCTTCCTCGCCTTCCTTAGACTGCTCTCTTTCGGCACGTAAGAACTTCGAAACACGGTCGAATGCCGTTTGTCCCGTCACTGGTGGATTGGTGCTTGTCTGATTCTGAGCTTGCATGCGAGCTGCTAGCCGGCCCTTGGGCATCACAATATCGTCGTCATCGTCTTCTTCGCTTTCCGCATCATTCATGGTTTCTTCTGGCTTCCGTATCGGTCGCTGATTGGTGCCACCGTTGTCTGACTCTGAATCGCTATCGAATGCGGCCAGGATGGCTTTGATCTTTCGTCCTGGTGTGAGGACCGGTGTGCCACTCTCAGACGCGGAGCGCGCCGTCCGCGGCGTGGAGGGTGTTGACATGGTGTGTTTGGTGTAATTAGATTATAATGCACATAGCAGAGAGGTCAATTGGTCATTGGTGATTTCAGCGAAGCCCGTAATAGTCCCTCCGCATTGAAGTAGGAGGGTGTATGGTGTCAAGCGATAATGCGAACCCAGGGCGGAGAAAGTCCCATTCTGCTTGTATCAACGACGCGCATCGCGTCCAAGCGCGTGGAGCACGGTTGTTATCAACACGTGACATTAGATAAGGCAATCTTGTTGCCCTGACTGGAAGTACATTGAAGTCGGCACTGCCAGAGGTAGCCAATGGAAAACTTTCAGTAATGTTCAATGGTTCATTGGCGATAAATACAAATTCCCATGCTAGGTGTGGTATGACGCCGATGTTTAAAGCCCGCCCGTAGTGACAGAAATACAGAAACCGACGCTGATCTGGTGTAACGTAACACCTGCCTATGTTCTATCAAAAAGTCATGTCCGGTTCAAAGTCCTTTTCATGAGCCATCCTAAGAGACATCGCCAAGCCTTAACTTGTTTGCTCATCATGCTCTTCCGGCAATGAAAATTATTGCAACGATGATTGATGTGGTCCCAATCAGATTTCAATATCCAACTCCAGATCCAGGGCTGCAATATTCTCGTCGTCCATATTGCGATGGCGGATCGAGGCAATGCCACCCTTCGACTGCTTCTTCTGTGTAGTGACGGCAGGTTTAGGCGTACTGGCCTTGGATGGCGTGTCAGATCCTGTACCAGGAGTCCCGCCGCGGCTGGAGATTGAGTCCGGTATCAGGCTATTTCCGTTGGCATCGTAATGGGTCTTGGCAAGGGTTCGAACACGCATGAATGGATTGGCTTGAGCTTCACCACGAGCGACTGCTGCAGCGGCTTTCCGACTTGCCTTTCTCTCCTCGAGCTGGGCACGACGCACACTTTCGGTGTTCAGTTTCTGATTGCGCAGGTTCAACTCGGCGAGGCGCTCATAATCCGACTTCTCCGTGCGAGGTTTCGATGGTTGGGTACTGAAAGCGAGCTTTGGCCCAGTAAGCTCCGCCAGCTCCTTCTCCAAGCGCGACACCTCCTCATCGTCACCAGCAGCTCTAGCCAACTTCAACTGCTTCTCGGCTTCAAGGCGCTTAAAGGTGCGCATCTTGTTATCCAGAGAGCCTTGTTTGCGCAACTTCTCATTCAGCTCTTCCTTGGTAAACTGGTGGTTGATTAAACGGTTGATGTCTGCTACTTTTTTGGCAAGCACTGATTTGGTGGCTATCTTGCAATCTTCAACTGCCATGGTCTGGCGGTAGCGATTGAATTCGGCCTGAAAGGCGTTAGTATAATAACGAGGGCTTCAGGATCGAGGAAAAGAAAGTTACCTCGGTAAAGGGTGAATCAGAGCAAGCTATGAAAGGGAATTCGCGCTCTGCTTTCCCATGCGCCAAAACAGCGTACTGGTTTGTCACAAACGACCGGCCGTTTGGGCTTTCCATGGCGTAAGGTCGTCCCTCTGTAAATCCTGTAATAGGTCAGCTCGGCAAGTCTATAGGTGAAGTTAGAGAGGCAAATTGGTCACATACTCTTGATCAAACATAGACGATATTCGTTGATACCAGTATCTCTGTTTGGTCCGATATTCACTCGAGCATAGCATCCAGAAATCGCTTCGTCGAATCCAGGATAGAAGCAAACTTGTGCGAAATTTGTACGTCCCACGCGAGCACGTTGAATGTCACGAAGATCCGCAGGTGGGTCATCCTTGGGAGGAGATGGGGAGCGCTCGCGATTATCCCACTCGACCTCGCTTTCGCCTTCAGCATCCTTGTCCGAGGGTGCTTCGTCCTTTGCTGGAGCTGCTTCGCCAGCAGCCATATCACGACGACGGAGCTCATCGCGCTTGCCCTTCTTCTCACGCTGACGCTTGTATGCCTCAATGGCCTCAGAAGCCTCGCCAACTTTGCGCCCGCCAAGTGTGGTCTTCTGCCGGGAGCTCTTGCGCTGGCCTTCTTCCAGATCCGCCACGCTCGCCTTTCGCTTGGACTTTTTCACCCGCCGAGCCTCATCGCGTTCGCGAGATGCTAAGAGACGACGAAGAGCCAGGTCCTGGTTGCGTCGGTCGACCTCTTGCGCTCGTTCAGAGAGAATCTGTTCACGCTGGATTTCTGGCAACGCCATGATTTCCTCTTTGTCTTTGGCAGAGTAGTAGAGTTTTTCGTAAGGGAAGATAGGGCGATCCTCTTCAGCGTCCTCGCTTGCTCCTTCGGAATCGGAGGCGGCGTCAGACTCGGACATGCTGGCGGACTCGAGTGAATGGTGAGATCCAGCATCAGACCTGGCGGGGCCAGTGTTGTCAGTTCCCAGCCACCGAACACAAGAACACACTTGAGGTCAAAATGAGCACGAAGAAAACCGCAACCTACACTTCGCCATCCTCCTCATCACCCTCATCATCATTGCGCGACTTCTTGCTCCTTTTAATCGGTTTTGCCGTTCCTTTTCGCGCCATGGCCGATGATGGAGAAGCCGAAGGAGCAGGAGATTCAGAATTCTGCTTGGGAGGAGGTGATGACTCCTCGTCAGAGGAGTCGCCCGCTAGAGCGAGCAGCTCGGCATCCAGATCATCCGCCATAGTGAATATCGTGCAAAAATTTCACTGAAAACCAGGTGGCGTTTGACTCGAAATAGAATGGCTGGCGAGCGCAAGCAGGGAAGAGCCGATTTGAGTGCGCGACAGCCCCCTAATTCACCGTCGCAATGCACAGCTAAGATCTCAGCGACTCGAACCTATGGAACCGAACGTGGGTACCGATATATAAATTAATCGAGTACTTGGCTAGGGCGGAGCCAGCTGTATATAACAATCTCGCGACAGAAAAGAAAGCCCAAGCAGGTCGCGAGGATGGAGTTGGGTGGCGGATTATTAGTGAATAATCAAGAGGACGGATGGTCTTGAGGTGAAGAGAAGCGATCGGATGGAGTGCACGGCGGCACCCGCACGATTTGGTTCGCCCATGACGTTCCGGCCGCAGGACCCCCGAGATTGATGCCTTGCCAAGAAGGCCGCAAGCGCGCGTCTGCGGCCATGCGATTGGGTTGGACCACCTCGGAATATCCGGTGTATAAGCATCTCATGCTTACAATTGTTGATAAATTGCCCATTCGATTAACTCTTCATTCATGATATTATCCAAGTATTTCTGATTGTATCAAAAACACACCCAGAATGAATTCATTATCTTCCTTTCGAAGATGCGTTCTCAGCCGATCCGCTCGGTCAACATCACCATTGATGCTCGACTTTCTCGCTCCATCAATTTTGCGCCAAAGTCGACGCCGGCACAGCTCTACAGCAGCATCTAGTCCTTCGGATGGTGCGCCAGAGTCCTCCCAGGATTCCGGCGCTGGATCCTCGAAACCCACGTACATTTTGAGCAAGAAACAACGAGAGTACCTGGACAGCGCACTCCGAGTCAACCAAGCCGGCGAACTTGCCGCAACGCTCATCTATACTGCGCAAACACCCCAGGTCGTGCGCTCGCATCCCCACCTCCGACCGCTCATGAAGCACATGTATGACCAAGAAGCCGGACACTTCTCGACATTCAACAAACTTATTGCAAAGCACCGGATTCGCCCGACGGCCATGTATCCGATTTGGGAAGTAGCAGCGACTTTCTTGGGATGGTCGACGGGAGTCATGGGCCGGGAGGCAGCCATGGCTTGTACTGAGGCAGTGGAGACGGAGATTGGGTCTCATTATAACGACCAAGTGCGGGAGATTCTGTCATGGGAGGCAGACGCGAGGAGCCGGGGAGAGGAGCTCGATGATGAACTAAAGGAGATGCTGGCGACGTTCCGCCGGATTCGTGATGAGGAGCTAGAGCATTTGGACCATGCCGTTGAGAACGATGCCAAGGAGGCGCAGCCTTATGATCCGTTGGTCAATGTGATCCGCTTCGGGTGTAGAGCCGCCATCAAGATCAGTGAACGGGTATGAAGAGATGGCTAGCCACTTGTATGGCCATTGTTGCTTGAGACCGTCTCCTTCGGCCAATTGTGCAATATTACTGTGAAGTGTACTATACTATCTGAGAAAACGGAACCATTGATGAAGCCTCGGTGCAGCCAGTACGGCTTTGAACTCCTTCAAGTCGTATATTGATCGATCATATCTATAAGTTATCGGGTATCACTCAACATGCAAGAACGCAGTATGCCATTCTCAAAAGATCAGGAATCACTCCTCAGCCTCAGAGCCCTGCTTCTTCTCCAAATACTCTAGAAAGGACTTGGAAAACCGCACAACCTGCTGATAAACCTCCTCGAACCCATTAACACCGCCGTAGTAAGGATCCTGCACGACCTCTCCCCCACCAACTCGGTCATGGAGAACACCACCCGGCCCAAAATCACCAAACAACCTCACCTCCGCAACCTTCGCGCCGGCTTCTCCGCTCGACGCCCGGGTACCCTTGGCACCTCCAGACTTCCGCAACGAAGCAACAACCGATTCGCGCACATCCAGCAAATCCCGCAGATTGTATTTATCCATCGCGAGGAGATAGTCAAACCGCAAAAAGTCATCCTTTGTGATCTTCCGCGCCGCGTGGTCGTAGTTTGTGATGCCGTGGCGGCGGAGGGTGGACATGGTACGCGAATCGGGGGCTCGAGGGTGTGGTAGGCTCCTGTGCCTGCAGAATCGATCTCATTGATCAATGGATGGGTGCTTGCCATGTTGCGGAAGACTCCTTCTGCCATGGTGGAGCGGCCTGGTGTGGGGGTATTAGATTGGAGTTCGGAGGTGAGGGTTGGAGGGTTCGCGCTTACAGATATTGCCCAGGCAGACGAAGAGGACATTGAAATTGTGTCCGGGTGAAGTAGGCTTGGAGGCGGTCATTTTTACCGTTACCTGATGAGAAGCTGCCTGGTGATTGAGCAAGGACTGTGACAGGTGCATGTATGCATCTCTGATTAAAATGTTGCACACCCCACCACAGCGATAAGAATTCTGCCGCTTTGCACCGCCTTCAGCCACGAGGCATTCTTATCGAACATCCACCGGTTTATCGAATAGGAGTATTGCATAGTATGACGAAGTTTTTAGTTGATATGGAGCTCCAAGATTGTCCTGATCTATGGAAAATAATGATGCCTAAACCACTGGATCAGGTAAAATTCTGCAATTGTCGTTCAAGAAAACTCGCGCTAGGGCTGTATGATACACAGCGGGATATATATTCCTGCTAATTCATGATCATGTTAAAGCAAATAGGTAGTCTGCTAGAAATCCAAGTGTCTGGTGACGTCTATTCAAACAATCATACCGTCACCAAGTTTATGACCATGAATAAGATCAATTTCTTCGATTGCAACTAGTGAATCAGTTCCAGTGTGGCACACGGTTATTTTTAGAGTGCTGAGCCATAGGTGGGCACATTGGGGGTGTGGCACTGTGGCAGTGACAGGCACACCGGTTTCCCGTTGGCCCAGTGACCAAGGATTACACCCAGTCTCTCCACTGTAGCCCATGGACCAAGGCAACGATATCCGTGGCTTGATTGATGAATCGAAGTCGATTTTGATGGTTGGATCAAGGTGAGGAAGATACATGCAAATCAATGTTCCGAAGCTGCATAATACGTCGTGCAGATGTGCAGATTTTTCGTTAAGCAGGGACTTATAGAAGCCTTCTGCTGGATAAGCATATCAGATAGCTGCATCGCTTTGCGGGGCGTCCTCCGTAGTCTAGTCTGAAGTAGTAAACAGTGCATCTTTTCTACTCGTCGTCATCAGGGTATTATTCTCCCGAATTTTAACATCCAAGAAGTGATCATCCATCTCTTCTGGTTCCTTGGCCAACGCAAAGCCTGCCAAGCAAAGCCTCTTTTCCTTCATTCTCAGCTTACAACTTTTGCTTCTCCTTCTTGTCCTCCCCAGTTCCCCGTCCTTTACAGCCACCACTAGTGGCGTCGCACGTTTTGCGCTCAACAGGCAGCAGTTGACAGATGAAAAAGCACCTTTATTCGCTCAGCATCCTCGATCTCTTCATTCCTTTCCCTGCCGTTTGTCTTGGAAGTCGTCAAATTCTCCGCAAGCCCCGATAAATTATCGAGTGACTGGGCGCTTGACCTCATTCCAGCGACGCTCTTGGCGCATTCCCAATCACTCCCCCTCGCCAGAAATACAAAGGGGTAGCTCATTCAAACGATCAATATACGAAGACCCTACTCTCACAATGTCCTATAATCGCTTAGGTTAGTCCGTAATTTGTTTTGGTCCGAGTTACGCTGTTGTTATTGCAGGGCTGCGGGATCCGTCGCATCTCCGCATCCACTGTCTTTCTGAAACATAGCCCCCCATAAAGCGACTTGACGAGACTAGCTCCCATTGGCACTTGCGCAAGCTGTTTGGCGATCATTCTGCAATTGTTTCTGCCTGCCATTTCACATTCTTTTTTAACACTGGTTACCACACGCTCAATCCGGTAGCCATTCCAACTGACATTCGAGCTCTGTAGACCACTACGGAGAGGATGGCAATCGCTCTCCCACCATGAACCCTCATCATTTGGACGATCGAACGCCGTCGCCAGGCCGGCCTTTGAACGCTTACCAGCTGTCGGATAATCCATACGTGCATGACCATTTGCAGATGCCTTCCAGCGACCGTCTAGCAGAGCAGCCAACTGTGAGAACACCATTGCAACCAAAGCGCCGGTGACTTCTGAGATTGACTCGAGATACTAGTACTCGGTAGAACGAATTCCCAACTCCTACGGTCATAATGAAGCATACGAGCAACGTCATCCTGAGCAATATCCCGGCTACGATTATGCTGTGAACCCGGAAGCTCATCACGACGCATACTATACCCAGCCGTACGAGCCAACAGTCACGCCGCAAGATGATTATGATCTAGGGCAGTACCACGAGCAACAACAGCCTTACCAAGATGACCAAGTGCCCATTTTACAACCTGAGAACCCGTTCGGTCCAGACCCGTACAGTGATGAGTACCAAGACGACGCTGCGGCTGCGCCCACTCCGAGTCCGGCGCCAATACGACGCTGGAAGACGGTCAAGGAAGTACAACTCTTCCACGGTAACCTGGTCCTGGACTGTCCCATTGCGCCGAAGCTGCTCAGTCAAGTTCCTCATGCGGAACCCCCGGTCGTGACGAGTTCACTCATATGCGCTACTCGGCGGCAACCTGTGATCCCGCTGATTTTTACGAGGAGCGGTTTACACTGCGCCAGAAACTGTTCGCGAAGCCTCGACACACCGAGCTTTTCATTGTGATTACCATGTACAACGAGGACGACTTCCTTTTCGCTCGAACATTGATCGGCGTGTTCAAGAACATCGAGTACATGTGCAATCGGACGCAGAGTAAAACCTGGGGCAAGGACGCATGGAAAAAGATTGTCGTTTGCGTCATCAGCGATGGTCGTGCCAAGATCAACCCCCGGACACGGGCTGTGCTAGCTGCTCTCGGAGTGTACCAGGATGGTATCGCGAAGCAGCAGGTGAACGGCAAGGATGTGACGGCACATATCTACGAGTATACTACGCAGGTCGGCCTCGAGCTCAAAGGAACTCAGGTACACATAAAAGGGCGCTCGGCCTGCCCAGTCCAGATGATTTTCTGCCTGAAGGAAAAGAACCAGAAGAAGATCAACTCACATCGTTGGTTCTTCCAGGCCTTTGGCCGTGTATTGGACCCCAATATCTGCGTGCTTCTGGACGCAGGAACGAAGCCCGGACGGGACTCTATCTATCAGCTATGGAAGGCTTTTGACATTGAGCCCATGTGTGGAGGAGCTTGTGGCGAGATCAAAGTCATGCTGTCGCATGGCAAGAAATTGCTCAATCCGTTGGTGGCTGGGCAAAACTTCGAATATAAGCTCAGCAACATCCTGGATAAGCCTCTGGAATCAGCTTTTGGTTTCATTTCTGTCTTGCCTGGTGCTTTTTCTGCGTACAGATACGTCGCGTTACAGAACGACAAGAACGGCCAAGGTCCTCTGGAGCGCTACTTCATGGGTGAAAAGATGCATGGCGCCAATGCCGGTATCTTCACAGCCAACATGTACCTGGCCGAGGATCGAATTCTGTGTTTCGAGATTGTGACAAAACGCAATTGCCGTTGGCTCCTGCAATATGTCAAGTCATCAACTGGAGAGACCGATGTGCCTGACCGAATGGCGGAATTCATTCTACAGCGGCGCCGATGGCTGAACGGAAGTTTCTTTGCTGCTGTTTATGCGATCGCCCATTTCTACCAGATCTGGCGAAGCGACCACAGCTTCATGCGCAAGTTCATGTTGTTGATTGAGTTCATCTACCAGACTATCAACATGATCTTTGCGTGGTTCAATATTGTATGTGCACTCTTCTTCTTGACGGAATGAGCCAATGCTAACGTGAATCGCAGGGCAACTTCTTCTTGGTCTTCCATATTCTCACTACCTACCTTGGTGACGCTGATCTTCTCGGGACAACGGGTAAAGTTCTGGGTGTTGTCTTCGAGTGGCTCTATCTTGCGACCCTGGTGACCTGCTTCGTTCTCTCCCTCGGCAACCGTCCCGGCGGCTCAAACAAGTTCTACATGACCATGGTCTACTTCTGGATTGGCATCATGATCTACCTGACCTTTGCAGCAATCTTTGTGACCGTCAAATCCATTCAGAAGGAAGTCGCCGATAATTCATTTAGCGTTGGGCAGTTGTTCAGCAACAGTCAATTTTTCTCGATCTTTGTCTCCTTGGGGTCGACTTATGTCATGTGGCTCCTGGCTTCACTTATCTTCTTCGACCCCTGGCACATGTTCACCTCCGTAAGTCTCCTCCGAATTTTGGCTATATGTGAAGCTAACCTGTACCAGTTTGTTCAATACATGCTGCTTACGCCAACGTACATCAACGTACTCAATATCTATGCCTTCTGCAATACCCACGACATCACGTGGGGTACCAAGGGAGACGACAAGGCCGAAAAACTGCCTTCAGCCAACACGAAACCCGGCGGAAAAGTCGATGTTGATATTCCCCAGGACGATGGAGATCTTAACGCGCAGTATGAGGCAGAACTGGCCAAATTTGCACAGAAACCGCCCAAGGAGACCAAGATCATTTCGGAAGAGGAACGTCAAGCCGACTATTACAAAGGGTTCCGAAGCGCGGTCGTGCTCGCTTGGGTGTTTTGCAACTTTGCGCTGGGCGCTGTTGTGCTGAGCGCAGCTGGTCTGGACCGATTCAACAGCGACAAAAATGCGACGGATGATAACAGGGCCACGATTTACATGGCTGTCGTGCTTTGGAGTGTGGCTGGTCTCTCGATATTCAAATTCATGGGGGCAATGTGGTTCCTGGTCGTTCGTATGGTATGTTCAAGAATATTCGACTTTTCCATGCTGCTTTCAAGCTCTAACCATTCGTACAGTTCCGAGGGGTTTGATGTTATTTCTCTAGCCTTTCCTTCCCATGTGATGTATGCACCCGGCTCTATACCGGGTTGGGCCACGATACCGCTGCGGGCTCAGTATGGTACCCTGGACGACGAGGACATGTTTTATGATATGGAGTGTCAATGCTTTTGCTTGGTTCTGCTTCGTTGAAAGATGATTGCGATGTATTATGTAGATACCATTTGTTTGGGGAGGGGGGGGCGCATATACAGGGCGTCCCACAATGTGTGGTGTTCCGTTAAGTATGGGATGTGACACCATTATGCCTATATTATACTTGAGATGTAACGTCTAGACAATGGCTCATGCTGTCCCTTTTCCACTCACTAACTTCGGCTCTCTTTGAACCATCCTTAAGGCTGAGATGCCCATGGAATTGAGCTGAAGTCGGTCTCGATTTCCTTCGCAGACTTCATCCTCGCCGTATTACTCGAGCATGTCCTTGCTGGACCTGTCTTTGCTGGACCTATCATTTTATGCTGTTCCTCCATCCTATTGCTGATTGATTCAACTCTGTCCTTGCCCTGGTTTATGATATTGTCCTCCGTGCTTTTGACGATAGGGATTCGTCGCTTCAATTCTATCCTCATTCTAGCCTCGCTTCACACTCGAATGCGGTTCACATTTATTCCATCAGGAGCATACGACTTCTGCGGTGGTCATTGGTGGCTTTTTTCTGCATTGTCTTCATGAGACAAAATAACAAAGTTCTTATAATAAGAAGCATCATTGGTCTAGTGGTAGAATTCGTCGTTGCCATCGACGAGGCCCGTGTTCGATTCACGGATGATGCAATTACTTTCCTTTTTCTTTTTCGCCCACCATTCTTGCTTCCGCGATTATATTTGAACCGGTTTATTTTTACTGCATTTCATTTTATTCATATTGGATTATAGCTAATTAATTCTGGTTCTTCGAATGCACACAGATCCCAATACCGCCCAAGACAAGCGCCATTCCCAACCATGTCTCTTTCTCAATGACCTTGCGCTCGACATACCACTCCCCGAGGACGGTAAAGAGGAATGCACTCGAATTCGCCAGTGGGACAGTCAAGGACAATTCTATGAAATATCAGCATGGAGACAGTCATAGACAACAGTGAGAAAGGAGAGGAAGACAAACCATGCTTCCCAACCAACAAAAAGAACCAAATACTTCCAGTCAAGTTGATAACAAGCGGAATGGAATACGCTGGCGTGCGGAGGAGATTAACAACCGTCCAGAAGACGGTCACGATCTTGGTCGTGAGCCATGAAGATGTAGGCTTCGGTTTCATCCACGCGGGGACGCGAGTGCTACTTCCTCCTGCAGCAGCCGCAGCAGTAGTTCTTGTTCTTGATCGCGCATTCGAAGTAAGAGGCTGGTCTTCCTCTCCCGATTCCGAGTCCTCATCCTCTTCACTTTCGTGTCCATCTCCATTCTTCGTGGTGCTAGTTGCGCCCTGGCTTTGATCCTGTAGCTCCTGTTCTTCGGTGGTAGACTGTGCTGGTTGCGTCTGCGGCGACGTCTGGGACGGCGGATTCTGGAGTGCTTCCTGCCGAGCGTTAAAGTCCGCTGCGGCGCGTCGGATGAATGGCGTCGTGAAGCCCCATGCTACGCCGACGAGGAGGAAGGAGAGCACGTAGTTGAAGGCGGATGGCTCGTCAATTGGTACGCTTGCGTCGGGGTCCATTTTCCACCTAGGCTGTTCTGTTGGAATTAAGCTGATGATGGGTAGATAAGAGATGGGTGACAGCTGTCAGGGGCGTTGCAGATCGGGGATAAGATGACGAACGGCCGAGATGCGCCGCTTTGGGATGAATCTGATAAGATAAGGATGGCATACATATCCCCTGGCCACGTTGCATCCATTTACAGAGTAGGAAGCCCCATGTCAAAGACGCGAGTCCTCTCATCTGAGTCTTCTTAATTAAGTAGAAACAGAAAGAAGTTCCATTTAACGATAGTATTGGTCATGATGGAACGAAGGTCCGTCTTCCACATGGAATAGTCACACTACCTACTATTGGCCTAGAATCGCCTTATGCGAGCGAATTGTACTCTTCCTCTGCTCTCCGTATACCCAGCAAATCTGGCAATGCGCTTTAGTACTCTGTATTGTAGCATGATAGGCGGGGATCCGCCGTAGAGTACAAAAGTAAAAAAGAAACGTCAGCGATAGGACTCGAACCTATGCGGCCGAAGCCAAGTGATTTCTAATCACTCCCCTTAACCACTCGGGCACACTGACTGAGATTATAGTATAGGCTTTCTATTTTGGATCTATCAGCCAGATGCGTAGACAAGGTTTTGATATAATGCCTCCATTGGCATATTCCTCCTAGTCCCACGGGGTATGGGCAGTGAATATCGAGCCTGCTGCCGTACCTGCAGGAAACATTGCAGGAGGATCAGCAGCTAGACGATGATTGTGGCGCAAAGAACGCCCAGAATGACTGGCATGTATTGCTCGAGTGTGGGCAAGCATAGCACCGGGGGCTTCATGATATTGGACGCAATCTGGAAGCAATATGCGGGATTGGCGTTCCAGCTGTCTAAGAAGCCACCGCAGACAAGTAGAAGGGTAAGGTACGTACAATTCTTCTCGTCTCCTACCGATACAGCTTGGAAAACTCGCCACCCTCCGGAGGCTGCAGCCAGTTCCTCTCATCATAGTCCCAGCCGTCCGCACCCTCAATGACATGGAAAGTATACGCAAACCGGCTGCGCGGGCTGGTATTCTTCTCGCTCTTATGCAACACATTCCCATGAATCAGCACCAACGACCCGGCCGTGATATCCAGAATCTCCAAATCCTCATCCTTGACCTCCTGACCCTGGTCCTGACCGTAACCCTCGGACCCCCTCGGCATCTCAGGCCCATCATTCTCCACAAACTCCGTCCCAACAACCTTCCCATTCTCCCCAATTTTCCTCACGAACCGCCTCTTGATCCCCTGCCGATGCGAACCCTTCCACATCCCCAGTGTCGCATTCCCCGGCCCCGCATCCTGTAGCGCAAACCACCACCCCACCGCTGACGGCGGCCTCGTATACAAAAACTCCGAGTCCCGATGCGGCGGCACCGCGCCCCCGATCCCAGGCTGCTTGCAGATCACCATACTCTGCAGCAAGCGCGGGTCCACGAAGCCCAGGGACTTGGCTATGGCGGCATTGCGCGCGCTCAGGGAGACCTTCTCGAAGGGCGGGGAGAGCGAGTGCAACGCGTGTCCGATTTTGTTGATTGCTTGCTGTTTGGGCTTGAGGAGGGTGGGCTTGCCGGTTGCGGGGTCGGGGGTGGAGGAGAAGGCGTCCGGTTCGAAGAAGAAGCGGATCTTGTCGCCGGAGTTGAGGAAGTAGTCGTCGCCGACGTGGGGTCGTTTTTGTTGGTTTCGTCGTCGCCGGTGGTGAATTTGGTGAGGGGTGTGATTCTAGTGGGAAGTCGTCGAGGAGTCTGTTGGTCTCGGTCAGGAGGGAGGTGATGTCCTCTTGGGAGAGGAAGTCGGGGATGACAAGGTAGCCGTTCTCACGGAAGAATGTGAGTTGAGAGGGGGTGAGGCCTTCCATGGTTTAGACGTAGAAATTGATTGTGGGAAAAGAATAAGTGGAAGAAGTGGGATGAGTTGAGGGGAAAAAATGCGGGGGAAAATGATGCTTAAATAGTGGGCTTATCAGTATCAGTCGGAGATGCCCGAGTTGATCAAGGATCATGATCATGACACGTTGACACTAAATAGAAAGATAGAATATGAATCAATATCATTGTCGAATTTGTGAACATGATTATATGTGTCGAAACTCCCACGGAAACCCTCTGAATCCAGCCTCTCTCGTGGTATTCTCCATGCCCTCATCAGCCCTAAAATATATTTCCTTTCTGGGTTGGCATTAAGAACGGCACATGCAATAGGTTCCTGGCACATATGTGAGCATAATTAAGTAGCTCATTGCCCTCTGCTAACCATACTGCAATGTTAGCAGACTTGATTTTTCTAAGATAATTCTCAAAAATCCTTCAGAACGCATAGTAGCATGATGTCTAAAGGCATCACTCTTTTGTTATATCGTTTAGTATGGTATGGAAATTCATATACAGGAGATTAGGCGGCATCGTGAGCGGTATATTTAGGAATCAATTTATTTAATTAGTTTTTTTTTTTTTTTTTTTTTTTTTTTAGTTTTCTTCCAATGGCTTGCCGTACTCCGTAGGCTCTACTAACAATAAGCTCACTAGTGAATCACATAAGACTAGCAACAGAAAGAAGTGCGAGAAACGCACACACTGAGCTAAAAAACGCAAGCACCTCGTTCTCCACGCGATTAAGATCAAACTTGTCCGGGTACATCAGCCAGTTATAAGCCAAGATTCCAATCAGTCAGCCCTGTGCATCGTTGAAGTGAACACCAACATGGCCTTTAGTTGGGGGGTTCATTATCCATAACAGCTTGTCGTCCACCCGAACCCTCTCTATCACAGGCACCACGATGTCTTCTTGGTGGTCCACCAGTTCTTGATCAGCTATTTCCACGTCAACTACATCTGTAATCAGTCCTTGCTTGGCCAGATGTTCCAGCAGCCGGCCAACCCGTTGTATCTGGGCTGCAGTAGTCGAGAGCTAATGATCCCATACCGAGCCCTGTCCAACAAGGCAAGCCAGGATCCTATCCCCCTATCAGGCGCAAACCCCCCTCTGGATTCTCCAAGATGGAACTCCCCCACTTGGGTCCAGGTGCACTGAAACACTCTTGGCCAAGTGCGTATGCCCTGCCTGATCAGCTTTGTACACCACCGTCCGTAGACAGCGGTTAACGGGAGGTAAAAATTCCTCTTGCTCGCTGTCATCGGCGCTCGACCTAAACTGACGCTGTAGCTATCACCTGGTCTTGGAAATCTGGAGGCCCACGGCCTTCAAGAACAAGCTGACAGGCAGTTGCAAGGGTGCAATAGTTAAGCGCACTGCACTCTCTAGTGCCCATGATAAATGCCATCCACTTTTATTTCAGAATTTCCAGCTGAGAATCATGGAATGGCCAGATGGAGAAGACCAGAGGAATCCAGCGGATCTTCCACTCGGCTTCAACCACCCCAACCGCACAATCAAGGGGGTTTCTGTTCTACCAGAAGAGATCCGCTCCGCCAGCTGGCTGCAGGAGACGGATGGTGGCGGAGCGGAACCAATGCTTTTTCGAACCTTACAACGTCAGAAAGACTGACTGAAAATCTTTCGATCGGGCATTAGTCCGATCCACTTCCGACGAGAACGAATATGACAAGTTCTGATGGTCTCGCCTGGTAGATCGAAGCATGATCCAGCTGCCGACAGAAATGCCAGCAGTGCCAGGCATAGGCTTCGGAGATGAGTCTCCTTCTCAGTGCGCCAAGGGGCCAAGGGACTGCATCGCCATAAATTCCTCTGGTTCGGCGGTGGTGGTCGGAACTGTCCTCTCCAGGCACTCGACGTAACGGGTATCTGGTGTCATGCGTGTGAGGAATACTTCCTTATAGCCCTGGTAAATTATCAGCCGACTGATCTGTTAGCCATGTATATATGAAATCATATTAAGAGCTTACCCAGTGGACGAATAACCTTCACAGCTCGGGATGTACGCAGTATACTCCATCACTTCGTGCAACGATTCCCTGTGGAAATCCATATCCAACTTCAGGCCATCGTAGCTTCTCTGGCAGCTTTGACGCCTTATGTCACTGGCGAGCAATAAGAAAGAGCACTCCTCAATTCACTGCTTGAAACAACGTGTCCAGATTGGGGGGAGGTTCCATGAGGATCGACTTCTGCTGGCGAGGTGCCGCGAACTGCCCTGAGGTTTCGGTCAGAGTTCCTTCCTCACCAGAGCCAGCCCATCTTAGAAGGAACCGAATTGTCAGACATTGCTAAGGAAAATGGCCGAGAAGCGGGGCGGGCGGGCAGCAAGCACGACGTGTGGAGGGCTGAGAGCGAGAGCGGCATTTACGACGCGATCAATCAATAATTGTGTGTATGAGGTTGGTGAACCCGGAGTCAACCGACCCCCGGGAGAGGAGGAGGGGGCGAGGGAAACTATCACCATGCTATTAGGGCTTAGCCTTCATTGATTTTGTGTCCATTGAAGACACATCGCTCGCTAACTAGTTGGCCATACGGCTGATGGCGCTCCTCAGACGCTTTGCATATTGGACACGCGAAAACGTACGATTCCAATAACGCTTTCAAGCGGGATATAGACTGTTTTCTGCAGCAATCTTGCGTCCTCTGTATGTCCGGGTGACTCTTGTGGTCGTGTGCTGCCATCAAAATGAACTTCTCTGCTTTCGCGTGTATACAAAGACGATCAGCGTTATCCCGCACCATATACAGAAGACCGGAGGATGTATCAAGTTTGAACCCGTTCTTCCAAAGGGGTCTCCAGGCTAACAAGCTGCAACGAGTATCCAGGCGAGGATGCCACTGCCAACTTTTCATGTGTCATGGCATCTTTTGAAGTAGCAGCGATAGGATAAGTGGTAACACCTGTGGTGCAACTGCCTCCAAAAGCTTCAACCAGCAAGAACGAGATGAATCCGATGGTGGATTTCAAGGTATCTCAACAGAAGCAGACCGTTGCCGCGTTTGAAGACCACAGCCAGAGCGGCGGTCCTGGGTATATTTTAGGAGGCTGAGAGGGGATGTATTTCTATGACGCAATTCAGAAAATTGACTAAAGTGAATATCAAAGCCGTCTCGATGAGCATATCCGAGAAACATTCACCATCGTCAGAGTGGATAAGACCCTGATTGAATTTACGACCAGGGAGGAGGACTGGGCGTTAACTTTCGTCCTTACAACTCTCATTTACTATGCGCTCGAGCTGGTCCAAACCCAGAAAGTGGCAAGAGAACTGCCATTCGCATTGACTGCGCCTTTAATACATTATGTTAGCTAGGTGTAGGGATATCATTTCATCTGGGAATATACAATAGTCAATAGACATGCATAGACAACATGCCTCTGCCAAAACCTCCATAGGCCCGCTCACGGCTTCTTGAAATCAATTTTTACAAATCGGCGCCGTCGTAGGAGGATCAATATGCATTTTCGGCAATGGACCAGGCACACGCTCTACCTTGACCAGAACCGGAATGACAGCACCCGTCGCGAGCGCAAACTTCCGGTGCCCCGTGACCTGCAAGATACTCGTAATGGCGCCCGAATGGGCAGTCAAGGAGATAAAAGTGTTTTCGTCGTGAGACAAGATATCCTGAAGTAAGTCGCGAAGGCGAGCGTCTCTGGCGGTGTCAGACTCCCGTAGCTTTGAATCATACAGGGGGTCATCCTCTGCGAAGCCATCTTCGATGATGTACTCGGGGTATTCGGCCTGTATGGCTGTTTTCGATGACCGACTGTCGCAGGTGTGAAGACCGATTGTTTCTCGGAGGAGCTGCTGATGTAAGTTTTCATGACCCATGAAAGGTGATACACACTCGACGTACCTCTTTGACGACCGCGCGGAAAGGCTCCGTATGCGGCATCTTCAGGCCGCGGAACGTGATACTGGCGGTGGCCAAGCATCGATTCAACGGACTCACGTAGTACGATTGAGGGAATGGGATCTTGTTCTCGATCTGCGTCTCCCAAGCGCGGTGCGCGGTTTCCGCCTGAGCTATGCCCACAGGAGTGAGACGGGCGTCCACCCATGTCCCGTTGTCGTCGCCGTCGAGGAGGGACCAATAGCACTAGAACAGTCAATCGAGTTCCTATAAGAAGCCATAGGTAGAGGATATCAGCGGAAAGACTTACATCCCATGCTTCTGTCCCATAGCGGCGCTCGGCGACATTGTGGTATCCCTCTCCATGTCGGCCAAGATAAAGTAGTCTGTAGCTTGTCTCGGGGCCACTCTCTGCATTGAGCTTGTTGATCTGGTACTCAAAGCGCTCCCATTGGGTTCTGCGGCCGTTTGGATCAAACTCGGCGTCCGAGTCATAGCGTCGAGATATTAGGCCAAAGTTTGATGTGACCTGGCCATCATCAGCTAGGTCCCTAGGTGATGGTAATCTTTCAATGGCAGCTCACATAATCGAAAGTGCCCGGATCAGTCGTCGACTCATCTTGCAAGAAATACCCGGTCACAGTGCTCAGTCTCAGATGCGACTCGGATGTGACTGATTCAGCCATCATCATGAAGCCAGCTAAAATGATAGTGACTACAAGCAGAAATGGTCTGGACGGGTGTTAGTACGGGAAAAAGCGTCCAGGTATGAGCACGTACATGAGGAAAGATATTTGAAAGAACCGTTGGAAGCAAAGTGTCGTAGGAGGGTTCGAACGCGGCCTTTCACTTTCTTGTAGAGGCTGATATTCTAGCTCATTGCCCTGCCCCAATGGGCGAGCTGTGGAGGGATGCAGGGGGACCATATCCAAGTGCCCGTGCGCTTCATTGGCCGCGGGCTCTGGTGCGTGTGGGGCAATCAATCGCCAGCCAGACTGGACCAGGTCTGATATATTCATTCGTTTCACCCGACTCAGAACGAGGTCGTGAAAAGGATGGGAAATCAGTTTGCCTAGGGGAGGTTGTTGACAATGGTCAATTCGGACCCAGGGAAAAGGACGTATAGGTGAAATAGAAGACGTCACAGGGCACTTTCTATAGGTACCCGACTTAGTAACTATAGGGAAAACCAATGCGTCCAGAAATGTATATTTCAGTATTGTACAAGGTGAGCCCACTATCGGCTCAATTCTTTAGACCACAAACGGTGTTGGCGAGCCGATGACCTCGCGTCACCAAAGAGTAGATAGATGTGGGAGAGGAAGCGCTGACAACATCCGCTCGACGGAGAGAGCTTTCAGAAATCTAGGAAAAGTTACAAGGAAACGAACAACGCCGATAACAACCCATCAAATCGCCTGGTCATGGCTATAAAACAACGAAGCGAACGAGTCGATCACCAGCTATAGTACTGGTTCTGCGCGGTGATCTTCCGGTCCGGAAGCTGGGTCCAGAGTTGGGCTTTCCGCTTGCGCAGTGCCTCAGCCTCACGGTCCTGCCACTCTCTGATCCGGGTATTCTCTTCCTTGAGCAAGACACTCAGGGACGTGTAAGGGGCCGCAGCCGATTAATCACGCCTCGAGCGCGATGGTCGTAGTCGACTCCGTATGGTCCTCGGTTGACCCAAGCCTGGGCAATGTAGATTGATGAAGGGTTGGTGATCGTTTTCCGCTCACCAGTGTTGAGAGTGATGGTGATCGGTTTCTGTTCTGCGGCGTTGCCCAGACCCATACCTGACCGAACAATGGCAACGTTCTTCGCGTGCTCGAGATGTTCAAGAACTTCCTTGGCGACCTTCTTCTTGCTGAAGCGCATCTGCAACATAGCTTCGTCGATATTCTTTCCCGCAATCTGACGCGCGAGGGGTCCCAGCTTCTTCACGGACGTCTTGAACCAATGGGACTTGGACAGCGACTCGCGCTCCGTCCGCATAATCTGCTCGGTCTTCGTTAGACGACCCCGACGACGTACTTCCCGAATAATCATCTTGCGCTCCCAGCGCATCCTCGCCTTCGGACGAGGATCGAGCACGGTCGCCATGGTGATACGGTTTCGGTTTTCCACCTCCAGATTGGCTTCCTCCTCGCCTTCCGCCGCTTCGGTGGCTTGTTTGCGTGCTGCTGGCGTCCGACCGGATGCAATAAGCTTCGGGGTTGCTTCGTCTTCGGCGAAAATCGAATCTGCGCTCAATGAACCTTCACGCTTGGGAGGGGCTGTTGCTCTGCGGGTGATTTTCGGCTTTGCGGTCTCGGACCGGCCACCGAAGAAGAAATTCTTGATGGAGGACAAGGCAGACGGTTTGGATTGCTCCTCCGGTTTGTCGTTAGGCCCATTGCTGCCGTCATCCTGAGCACGACGAGGGAAGGAATATGTCAGGGTGCGTCGAGGGACGAAAGTAACACCTCTCCGGGCTACACAAATGTGTCAGGGCCAAAAGAATATTACAGGTGACGGATAAAGCAATTGGAAGGGTAATGACTTACCTGACCGGATCAGTTGCCCATAGGGATATACAGCACCCATTGTGGCCATGACAAACGAGCGTTAACAACCCCCGGAGTGAGCCTGATATTCGGAGACTGAAGGGAAAATTGCAATCGGAAAGTCGAGAGCACATGATCCGCGTTTCTTGGCTGCGGAGTGGGTTGACATGGTCTACCGTACACTGTGGCTAGTGAATCAAGCCACATTTTTGTTTGCTTTGAGGCTTGACCAACGCCAGCAACCTTTTTAGTTCTAGCTCTCAGACGGCGGTCCTAACTCCTTGCAAGTTCGGCAACTTTTTGCAATTTGCTCGCAGCTAGTCTAATCTACCTGTAGACTAGTCCCTTGCTAAGTTTCTAAGCGCTTTGGTAGAAAGAGTACTACCACTACCTCTTCATGCAAAATGACCTCATCATCGAACTAGTGTCGGTAAGTTTCTGCTGCTGTCGGTTAAAGCGGCAGCCCTTTTGTCTGCCTCATTTTGTACGATATACGTGGCTGTGCTGAGCATTTTTGAACGGTGCAAAATGCAGTGACTGCTTGAAAATATTACATGACAGCCAGTGTTCTCAGCATTGGATACCTATACCTGAGTCGTCATGGGCCTCATGGCTTCATCTGCTTCGCTCAACCATTGTCCGATCGTTTGCAACTCCGAAAATGGGATGTGGATGATTGATGGTTCGAGCCACTGGCCAACTCAGACATCCATATCCACCATTCTCGACTGTTGACTAACAGATTCAGCCGACAAGTTCATAACAGGGAAGGGGATGCCTTCCTCGGCGCACAGCGCAATGCAAGTGGCTGTTGATCATGGGCACGTGATGATTCTCAAACTCCAGTCGTAAAACAGCTTCAGATCCAGCTCTTTCAGGTGAAATCGAGCAGCAGGGACCTAGGCTTGTCATCCATAGCAATGCACCTAAGCCTTGTAAAAGCGCTCTATAGATTTTGATCACTACGTCAAGGCAGCTGTTGTATCAATCAATTGAAATGGCCTGAGCAACAAATCATGTCTTTTAAACCATCGGTTACACAATCCCTCGATCCAAACGAGTCGAGAATCTGTCGTAGTAATCAGCGTCAAAACTCCTGCATAGTAGTACGGGAATTCTACGTAGTTCAAATTTCAGGTCGACGATGTTAGCTAAAGCCTTGAGGATTGTTCAAGCGTTCATTCCTGAGCTAGGTGGCTGATCACTTACTACGCTTGTTGTCGCATAGTACTCGTTCGTACCTCAGGTATCTATCCCATGCTGCGAGCTCTTTTTATCCTACTCCCATCAGTCTTTTCTTCAGGTCCGTGAAGAGACAATCTCGTCTTTCTGGTGCACTGCGCTGTTCTCGACCTCTTTCTTGTCGCCTGTCCTTTGGTAGGTCTCTATTTCCCCATATTTTCCCGTCATCGTGACCGCCGCTTACCCGCTTTTTAGCTCTTAACCTGGATAGCTTGGTCCCCCTCCTCTCTCTCTCCCCTTCGGCTTTCTCGCTCTCCCCGGTCGTCCCATTTTCCGTCCTGGAAATCCTTGTCATTTCTGTCCTCAAGCATCAACGTATACAGTCAAGAATCGACTACTCAAAGGAGAAGCAACGAGAGAGAGAAAAACGGAACAAGAGGAAATTTACTCACGTGGAGGGAAGAATCCTCGGTCCTAATCTCTCCATTTGCGCAATTCTGTCGTGGTTTGGAACTTTTCCGCACCACTTGAAAGGACGACAAAAGTCCTGCTTCCTGGGTCGCGATCGAGGCTCTGGCCAAAGCAGGAATGGACTCGTTGATGAGGCTATCATCAGTTGTCCTCTAATTTTCGAATCCATTTCGTTCCTTCCTTCCTCTTCTTTTTCCTTGAGGTTTGCGTCCGCGCCAGCGCGTTAACTGGCGACTTCCATTTTACCTTCGCCTTCGTTCTCCATCATCAAACCCTTTGGTAAAAAAAGTTCTCCATTATGGATATAAACTCACTTCTTTCGCCAGACTCGAATCCTCAATCTGGGCGTTCAACCCCTGGAAACGGATCGATGTCTGCCAACAATGCTTCTGCCACAACCTCACGTCCACCGAATAAGCCGCTACGGAAAGGTCGCACAACTTCCGCACGGCCAGCCATGACTTCATCTCCTCTTGCGCATCACGTATATGCCCCTTCGCAATTAAACGACCCTTCCCCGCCGGCGACGAGTAGTCCAAGTGCGGGTCCGAACATGGGAGGAGGAAATGGCACGCCTCCGTCTGTTGATCTGCCTCCATCCCGACAAGCATCCACGCCAGGCATGGATACCCTCGCAGATTTGGCGTCAATGCAACATCATCAGCCCCAGCGTTCCAATACCTCCATTTTGCGGGGTACCGAGTCCTATGAAAGCCAACTATCGCCATCCACGATGTACCCTCACGTTAACCCGATCTCTCACAATACGCCTACTCCCAGAACTTCGTTTGACATCGCAATGTCGGAGGGTCCGAGGGAAGGCGCTGCTCGGAGGAATTATGCTGACACTTCTTTGCGGCCCGAGGCTCAAAGGATGGCGACGGAGCTCTTCGCTCAGATTCAAGACAATCCGCATATTTACGAGGCGCACGTAAATTTTATCCGTCTGCTCCACGAGGGCTTCGTCAACCATGTTTACCCGCCCAATAATCCGGATATCCACGGCGACCCACGGAAATACGACCTCCTTAGAGATATGCGCACTGCCCGGGAGGAGATGGACAAGCTGTTCGCCATGGGTGAGGATCTCTGGGCGGAGTGGATCCAGGACGAGAGTATGCTGGCGCAATCGGTTGAGGAACGCATAGCGGTAATGGAACTCTGCCAGCGATCAATTGAGGAGGAGTACGGTAGTACCAAGCTATGGACCATCTACGGTGAATGGGTACTATATCTCTACAACTCCGCAAACGGGGATTCTGGTTCGAACCAATGGTCCGAGGAGGACAAGCTGGTCGGTCGTGAGGTCTTTACCTGGCAGTCAGTTTTGGAAGTGTGGCAGCGAGGTGCCGAGGCAACCCGGTGGAGGATTCACGATAGCCATCTGGTCTGGGATCGATTTCTGGATCTGCAAGTTCAGGACCTTTCTCGTCGCCCATCGCAAGAACGTGCCAGTCAAGTAAAGGGCTTCTTCGATGCCCGCTTGCAAACCCCGCATGCTACCTGGGACCAGACCTTCCAGGCCTTTTCGGGATTCGTGTCAACATACTACAACGCAAACTACGAGGAAATCATGGCCGACACGGCGGGTCGACTTGCTACGCCAATTAAAGAGAAGTACAACGCGCGGGAGCATCTGGAGATCAAGTTGCGCAATGCCGTCGATGCTGGGGAGTTTGGCCTGGAGTGGGCGGCGTACTCGGAGTACATTGAATGGGAAGTGAGCCGGCACCGGCGGAAACGCCAGTCGAATTTCGATCTTGTGAACGCCATCTACCAGCGTGCAGTCCTACGTTTCCCGACCGACTCCAACCTCTGGGAGGACTACGTCATGTTCCTCATCGACCAGAATACGCACGGTAACGCGAGAGCGACCACAATATCGACGCTCGAAAGAGCCACCAGGCATTGCCCATGCTCTGGTACCCTTTGGTCGCAGTACCTCCTAAGCTCCGAGCGCGAAGGACAATCTTTCCAGAGGATCGCTGACATCAAACACAAAGCCACAAGTACTGGCTTGCTGGACGCCGGTGGTATGGAGGAGGTATTGAAAGTCCATACCGCCTGGTGCAGCTACCTTCGTCGGCGCGCCTTTCTTTCAGATTCGACCGATGAGGACCTGGATGTTGCCGAGGTTGGCATTCGATCCGCCATTGAAAGTGTTCAGGAACTCGGAGAGAAGAAGTACGGTCGCTCATACCAGGGTGATCCGCTGTTTCGCCTTGAACGCATCTATATCCGCTACCTGAGTGAAAGCGGCAGTTGGGACAGTGCACGCGAAACCTTCAAGGGGTTGGTCGGTCGCCGTGGCAATAGTTACGAATTCTGGCTCACCTACTATCATTGGGAGCTGATCTCGTGGAGCAAATTTGTGCAGGGAGAAGCGACGGCGGATGCGGCTCGGCGGACTCCCAACCCCAGCTTTGCAACTGCCGTGTTGAAACAGGCCATCAAGCGGACAGACCTAGATTGGCCCGAGAAGATCATGCAGGTCTACGTCGCGCACTGTGAAGATTACGAGGACTCGGACGAACTCCAACAGGCTATTCTTGAGACCAGGAAAGCCATGAAGGCCATCACCGCACGGCGAGAAAAGGAAGCTGCGGCGGCGTTACAGCAACAGCAGGCGGCGGCGGCCGATCTTGCATCTCAAGCAGAGAAGCGTAAGCGCGAGGATGACACTGGAGTAAACGGCTATCCCAGCAGCAAAAAGGCCCGTGCCGAGGAGCCAGCAGCAGCACCAGCACCAGCACCCGCTGCGCCGCAACCCGAGCCTGTCGCACTCCGGCGCGACCGCGAAAATGCCACAGTAGTGGTCAAGAAATTGCCTCAGCATATCACGGAACACCGTGTGCGACAGTTCTTCCGTCATGTAAGTTTCTCCCCTGGTTTTCTGTTGTCTTCACTTCCTCATCTGACTTGGACAGTGCGGGACAATCAAAGGCTTGACGATGCTGCCAGGCGACGATGGAAACTCTGAGATCGCCATCATTGAGTTCGAAACAAGAGAGGAAGCTCTCGTGGCTCAGACGCGTGATCAGAAGTTGCTTGACGATAACGCTATTGAGGTTCATCTTGGCTCCGGATCCACATTGTTCGTGACGAACTTTCCATCGACCGCTGATGAAAGTTATATCCGAAATCTGTTCCGCGAGGTAGGCACCTGCCCAACAGCTCCATCTAATGTGAAACTAACCAGTCTTAGTATGGCGAGATTGTCGATATACGCTTCCCATCTCTTAAATACAACACTCATCGGCGATTCTGTTACGTGCAGTTCAAATCCTCTGGGGATGCCCATAACGCAACCAAGCTGAATGGCACCCGGGTTGGAAGCGACCTCAATCTGGTAGTCAAGATCTCAGATCCTACGCGCAGAGAGGACCGTCATGGACCTGTTTACGAAGGGCGGGAGATTCACATTTCCAACATTGACTGGAAAGCCAACGAGGGTGACCTTAAGGAAGTGTTCCAAAAGTATGGCACTATCGAGACGGTGCGGATTCCAAGAAAGGTCGATGGTGGCAGTAAAGGGTTTGGCTATATTGTCTTCTCCACCAAAGTATGTTTTTTGGCCATCCCGCTACTGAGTTTTATAGCTAATCTCTCGAGTAGGAGGAGGCAGAAGCTGCCCTTGCTATGCACGAACAGGAATTCCGCTGGCGCCCGCTACAGGTCCGAATCTCGACTCCCCAAGGTGCTAAACGAACTGCAACCACTATCGTGAACCGCGTCCAATCCCCTGCAGCTGAGGCGAATGGGACCAAAGCGCCATCAGTCGAGCCTGAAGGCGCAGCCAAGGAGCGCTCGGCGCGGACCCTGGGGCTCATGAACGTTCCCGACACGGTGAATGATGCGCGGATCCGTGCAATGGTTGAACCTTATGGACCGCTCATTAAAATCGTCCTGCGCCCTGATCATCAAGGGGCTATTGTCGAATTTGCGGATGTGAACCATGCCGGCAAGGCTTCGCTCGAACTCGAAGGACAGGAAATTGCTCCGGGTCGAAAATTGCATGTGGGCACGGTTTCGGAACTGCTGAAGCAGTCGGCGGAGAAGAAGGGGGGACCCGGTCAGGCGACAAAGTCAAAGGACAAGGCCACATTCCTCCAGCCGACCGGACCGATCAAGCGTCCTGTGCATCCTGGTCAGCGCGGTGGCCGAAGAGGTGGATTGGGGGTGAAGCGGGTCAGCATTTCTTCGACAGCCTCGCAGGGGGGCAGCACGAAACCCGAAGAAGGCGCCAAAAGTGCGACGACAATGACGACCACGAATGTGACGACAGAAAGCGGCTCTCACCCGGTTGGCGATGAGAAGACGAGGAAGAGTAATGATGATTTCCGTGCCATGATCCAGCGGAATCGAGGCGAATGAGAGTAAAAACCTGTGCGCGGCGCTTCGGATTGTAATGACCGGGTTGGCGTTTTTTCCCTTTTCTCCTTCCACTGATGTCCCTCTTCTGGATGGTTCCCTGCCATGGTGACCTGAGCCGGAGAGACCCTCGCTGTCGTGATGGTTTCCTTGATCATGCCATTCTACGCCCGCCTATGGAAAGGCGAACGATGCTCTTTTGGCGTCTGTAGATTAATATTACACTTCTTTTCCTGCGTTTCTTTTTTTTGTTTCTTGTCTGAGTCGACATGTTGCCCATCTAATGATTCTTCTTCTTGTACCTGACCGTTGACCGGGGAGATAACCGCAGGCATATGCCGGCTGGGTGATGGCTGCTGATACTGCCTCTGCTATATGCTATGACTTGGACTGTTATTCTACATTGAGTGGCAGGCGACATTATGTGATCAATTGAAAGACATTGCTATCTCTGTCATGCAGACTTTCCTCAGTATAGCGCAACTGTATATCTGACCTTGTTGGAGATTAATTTATTGTTTCCCGCAATCCACTAACTAGGCTATGCAACCCCCGCAATGACTGACGCTTTGACCGACCAGATAAGCCTGTTTAGAAGTAAGTTAACTATCTGAGACCGGCCGTTCTCGTAATTCTATTATCCTGCGACAAGACCGCAAGATTATACTTGAGTCTAGCTCAGGTAGAAAGAGGCAATGATTGGACGGAATAGGGATGATAATGGCTCGGTTGATCGACGGGTCATTCGGACAGAGGAATTCACCAGCAGGAGTGCATGACCATCGATCAGCATAAGTGGGATATATTTAATTAATCCGGGGGTAGATAGGTAGTACTGAGTACATATCCAGCTATGTTGCGGTGATTCTTGTCGAATCATAAGAAGAGAGTGTGTTGGGATGGTGGTACTTTCGTGAGAGATTTAAAGGTGTGTGGTAGTACCGTACCTATGACGCTGCCTTGAGATATACATTGTCCTCCTCCCAAGCCTCATTTATCGGGGAGTTTCCTCATCTTCCTCCGTTTCCACCTTCTTCCATCATTTGAACGACTGCAACCCAGTCCTGTCTTTTACAACATTATTGTTAGTGTTATTTCCTAGATAACTCTCTGTCTCACTGATTGAATTGCCACATCAGAGCCGCATTCCCCACCTCGCTCACCTCGTCCTGCCAGATCGTCTTGTTTCACTAAACCGTCTTTTGGGTTCCCTGCTTTCGACACTCGAGCCCTTTTTTCTCAATCCATACTATCGGTCATTCCTGTCGCATTGATCTACTCACTCTGTACCATACTCCGGTTGAGTGATAACCCTCGCTGCCGGTCAGTGAGCGTTGACCGTCCCCTTCCGACCACAGCTGCTCTGTCGTCATCGCCCGCTTGCCCTTGCTACACCATCCTCTTGGTCAGGTCAATTCGACCGCGTACGCCAGGATGGATTTCCATCTCGTCCCTCGAGGAACAGACAAGAATTACACCGGTTTCTTGACAAAAACCATCGTCTACGCCAGCACCTTGCTTTTATTTCTTGCTGGTACTTGAATCTCGTGGATTTTAATCGCGACAGCTGGAGGCTAATATACCACAGCGTTCGGCCTGACGATCTCATCCATCGTCGTCCCGAAATGGGTCAGCTATCATAGCGAAAAGGTGGGCATACATTTTTCTTACGGGTTGAGCACAGGCTGGACTGGACTGAGTGAACTGACTTGGCTAGTTCCACTACTCCTACGGCCTCCACCGTCGCTGCTCCTCCCTCACCAACGTCTGCGAGAGTTTCCCCCAGCGTGAAGACTGCCATGGTGAAGACCGATACTTTTGCTCCATGTGGCGGACCGTCGGGTTCCTGATGTCGTTTGCTGTTGTGCTGGAGGGAATGAGCGTGGTTGCGTATCTGATTGTGCTGTCGGCCGGGAAACGGCTGCGCGAGTCAGGGTGGAAGGTGCTGAGTCTGCTGATTATCCTGTCTGCGCTTGTGCAGGCGGCAAGTATGTCGATTGTCGTAAGTCTATCTCACATTTTGGGTCTATACTCGGTCGTTGACACTGGCGGCAGGCATATTTGTATGACAATGAGGACCGTTTCTTTGTTGGCTGGCGGCTGGGCGAGTCCTGGATTTATTGCACCGTCAGCTGGTGTGTGAGTCTTTTCTGCGCGCTGGCCATGATCCTTGCAGGGAATAGTCTTCCGTCGGAGGGGGGATATGAGTTGATTCCGGATCATTCTTGATTGACTTGAAAATGATTGTTTTCGTTTATTATCTGGGGCCATTTAGCAGCACACGGCTCGGCAAGTTATCATTTTTGCTTTATGTTATGGTCGGCTTTATTCGGTTTCTGATACTTTTCCGGCGTCGTATGTACCAGCCTACAGGCGTCACGATTAATGCTAATGAGAACGCATCACATTTACTTGGGATCACCTTTGTACCTTTTGCACCGCTCCCCTCCTACTCACCCTTGACTTCTTGCCTGTGTTCTTGACATCCTCATTAGCCTGCTCCAAAACCCACTCCCGAAACGTCGGCAGAATCTCAATATCCGGAAACAACACCTGCTCTTTACTTTTGCCGTTGCCCTTGGACTTTTGTATTTGACGATGCTGCTCCGTCAAATCCTCCCGGATCCGCTCAACGATGGCCCGGATCTCAGCAAACGACTTTCCAGGCCCCGTCTCGGCGCGCAACCACTCAGGAACAGGACACGCTTTGATCCGTGGCGCGCGCCGTCCCTTTTTCTTCCTGCCACCAGATGACTCTTCTTCATCATCTTCATACTCCTCCTCATCCTCCTGCCCAGAAGCGCACGCAGCAGAAACAGAGGTAGAGGTAATAGAGCTTCTCCCACCCCGTCCTCTCCCCTTCCTCAAAGCAACCGCAACCCCCTCCATAGCAGTGCCCTGCCGCTCCGCAGAGGAAGAGGAGGAAAGCCGTTGAACCTCCCTCCTCCTAAGCACAACCTCAAAACTCTGCACCCCGCCCCAAGCCTCCATCCGCGCCAGACTATCGAGCAGCAGCTCGCACTGCGTAAACGGCCACGCGCGCGACCGGTACCGCGCCCGCTGGTAGTGCTTGCGGCAGTAGTGCACCCATACCTGTTGGGGGAAGAGCTTCGTGGAGGTTTTGTTGCGGCCGAAGATGTGGGAGATTAGTTTGCGGGGGTTGCCACCGCCGGAGGCAGTCCCTGAGGGGGAGGTGGAGGTGGAGGTGTTGCTGCTGTTGGTAGAGGTTGTGCAGGGGTGGGTGAATTCGCAGGCGGGTTCCTGGGTTTCTTTCTTCTCTTCTGTTGTAGGAGGATGGGGGTTCGTTTGGATGGTTTTGGTTTTGGTTTGGGTTTGGGGCCATGGTTGTGGATGCATTGGGGGATGGGAAGAGAGGGCTGGAGATGGGGATATATTATATAGGTTGTTGGGGGCGTTGTCTATTCCCATTGTGCTAGCATTGTAGTGAAGATGTCTCAGTTGAACAGTTGAACAGTTGAAAGATTGTTGACTCATGTATTCACTAGCTACAAGGAGGTCATGGGCACAAGATAACGATGCCTTATTTCATAAATCAACCAAATCAACCAAATCAACCAACGCCATTGTTGCAATTTGTCCATATGCGCTCAATTTGTCTTATGCTCTCAATTTATCCGTATGCCCATAAATCTCATAATCACATAGCGTACGTTATCGTCTTGGGGACGTATTTTCGTGGCGCTCGAACGACACTACATCCCACAGACCCCAGGTCAATGCTGTTCAGCTCCCGACTCAGTGCATCCATGCCGGTTTGGCCGCCCATTACCGGGTAGCTTGGCCCCGCTGGAGGTGCAATAGGGACTTTGGCCGGGATGGGTGGCCCGACATTGGCGTACAGGCTAGAAACAGAGTGCGAGGAGCGCGCACTCGGCGCTGGTGAGACGGACTTGCGGTGCGAAGATCGCGGCCGTGCCGCCTCAGTCGTGCTATAATTTCGTCCATGTCCATATCCTCCGTACTCCTGCCGGCCACGCTCCGGGTACTCCGCAACAGTGGATGTCCCGCTGGACCGGGGACGGGGTCCCGCAACTTCCCTGGCGGAGGGATGCTTGAAACGGAGAATCACCTCGGGCTTTCGGTTCTTGCGTTCCGGTTCTGGCGCCCAAGTATCCGAAGGAAGATGATCCGAAGGATCAATCTCGCGCCCATCGTCACCAATGATCGGTCCTGAGGTATCCGGCTTCATCTCATTGAGTCGGGCCGTCTGCATTGCCTGTGCGACCGTCTCATACGCCGGGGCTGTGTCGCGGGTGACGGCAGATCGTGCCGCGTTCGGATTCAGCGCATCGTACGAGTCGGGTGAGAAGGGGATCTGAGATACCTGGCGTTCCGCAGTGGAGGGTGGTCGCGGGCTGACCGACTTGCGCCGTGGGACGATCCGAGCTTCGGAACTGACAGACTTCCTAAGAACCAAGGAACGCCGGGGATCGGTCTCGTCAGGGTAAGGTACTGAGGCAGGCTTCGATTCGACGGTCCGGATCATGGCGTCCTCCTCGAAGAAGCTGCGCCGCCGGTTCGCTTGGCTTTCCTGGGCAGCACGGGCGGCCTCCACCTCGGCAATGGCCGGGTCAAAGCCGGCGACCAGGCTGCGCGGAACCGATGGATTCTTCATACGAGGGTGGTCCTGTAGGCGGTTCCCGTGCAACGGGCGAAGCGGCTGGAGCGCGGTCATATCGTTGGTATTGCGGGGGGACGGTGCAAACTCTGGAGAGTAAGCCTTGTACGAGGAAGCTGGTGACGGTACTAACTGTTGACTCGGCTGGACCAGGCCTGACCGATGCGCTGGGGCGGAGGTGGGGGTCCCTCCTCTTCTTCGTCGTCCACGCGGGGCTGCATGGCTGCATATTGCGGGTGGAAGTTTTCGTGTGCAATGGAATTGCGATGCCGGCTGTTGATGCTTGCTACCGAGTTGCTATGCAGACGGTAGTGATGTTCCGGTTCCGGGGCCGGAGGAGCGCCTTGCGCGTAGTCGATGGGGGAGTGATTATACGATCTGGTAGATGAATGAGGGGAGTATTGAGCAGCTTCGTGTCCATGACTATGACGCAACGCATCTTCCTCATATCCGTACTGTTCTGGCGCAGGGAATTGGCGGTTGCTGTGATGGCTGGTGGGGCGAGAGGTAGATTCGTATGCATGTCTTGGGTGCATGTCCGGTCCAGGTTGGGACTGGTACTCTGGTCTGCTTGGTGGCATAGAGCGGTAATCCGGAGCCGGTCCATTGCCATAGCCGGAACGTGGCCGTGCATGTTGCCGATTGTCATAGGCATCGGATCTCTCACGGTACGGATAGCTCTCTTCTTGTGGAGACCGCCTTAGAGGTGCTGGTGCGGGATGGGCCGGCGCCGCGTGATTCCACTCGCGATGAAAGTCGTCAGGCGTGTCATACACCTTTGCTGGGGGCGGAGGCTGCGACGCGGATGCATATGCATCGTATGGAGCATCAGGTGCTTGCCTTTGTGCATAGCGCATGTGATCGACGCCATTCATAGCAGGCAAGGAATGAGCATGTTCGTGATGAACTGGTCTCACTGGAGCAGGATGAGACGGCACAGGCGCCGAGGGAGTCTTTTCGGGGGTCCCGGACGCGCAGGAGTCGAGGCGGTAGGGTCGCTAGGAAGCGGCCGTCTCTTGACTTTCTCGAGCTGGCGAGGGCCCGACAGAGAAGACGATGAGCTGACAGGAGCGGCCGGGGCCGGTCTCGAACCACTGCTCTTGGCATGGACCTTCTCGGCGGCTTGCGTTCGCCGTTCGATCACCGCCTCGTCTTCTGGCCTGGTATCGTAGTAAGTCATCTCGATGCGAACTTCACCAGCATACTTTCCTCGGTACTGCAGCGGATGCCATTGGTCGCTCTGGCTCCCTCCGGGGATGATCAAGTCTCTCAGATCGATCCAGGTTTCGCCGATCAGGTCGGTCTTTTTGTCGTCGTTGAATATCGATACCTTGAGTCTGAAGTAGTCAGGTGACTCGTGCACTGTAAATCGAAGCTCATGGTCCCTAAATCGAAGTCAGCATGGTTCGACCACTCAAAGGGAAAATGGGGCGATACCATTTCGGCGTCTGTCCTCCCCGCAGGTCAGTCTCTGTCTTCTTAGCTTCCTTCCCTAACCGCGCAGCACAGTACGGATTCTGTTTCCCCATAGTCTTTCTATTCGGCAGATTCTTCGCGCGGTCAATGACGGCGACCAGCGTGCCGATTGCGGGACCGTCCACCGACATGTCAGCATAGATGCCGGCGGCATGGTTGATATTGGTTATCCTGGGTAGTTTGGAAGCCATGATGGCAACTTCTCTCTGAAAGAGAGTTCACCTCAGGGACAAGATTTGAATAAGGATTTAGAAAAGCTATGTAACCATCAATTGACGGAGAGAGAGTTGTAGTGTCCCGTGGAGGGGCCTAGTGCAGGTCAAGAATATTGATCAATCGGAAGCACAGATTGTAGACCAATGCTGCAGGATGGGAATTAAGAAGAAAAAGCCAAGCGAGAAGCGGATGATAAACGAGCAAGCAACCTCTCGCTTGACTTGCGAATGATGCAGGAGAGAAGAAAGGAAAGATGAAGGAGAGCTGAGAGGGACGAGGAGGAGGAGGAGGACAGAGCCGAAACAAAGCGATAAGCAACAGCGGGTGAGATCGCGATAACCCATACGTCGTAATGCGGCGGCCCAGCGTTATGATTGGTTGGGTGGATATAGTGGGAGGCTGGGAGGAGGCTGGTAGTAATCTATTTGCAGGATCTGATTGGCGGACAGAAGCTGTTCCTGCATGAAATCCGGATCTGGATACAGCCTTACGGTATTTTACGCCCTGTTTCCGACTCCCAGCCACAATCGACACTGACATGTCTCACTCCTGTCAGCTCGTCCTGGCCACCTCAAAAGAAGAGGCCTACTCTCTGTAATCAAGGAATTTATATTCGTACCAGACGATGGTTATTATTCAATGATTCTGACTCGGGATTGTAGGAATTGCAGACAGGGAGATTGTTCCAGAGCTGATGATCGTGGGCCAGACTGAGACAGCAATCATACCTAATACCTGACTGTTACCAGTCCCACATGAGTTCTCCACAAGGATCGCCTTGCAGCCTTGGGCACATGTATCCATCTATCTAGACCACAACAGTCTATCCACAAAGCTATTTCACTCTGTAGTCTACCCAGAATTATATGGAGTTGATGAAAGAAAAGAAAGATCAAAGATACGAGTCTAGTCTGGTCATCATCCGAATACACTCATATGCCAATATCGCAAGCTGACGGACACAATTAGAACCAGAATCTTGCTGCCTGTCTGAATCTCCATCCACAGCCACAACAGAGTGGATTCGATTCGGCACGTTGGTTACAGAAATTATATTGCCTGATCAGTCTCTGCTCCGCTATCCTTAAACATGCGGGGCCCGTTGGGTAGGATTCCGCATGAATCGAGCCTTGCGCCATCGGGCAATGCTTGGCCGTTCCACTACTTGTTCTGCAGAGTTCTATATAGTGTTTACGTCTGATATCATTCGTCTGGCTACGCCCTGCAAAGTGTCGAGTAACAGGCTTAGCTTGACCGGAAGCGTCCTCAAGATCTGTAGAGAAGAGGTAGGCCAATTCTGGAGCTATCCATTTCCATGTTCCATTCTGAGACTGGCAATCTACTCTGTCGACTATTGACACCTGCTTGACCGTGGTGGAGTTGCGAGGAATGTTATGTGTCATGCTCAATCCGCATGGACAGAGAAGCATGCCTCGTTCGTCTATGTAAGGAATATGTCAATGCACTGTGCACGAAGCACGACGGACCCTACAGGAATTAATCATGGTTGCACCTCCTTCTACCTTGCACTTTAATCATGCGAAATAGTGTAGGGAGATGAAGATCTCCTGCTGCCTATTTTTCCGAGCACAATATAAACTAAGCTAGGCCTTGATTGAACTGAAGAGTAGCAAGAACTTAAGAAGGCAGATAACTAAATACGACAGCCGGTCCGAATAAGCGCACGGCCCCTTGAAGAAGTATCATTTGCTCCTTCTAACACTCCCACTGTATGACAGCTAATGCTGAAGATATAATTGCCTTTTCTTGCCGATCTATGGCTATTCAGCCAATAGCTTGCAGCCATGGCTCCTGTCGTTTTAATAGTAAGTGCATTAACTCTGATTGCCCCTCTTATAGACTGCCCATGCATCTGTTCTTCCAGATACTGACTGCTGCTCTCCATCAAAATGCTTGGCCCTTTTGCTATACTGGTGAATCACTTTGCCAATATGTAGCAGGACCTTGTTGAGTGGTACTCAGCAGACGTAATCGAGATTGGAATGTTACTGTTGGATACTATATTTGCTCTGATTGTACCCCGACGATATTTCTGTTGGTTGACACGGCCATTTCTCGACTTCGCCAGGCGCCACAAGGAGCAAGCTGAAGAACAAAGGCCTCATGGCGCGAATCTTTGCCAATGCATTGGATTCGCAGCACGATAGACAGTAAATTAACAGGGATGAGAGAATGAAGCCGCAGTAGGGTAAATAGATATCGTCACAGGCTAGAGTAATAACACTACGCTCGCTTGCCAAAGGTCATACAGTCGCCAGGAAATAATAGCAAGACAAGGCACTCAAAAACGAAAAGAGAAGCGGTAAGGCACAAGCGACCGCCGAGGATGAGATGGAGGAGCTGGCCATGACCTGCGATCTAGCTGTAGCTAAATCGCTGCTGCGCCTTCTGCTGGATATTTTCATTCTCTGCCATCTCAGCAACACCATAAAGGGCTCCCAGGCCCCAAACTCCGGCCACGTCGCATCCACGATCTGGATCTGAGTATCCTCATGGCACTGCCAGAGCAGAAAGTCACTCAGGCGATACACCCCCGACGATCGCACCACGAGGTCCACAGGCGGATTGTGCGCGGTGTCCAGGTTATCCGAAAGCGATTGCGCGGTGATGGCTGTGTGAGGATACTCCTCCACGCACCGTCGCATGGCTCTTGTCATCTCGTCGCGCGACGTGTACGCCACACACAAGTTCAGGATCAGTTTCCCTTTCCGCGTCGCCTCGACCGCCTTCTCGAATGCGTCTCTAGTCTTTTCGTCCAACATCTCTAAGCGGCCCAACACCCGGATCGAAAAATCCAACTGCTCCGCAAACCCGCCGGGAGCAGAGTACATGGCGATCTGCTCTCGGAATAGAGCCATGATGGCCTCGATTTGGTCTCTCGGCCGCTTGAAGTTTTCAATGCTGAACGTATATACTGTGATCACCTTGATCCCGATGATAAAGCCGGTTTCTACAATCTTCAGTCAGTCAGTCAGTCAATCAGCTGCTTCCAGCACAGATCTAGGTACCGGGTTCCTGCACGTTACCTCTTTCATTGTTGCCGCCCCGAGTTCATGACCTTGCTCAATTGGCATACCGCGCGCTCGCGCGAATCGCCGATTCCCGTCCATGATGAATGCGACGTGTTGAGGGATCGGACCTTGTCGGGCGATGTTCATCAAGAGGTCTCGAGCCCACTTCGATTTCAGCGCCTTTTTCATCATGGATTCTATATACATCGTTGCGGCAGTGCAGTTGTTTTGCACTCTTGCTGCTTGAAAGACTGACGACCCAAGGAATTGTGCTAGTGTTTAGAGTAAAAGCCAATGCGAAAGTAACTAGCAGATAACAGGTCAGCTGGAATACAGAACCAGAAAAAGCAATATGAAGCCATCCTATCTCCTGAGTCTCTGGATTCGACACGTCCAATGCAGAATTCTCAGGAGCAGACTCGTTGACCAATGTGCATTATCATTTCTACTACGACTACGTAGCTAGAAGCTTGTCTGCCCGACAATTTAGCTCAGTGGAAAAACTGGGTCCTCCCGTGCATCCGTACGACGGCGGAGTTTCTCATCAATAGCTCCAGGGGCAGGATTCGCTATTTATTATTACTGACGATCATCTTGATCGGTCTTGTCACACCGCTTATGCAGCCCTGATCCATCTACTCCGTACGCCCTCACTCTCAGAGTCAAAGGTTGTGATCAGGGCTTCTGGATCCCCTCAATCTTGGAACCACTTTTGTAGTTCATACTACTACAATCTAGATCCTTGGATCGACAGAAATTGTCACTCATCCGCTGGGTTGTTCGACTAACGATGTATATGCAAATAGTCCGGGTGCACTAATTACATAGCTGCCGATTAAATATGCCGTGGGGAATCCGAATATCCATAATTCCGACGACATCTTGCAAGTCCTGCAGCCTTCAAGCCTCACTAGCCTCTTGACAAACCGGACCAACTCAGTTCTTCTCGCAGTTTTCGGCAAATCCCCGGAAATAGGCCGGGACCTTCTCTTCCCACAAGGCCGGGTTCGAAAAGAAGTCATACTGCGTTTGGCAGTTCGTGGTCAGAACAGGCCACAGGCTCAAGGCGTTGTCCAGGAAAACTCTCCACGAGTTGGCCTTGACACACTTTGCCAGGGACTGCAACTCGGCGGTATTCATGGCGCACAGGTCGCCCTCCCCGGCTGCGCATTGTGTCCGGGCCAAGTCGATCAGGCTGTCCACCCCGCTGATGTAGGCGTTGTTCAGCTGCGGCGTGCCCATGTTGGGGGTTTCGGCTTCTATGATGGACCTGCCAAAGTTGCGCAGGTTGGGCTCGTACTCGGAGAGCTTGACTTTGCAGCCTTTGCTGCAGATCTCCTGCTGGGCGTGGCCGAAGAAACGCGCGTAGTCGACGTTCTGGATGACGGATTGGAGGTTCCAGCAGGCTGTGGAAGGGAGGCTGGCGGCGGCTGATGCGAGGCCAGCGCTCATGGTGAGGGTGACGACGGCGGGGACGGAGAAACGCATGATGATGATGATGATGATGATGATGATGATGATGATGATGATGATGATGATGATGATGATGATCTGGCAACGCTTGAATTGCAAAAGCAGAATGTATTGACAAAGATGAAGATGAAGAAGCGCAGCTGCAACTGTCCACGTCCACGGGAGGTGAGAGGGGTATTTATACTCGCTCTCTAGAAGCTAGGTAGGCTTATTGATCCTCACGCCAATTCTACGCTGGGCAGCGAATATACCACTATTGGGGGTGCGCAAGCCACAGAGTGACATGTACAGCTTCTCGCATAGATCGGCATCTACTATTGAAGGCAAACGGACACCTTGAAGAGGGAATGAGAGACCATATCCTCCGTATGTCACACCCTATTGACCACCCAATTAGCTGAGTCGACTCATATTTGCTTTTATTTCTTGAGCTGGCTCGTTGGCCGCAAACAAGCTACCTTTGCTGTCATTGACTGTGTTTGTCTCTAACTGATCAGGCAGTTCGGGAGCTCAACTCTATTTGTATAGATGCAGCTAATTAGCGGGAAGCATTATCATTAAGGCAGTTTGAGTCACTCGCTCTGTGATTCACCTCTAAGCTTCCTTGAATGGAGTCAATTTGCTCGTGCCCTTAGCTCACTGTGCTGAATCCCTCATCCTCTAGCAAGTGGTCTGGAGGTGTAGATCTCCATGTAAGATTTCCTTCGTCACATTGACATTGTCACCAAGGCAGTATCCAATTGGCTCGGAGCTCCAGAGGTTCAATAGTCTTCCCTGTTTTCATTTGTAGAAATGGATGAAGGCATCTGCTCTTAGAATTAGGGCTTCGATTGATGCCTCAGGCTGAAAATAAAATACCGGAGATGTATTGATACACCGCTCAATATGAATTGCATACAGATAAATTACTAGCGGTATCTGCCAATCGGCGTTGCGATAGAACAGAACTTTTTTGATGTGATAAAAAACTTCAAGATCATCAACCAGCTTCCACCAACACACCACGCCAGTCACTGAGAAACGAGCATTCTCTCAACTCACTTGATAATCGATATCGTTTCCGATCGATCAATCGATAATTAGTCAACGGAAGCAGCCATGGCTGCCCCCGTCCTTCCCCTCCAGCAGGTCAAGCTGCCTGCGCTGCCCTCAACCCGCTTGACGCCCGAGCAGCAATACTGGAAGACCTTCAAGAATCCGCTCCTCATCCCCTCTCCCGCCAACGGTCCCGTCAACCTCATCACGCAGCCGTCCGCTCCTTCATCCGCCTCTGCCTTCCCGTCCCTCACCCAGCCGCCCGACGTCTTCACCGTGACGACCGGCGCCCGCGTGCAGATCTACTCCATCCGCACCCGCAAACTCCTCCGCACAATCACCCGCTTCGACGATACCGTACGCGGCACCGACGTGCGGCCCGATGGCCGGGTAGTCGTGACAGGCGACGACACCGGCACAGTGCAGGTCTTCGACGTCGCGTCGCGGGCAATCCTGAAGACATGGAAGGACCACCGGCAGCCGGTGTGGCTGACCAAGTTCTCGCCGAGCGATCCGACCTCCGTCCTGAGCGCCAGCGACGACCGGACCGTGCGGCTGTGGGATCTGCCGAGCGAGAGCGCCGCGCGGACGTTCCTGGGACATACGGACTATGTGCGCAGCGGGGCGTACATGCCTGGCTCGCTGGCGGCGTCGGGTTTGGTGGTCTCGGGGAGTTATGATCGGACGGTGAGGCTGTGGGATCCGCGCGTGGAGAACCGGGCGGTGATGACGTTTAAGATGGCGGGGCCGATTGAGAGTGTGCTGCCTATGCCGACGGGGACGACGCTGCTGGCGTCGGCGGAGAATAAGATTGCGGTGCTGGATATTGTGGCGGGGAAGCCGCTGCATATGATTCAGAGTCATCAGAAGACAGTGACGGCGCTGGCGCTGGCGTCGAATGGGGAGAGACTGCTTAGTGGTGCGTTGGACGGGCACATGAAGGTGTTTGAGACGACTGGGTGGAATGTAGTGTCGGGTTCGAAGTACCCGTCTCCGATCCTGTCGCTGCAGGTGATTACGTCTGGGGTCTCGCGGGAGGACAAGCACATCGCGGTAGGCATGCAGTCGGGTCTGCTATCGATCAAGACCCGGCTGTCGGGCCAGCAGAAGATCCGGGAGCGCGAACGACGCAAGGAGATGCAGGCGTTGCTGGAGGGCAAGCTGGAAGAGCATGACCGGAAGGTAGCCAAGCAGCAGAAGCAGCGCGGGTCCGGCTGGGAGAAGCGGCTGCGCGGCCGGGATTTCATCGGCGAAGGCGTGGAGATCGTGATCGAGGGCCAGGACAAGAAGAAGCGCAAGAAGGAGCAGACGTGGGAGTACGACCTGCGCAAGGCGCGGTACTCGGCGGCGCTGGACCAGGTGCTGGCGTCGAGTGACAAGACGGCACAACTGACGCTGTTCACGGCGCTGCGGCACCGCTCCGCGCTGCGGGCTGCGCTGCAGGGCCGCGACGAGGAGACGCTGCAGCCGGTGCTGCAGTGGGTGCACAAGAACATCACGGAGCCGCGGCTGGTGACGCTGTGCGTGGAGGTCGCCATGAACGTGTTGGACATCTACTCGGGCAACTTGGGGCAATCGGCGCAGATCGACAAGATGGTGGAGCGGCTGCATCGGCGGGTGCGCGAGGAGGTGGAAATGGCGCATCAGGCGTGTCAGACCAAGGGGATGCTGGATATGTTGCAGGCCGTATAGCGCGCGCGCGAGGGCGCAGCGAGCATAGCATTTACGCAGAGTCAAAAGGTCAAAAGTTGTTTATCTACTAGACTTGTTACATTACGGATACCTGGATGGAGTTAGGGAATGCATCTTCTTCTTTTCATCTCTTAAACTATCAATTCTTATGTCTTAATTCAATATAATATCCGCCGCCCGCTCAGCAACCGCATACAACGTCGCCGTGAGATGCCCACTCACTTGCAGCGGAATCACCGACGCATCAACAACCCTCAGATTCCTCCGTCCGATCAATAGGATAATAAAGCGCCTTCGCAGAACTACACCTTACATCCTCCTTACAATCAATCGTCTGCGGCCATACCGAAATCCCTTCAACCCAACCCCCTATTCGGATCTTTATTCCATCTCACCCCTAAACCCACCCACGCATCCCTCACCCTCTCCCAAAATTTCGTTCTCGACAACTCCATCGAGAAACAAACATCTACGCTCCCCATTCTCCCATGAAAAGACGGCACATCATCCGTCCCCGCATCAACCTGCCACCCCAACGGCTAACTAAACTTATCCGTACGCAAGTAATACGGCCAGACGGTCTCCCAAGTCCGCCCCGTAGCACCTAGCGCCTGCCACGCATCGATCTCGGGCCTATCGGCGCGCAGGTACGTCATCCCGTTGATCATGCTCGTGCCGCCTAGGATGCGGCCTGCGGTGTAGGAGAGGGTGCGGTTTGAGGGCGTAAGACTGGGGCGTGGAGGCGTAGGCCCAGTCTATGTCTGTGTGTGCGTTGCGGAGCCATTGTGTTGGATTGGTGACGTTGGGGTTGGTGCGGGTGTCGTCGCCTGGGTCGAGGATCAGGACGGTGGTGGTGGGTGTTGAAGAGAGGCGGTCGGCGAGGAGGTGGCCGGTTGTGCCGCCGCCGATGATGAGGTAGTCTGCTTCTGCTGATGAGGTTGTGGCTGTCGATGTGGTGAGGAAGTAGCTCCGTATGGAATGGAGAGGATGGGATGGGATGGGATCCCCGCATTGACGGCTATGAATGGAGTGTTTGCTGGGTCCATATATTAAGGCAGATTGTTGTCTTCTGTTGTGTGCATTAGCAGGACTGCAGGAGCTGGTTCGTGCAGGGTAAGGTAACTATATAAGGCATCCAATCATGTAATGGGTGATTGATTCACTTATATACTACTTGTATATAAGATCTTAACCTCGGACATAGCATGCATCCAGCATCTAATGGCATTGCCAGGGCATTCATAGCCAGTCCATCCCTTTCATCAACGCATAGTCCTACATAATAGAAGGAAGTGTTAAAGAAGTGCTATAGAATACTGCATTGCATCTGAAAACATATTAAGCAAGTTAGGACATAATACAAAGGCAAAGAAGACTACAACTCAACACACAAAGTAAGAAAGATTACCCCTCCACTGGTGCAGGGGCTTCCAAAAACTCCCACCCCTTGAACTCAGTCTCCAACACATCCGCATTCCCTTCTGCCTTGCCCGCCCCAAATGCCTTCAGATCCCACTTCTCCACTCCCTCCACACCCTTCAGATCAGATGCAAACTCCCGGAAGAGGTCCGCGTTGAGCCGCTCATACTCGCTGTAGTCCTTGGGCCAATCACCCAGACGCTGCACGGCAAGTTTCAGCAGGTACAGGTGCCGACGCACACCCTCGCCGTCCGGGACGTGGCCGACCGGCTCGCCCAGGTCAAGATCGTACGCCGAGCCATCCAGGCTCATGCTGTTGTCAAGCCCACACTCCAACTCGGCAAACGAAGGGTCGCTGAAGATGCGCAGGAGGTTCTCGTGCAGCGCGGCGCTCTTCTTGTAGTAGCGGTTGGCCATCTCCTGTCCGTTCTTGTGGGACTGGTACCGCAGGCCGACGCCAATGTACAGCTGGGACAAAAGGACAGAGGTATCCAGTGTAGCGGGGTGGCAGGCACCGTGCACGCGGCGGCAGTTGTACACAATGTCCTCGGCCAAGCGCACCGCTGCCATCGAGTCGCCGACGAGGTAGCGGGCCAGGACGAGGCGGCGGCCCAGCGCGAGTGTGATATATGGCTTCCAGGTACGCTGAGCTTCGCGGCTGTTCCAGAGTTTGTTCAGGAGCCAAGCCAGAGTTTGGTAGTCTTGCTGCTCGCCCAGCAGGCCGATGAGGTTGTTCAGGTGGTGCAGGCCGATCTGCGACAGGTCGATCTTGAGTCCGTCGATGACACGGAGAGCGTCCTGGATGATGACTGCGGACACACCCAGGAGCTTCTTGCGAATGGCGTCGTCGGGGCCGTGGACAACATCGCGCCCGGAAATGGTCATACCCAAGATAAAGGCAAACTTGACGATAGCAGGGCTCCGGTAGGACTCGTGAGCCGATAGGTATTTGAAGCTGGCCAGCGCCAGATCAC